GATAATATCATAACAACCCAAAATATACCCAAACAGACCAAACAAATAATACCATAATAATAACCCAAAATTGACCAAACAAACAACAACATGACAACACAAAACCACCAAAGCGGACCAAACAAACAATACCATACTATCCCAAACCGACCAAATAGACACCACCGTGACAGCCCAAAACCGCCGAAGCGGACAACACCATGACAACGAACATCCCATCAAACAGACAACACCATAACAACCCAAAACAAACAAACAACACCATGACGACCCAAAACCGACCAAACAGACAACACCATGACAACCCAAAATCGCCCATACAAACTAAGCGGACAACACCATGACAACCCAAAATCGTCCAAATCGACAACACCGTGACAACCCAAGCAGACCAAGCGGACAACACTATGACAGCCCGAAACCGACCCAACAGACAACACCATGACAACCAAAACCACCCAAGCGGACCAGCGGACAGCCCAAAATCGCCCAAGCGGACAACACCGTGACAGGCCAAAACCGACCAAGCAGACAGCGCCGTGACAGCCCAAAACCACCCAAGCGGACAACGCCGTGACAACCCAATTTCGACCAAGCGGACAACACCGTGACAGCCCAAAACCGCCCAAGCGGACAACGCCGTGACAGCCCAAGGAAAGCCTAAACCTCAATCTGGGTGATTCCTAAAATTCCGGGAATTTTCAGCTCCGGGTGATTCCCAAAATTCCCAGGATTTTTAGACAGTAAGCGCAAAAATTCCCGGAATTTTCAAGATCTCCCTGCAAGGCCCTCGCAAGCAGACAAATCGACCGGAAGAGGAGGCGGGGCATCCGACAGGGCGGCCGCAGAGCGAAATAGGGGTCGAGCCCGTAGTCTTTTATAGAGATAAATTCTAAATCAAATTTAAAATTTCAATTATTATTGTAAATCATATCATACTAGAGATAACCACTCGAATATCAAAAGCTTAGAATCGTCTAATACAAATCAAGTCGGTATCCGTACGAGAAACTTACGTTCCCAGAAGCACGAAGTAAATATCGTCCAGAATACATTCAAACAAAGCAACGTCATCCCGAGACTCCCAGTCGTACATTGAATAATCCGCCACCACCCCCCAATGTACCAGGAATCTCGAGAAAACGACACCCCAAAGCCAACACGCACACACACGAACCGGACGAAAACTCCAGCTCCGATTGTTAGATGGCCGGTATTCATTCCTGTATATGAAGCCCGTTGATAATAAAGTCAAGTCGTGATTGAATTTCATATTGTTTTAATGCTAGATGCTCGATGCTCATCCCTGTCCAAAACCTGTTGATATTGAAGCCAAGATTGACCCGGTTTGTGTAGAAGTATAGATTGCACTTCAAGGCCACGAATTCCCAGATGAGTCCATGCGCCACGTGCCCCAAGCATTTTTTTGATCTGCTGCTGTTGGCATCAGGCGTCCGAGTTTGGGTTGCACCTAGTGCACCGATTGCGTGCCTGCTGCTCCCCCTGAACACTAGCCAGCAGGCTCGCCGGTATGGACAAAACAGACAAAGCATTGCTAAGCATTGCTAGCTACAAAACATTTTTTACAGCACACTGGGCGGGCTTCTCCACTTCGGAAGAGCCGCTTCCACACGTTGCCGTTCTTGTGTTCTTGCGAGGCGTTGTTCGCCCGTGGGTCCTATCTAGGGACGCCGACGCCGGCGTCCAAGCAGCTTCTTGTGCTCCCAACCCAGGCCTGAACATTGCAGAAGCGTAGGAGAACATGTGAGCCATCAGCAAAACGCAACTACCGCAAACCGCTTGTAGCAAGGCCTTGCAGTTTATTCTGGACTGCTCTGGCCAGTTCCCGTTCCTGAGAAGCAAAATCGGGATGGTTGCTTGTGAGCCAGAATATGGCTTTGCAAAAAGCCTTGTTGTGCGATCAGCGCACAAATCTTCTCAGTACTGCGTGAACAAGGCTCCAATTCAGTGCGGAGACATCCTTGAAGCCATATCTGTAAGTACTCACATCTCTCACAGAAATGGCGCTGAAACCACCTTGGTCACATCAGCGAGGTCAAAACGAAATTGGCCATCGAAGGCTCTGCCATGACATCCCATTTGACCAACATTTCGGTGCCTCGTGTCGCCTCTTAACACCTAGAGACGACCCTGAGAACCCAAATACCACGCACAAAGATTCACTGACATCCCATCCTCGGCACCAAAGTTTTCCAGGTCATGCTTACATAGTGATGGGGGGTCTTGTCACTGGCTCACCTTGGGATACAGACCCTTCTCCGGTACACATCAGGGGCCAGATGCGGTGAACTGGAAGCAAGCTTTCCTTCATCTGGAGCTACATGGGCTACTTGCATGTTTCCTCCATTGGGGCTTATGCAACTCACACTGATCTGAAAGGCCAGTTGCCTTGCATCTGAACATTCGCCATAGGGGTTTCCTCGTCGTCAACGTCCTCTGCCAGCACGACGGCCTCTGCCCGGCTGATTTACACATGACATATTTGCAGTGCAGCAGCGCTTCACTTCGGACCACAATAGACAACAGAGGCTCCCTAGAGTTTCGAGTCCAGGAGCTCTCTTGAAAAAGCCGGGCTCACCACAACTCTCACTCTCGACGTGCTCTTGTTTCGCGCGCTGGTACTAGACACTTCGGACCATCTTATCAATTCTTGTTCATGCAAGTCTTGCATGTTTTGCTTTGCCGAGCTGCGTAGATTCCAAATGCCGCAGCCTCGTGGTTGATGGCATTGACGCGGTAGCTCACCTGAGGTCATATGGCAAAGGCCTCTCCGCAGCGGAGCGGATCAGCAAGCACGTCAGTCGTCGTTCGGAGACTGGGCGGAGTCGGGAAGCGGGAAAACGTGATTCGGGAATCTGAAAAACACGGATCCGGAAAAATACGGAAAGCGGATCCGGACAACTGGACTCGCGTAATCAGGCCCCGGATTTGGAAACAAGAAGAGGATGGATCGGAAACCTGAAGCGGGAAAAGCGGATTCGGATTTCACATCCCGGCTTGGTTCGTTCGGAATAATTAGTCATTCCGAACACCGCGACCAGCTTCCCGAGTTGTATGTTGCGACATGCAGGCATGTGCACACTGTTCGAATTGGAGTGCAAACAAGAGCGTTCCCATTGCCCCCCCAACTCCCACACGGAACACGGAGACAGGATTTGGTCTTCTAGTTTATCTAGTGGCTTTTGAGTTTAGGGTGTTTAGGGCTTTGCAGGATAAGGTTTGCTTCTTGTGGGTTAAGTTTATGGCTTAAAAGAGCCTTCTTCGTGTTTAGGGTTTAGTGTGTCTGTGGTTTTAGGGCTTAGGGTTTGGCGTTTAGGCACGTTTGAGGTTTAGTGACTTTTGTGCCCTAAGCTTTGTAGGGTTGACAGGGATTGATAAGGCTTCGGGGTTTAAGGTCCCTTTCTTTCTTGTCTCCCTTTCTTTTGAGGGAAACCCAATACAAGAACCACAAGCAGGAAAACACAACCAAAAAACATAAGCTTTTGAGCATGACGTTGAGCACTCCACGGCTGTCTTCCTGAGCATCATGCTCCACGCTCACACACCTTTCCTACTGGAAGATCGCGAATTGCGGCATCACTGCAGTGGCAGTGAGCGGCTGCAGACATCTTCACATCCTTGCAGACTTCCAGCGCTTGGCGGAACCCTGGTTGATTGCTGATCCGGCATGGTCGGGCTATGGGCGATGCAGGATTATGGCGATCACATTGCTTCACCTGTAACATCCTGTAACATCTTTAGAAGCAAACTACTCTGTTTGGGCAATGTGCTCAACACATGAGCGTGTTGTGCCATAGCATCTGAGAATCTGCTCAATGACCACTCTGAGCGGACCCTGCTTCAAAGCTTACTCAAGCTGGGGTGACTTGTTCGCACATCTTGCTTGCCCAGTTGCTGCGTGTGGCACATCTTGCCACGTCCCAGGTTTGCTGGCCTCGCCGAGCGTGTACTTGAACTCGCTTTGGTAGAAGATAGTCTTGCCTTAGGAGCACCCGCCGTGGTTGTTGAATGTCAGCAAGCTGTCATGGGATGTTTGCCTGAACTGCCTGCAGCTCGTGTTTCTGCGAAGGCCAATCTTAAAGAGCCAGAGCCCGAGAGGATGTTGGAAGCTAAGCTTGGCCGGTTCCATCTAAAGCCTTGAAGCCTTTCCATCTAAAGCCTTGTCGCACAAGTGAGACCAAGCACTTATACTGGAAGTTCCTGGAAGTCTCTAGGATGGTTCCCCCCCCCCCAGGCCCAAATTTGTTTGGGGGGTTCCCGGACGAGGGTCCCAGATGCATTTGGGGGGATCCCCCCTACTAAAGACGGCGCAACATTATCCATGACGGATGGGGGTTGGTCACTACATCAAGCAATAGCAGCAATCACACCCTGATCAGTGCGTGTGGTGTGGCATGTGGTGAATAATGGTGAATAGTAGTTGCGCATGTCTTGCGCCTGATCACGCATTCCGAACGCCATGCAAGGGGCAGCGGGGAGCGTCATTTCTGCTACCAGCGAAGACGGTTGAAAGAAATCGTGATGTGGAACCTGGACCGACGTAGCATCGCAATCGGTGGTAAGACATCTGAAATTCCTGTAGGGTCACGTTGAGTACGTGGATGCTTCATGAGCACAGTGTAGAAGACTTACATGAACTACTCGTATCGCTAACAGATTTCGCTGCCGGTGGGCAAGTTGTCGTTGCTTACTACTGACACCAATGTGTAGGTCGTGAATCGCACGGTGGCCCATGCGGATGGCAGTGTCTCGGAGTGAGGGTAAGAATGTGGGAGTCAGGTTGACGGAGCGAAGGCCGAGTTTGTTCTTCGTGACTACATGACGGCGAACAACGAGCTGCACCAAGTGGCCATATTCCCCATTCCAGACGCATACATCCTCGTTTGCATGCTCTGCCATGAGGCCGTACATGTGTACCTCGGCTCCGTCTTTAGCTTCATAGCACTTCGTAGAAACTTGATTAACAAAGCACGTTCAAGCACGGTCTGTGCCCAGCTTGAATGCTTTAATTACTCAGCAGGTGGGCATTTGCATTGATAATCGTGAACTACATGCTATTACGATGTGCTCAGAATAAGGTCAAGACATTCTCGGCATTGACCACCAGGCAGTGATTAACATAACGCTGAGGTTTGCAGAGTGCACCTGCCCAAAGGTTGATGACGGTTGATGAGACTAGCCATATGTATATACATGTATCCATTAATTGACCTGCAGCATTGTAGAGTGGAGGGACCGAGGGCCATGTATTGGGCTGATGCCTGAGTTGGAGACACAATGGTCAGCTTTCCAGAGCCAAAGGTTGTCGCCAACTACCCAGCCATTGTTGATCTCCAGCATATTCGCGACTCCTGCAAGCGGACTTGGTGGAACTGCATCGTGCATTAACAAGCACTGCATGTGCTAAATGATCTAAAGGTACTTTCCTCAAATGCCCCACCTACCGGTTGATGATCTGGACCACCCACCCGTGCAATGAAGTCATAGATGAAGCCTGGGCGAAGCTTGAGCTCTACATCAGCTGTCATTGAGCCGTTGAGCCGTCGAGCCCAGTTCAGAACTCGCTCGCAACTTTGCTACATCAGCAGACATTGTCATATCTGAAGGCAAGATGCCGGGATTGCTTTTCTTTCCCGCGTAGGGATTCTCAGGCTTGCCCCACCTGCCGAGAGACTTCTGCTCGGAATTGTGCAAGTTGGCATCTGTTATACAAGTGCTCTCCTCAAGTGCTCTCCATGGCTCTCCGTGAGCCGATCATTCCGCGAACTGCGCAACAAATCTCGCGCCGAGTCGTTTCCGTGTTCGCTGGTGTAGCAGACTTCTGTTAATGCCGCGCTGCTGCGGGTGCGAGGCACATGGCATGCAGTATTGGGTTTAAATGGTTGCATGGTTCGTGTCGCGTGGTCGTCCAGCTGCTCGCAACCTTCTTGTGTCAAAAGGCCCTCTTTGAGCTGCAGTAACACGCTTCCACCGGTCCACTTCAAGCCAAACGCGCCCCTAAAAAAGATGGGCAAGAGAAAACACTAGAACACGATGGATCCACGAAGATCCTGTCCAGCATACCACTCTGATCTCAATATGAAAGGGACCACATTGTCATTGTATGCCAGCATGGGACGTGAATTTGCATGCTGCATGGCACCACAGCCCATGTTCCAAAGTTTCTGTGATGTACGAACATAATCTCCGAGTCTCCTCGAATCCACTTCAACAACCTCGCAAGGCTCGTTATCACATGTCCTCGGCCGTTGCTTCGGAGGCATGCCGCATGCCCCTACCGCATTGATGGAGCATCGCATGAAAGGGACCACAAACAATGAGATCGCACCGCATATTTGGCATACTTTTTTACAGCTTCACCACGTCGCATGTCGCGTTCAAGCAAGCGTGGCCCTTGCGCATCGTCTTTGACTTTGAACAGGCATCTGTCTTCCAGACATCAGCCCATTCCAGCCAGCCCCAGCGAGACGGCAGCTCAGGTTCCGAAAAGAAACTAGGGCCTCACAGTATCACGGTACTCTGCACCTCTGGTGGTTTCCTGATCTGCTTGTCGTGGATTGTGAAAATGTTTCTTGTCTCGCCATGCAGAGCGGGGGACTGATCGTAAATTAGCACGCACCTGTTCGAAATGAAGCTTGGCCCCATGATTTTGTACTCATTTTGTGCTGGGGGGGCTGCTGTGTGTGCTATTGCTTTCAGCCTTAGCTCTCGATGATGGGATGATTGACATAACTTACGTGCAACACAACATCGGAATTTTGGTTGTGAGCCCCGGTGCCTGACCAGCGCACCGACTGCCTTGCTGAAGTCTGAGGAGTCCTGGGGCCCGGCCTGCCTCGGCCATCGAGAACATGCACTGGAGCACTGGAGCTTGCGAGAGCCTCCCTCTGCACTTTACGCACTTTATAAGGTCGGATTTCCACAGCAAATTCGGGCGATGCATGCACTTCTCGCAAACGAGCATCACAAAGACTCCTGCAAGACGAACACCATCCACATTGCCAACCTGACGGGGACAGTCCGTCACAGGAAGGCAACAAGCCTCAGATTTAGCAATGATGTGGTTCAGCAGGAGATGCTTGGTTCGACAAACGTGCCTCGATAACGCCTCTGCCGACAAATACGGGCAGCTTCTGCGGAATGAGAGTTGCAAAACCTCACGGCAGGATCGTGTACCAAACCCTTCACAAGTTCACGTGATTTCACGGGATTCAGCTTGGGGTGTCGGCATCTCATGGCATCTCTACCACATCGACCACGGACTAGTCAAGTCGCCAAGGCCAAGGATAACGGTGTTGGGATGGTCGATAACCTTTGACCACTGGCAATTCCAAGGCGTGTGAATTCAACAGCTACGTACAAGCAATTGTCTTCAAGATCTGCAACTGGTTGGATCGAGCTGCAATGGGCTCTTCCAAATAGTAGACTGCCGGCGTGATGACAATATGCATTCCTGCGCACCGGACCCTTTCCAGCATCTACAATCTACATCTGCAGGAAGTAGAGGAAGTAAGAGTCAGGCGTGAGAAGCAGTAAGGTGAGACGTTTCACATAATATTCTCCTGCAGCAATCGCAGCATTGATTTCTGCTGCAGTGGTCCCTTCTTTTGTCAGGAAGACCTGGTCAAACTCCACTGTGGAGCCAGTCCTTGGGCGCCGGTTCAACTAATGCTATGCTGCCGATACGATCCCAGTATTGTGGTGTGCATTACTCGTTGAACCTCAACCCTCGAATCGCGAACCACGAGTTTCTGCCAGTCCGGACCAGCATGATTGTTCAGCACCTCAGCACAAAAGAGTCGAAGGTGAAGTCTGGGTGCTGCCAGCAAAGACTCGCAACATGTCTCACATCCAATGCAAAGGGCAACGTCTTCTGAAGTAGGACGCTGAAGCCTTCTTTGAGCTGAGGTCCAAACTTCTGGGATCCGAAGTTTGTACGTGCCCTGTGCACAGCCGGTCTTCAGCTTCTAGGTAAAACATGGTAAGAACTGTGCTTGAACCTGCATTCTCGGCTACATGCTGAGCATGTCAACGAAAGGACAGTGGTGGTAGACAAGGCTCTTGCAGTTTTGTCAGGAGAGTCCTTGCCATATGTGAAGAAACATACAATGCCGCGGAGGTGCTTTTCTTTCCTAAGGTTGGCTCTGGTTTGTTCTCCTTGCTACGAGTAGTGTTTGTTCCCACTCCTTCCTGGCTCAGCAAGTCTGGCGGTTCATATAAGCGTTCGGAGGGCCCTGTGACTTTCAGTATCGATACGCATTCTCTGCATTCAAGAGCTAAGAAGCAAGTTTAAAGAGGGGGGTGCAGCATGGTGCAGCCGCCCCGCCCCCCCCCCCCCCCCATTTGGCACGCAATGCTCGCATGATGGGTTTGCGAAGGATTCATTGGGGTTTTGAAGGAATGTCCACTGACAGCACGACATTCTGTGAAGCAAGCTTGTATGGCTTGAAAAGAGCAGGTGGGGTAGGGTTGGGGGGGGGGTGCACACCCCATTTGCGAACACAATTCTCGTATGATGGATTGGGGAAGGATACAATCAAAGAGCGGAGGGTCGGGGACAACCCCCCCAAACCCGCCTGCATTTGCAAACGCAATGCTCGTATGATGGGTTGGGGGACGCGCGGACCACAGGACCGGAGGACAGGAGGACCACAAAAAGCGCGGGACCGGACCAGAGGACCAGGTGACCGGGGGACGTACCAAGGAAAACAAGCCAGGGCCAACCGGGCCCAACAAAGCGCCTCATCAAAAAAAATGTAGGGCTTCTCAGCAAAAACCTCGGGAGCGGCTGCGTACCTCAATCCACGGCTGACAGTGTGAAGCTTGCTACAGACCAGCGTTCTACATGCTCCTGCCCAATGCAGCTTTTACATCTTTAACCAACTGCCGGGTCTGGTGCGTCAAGCCTTTGTGAAAGGTCTGATCCGCGCGGTGCTCGTCGAAGTTAAAGCCTGAACCACGACGACAGCAATATTGTCACTTGCCCCAAAAACACGCAAAAACCAAACAATTCGAAAAAACAGCGCGTCGTCCACCGACCATTTCTCTCTGAAAACCAAGGCAGGATGCTATTGTAGAATGGCAGGCCGCTATCACGGTCTATGCATCCAACGCACGCATAGCTTCCCTGGCCTGCGCGACATGAGTGACATGGCCAGTTCGTCATGTGATGTCACATGTTGACATGTGCTGTCCTGTGCTCAATCAAAGGCTTGGGACGGCTTCGGCGCTTCGGGTGTCTGCCAAGCTATTAAATGGCTTCAATTTCGAAAGATTCCGAGGGCTTACGTACAGACCGACGAATGCGCACGAGCATCTTGCACCACAGTGTCCCAACTCATTGAACCTTCATCAACATCATCATCCTTCCCTTCTTGCCTTCACCCCTCATGAACTTTTGCGAAAATAGCAAAGTCCTTGGCAGTATCCTTGCCCAGTCTTGCACGGACCACTTCAATATACTGGCTATGCAGCGGCTGCTTTGAATAAAACCGAAGACGCAGACCTTTCTGTGCATGAGTCCTCACCTTCCAAGCCACCTTTCAGTAACGGGGCTGGACTTCCAATCCAACTTCCACCTGCGTTTTCCAAGACCTGGCTTCAACTTCCGATCTTCTGTCTGATTCTACCTCTTCTTCATTTCCTCTGACCCAATCCAGTCCTACTTCACTCATTTGACTTTGCCAGCTCATTTCCATCGCCACCTGCTCTGCGATGATTGACGGAAAAACCCCTGCTTCGGTGGCGTTGACCGATGGGTGAGATCTCAGGCGCCCTGCGCAAGGAAGACTGTTCCAATGCTCTGCGGCCTTGTCCTAGCCATGCCTCGTTGTCAGCCGCAATGCCGTTTCCCCTCCGTGCTGGTCGCACCAGTCGAGCTCACGAGCTGGCGCAGACCTGTTTGCTGCTGCCGTCGATGCGTTTCTCAGAGACGCCCAGTTCCTTGCACTGAGGGCCTTGATCTCTCGCTAAGGCGCCTGCGGTGCTGGTCTTTCCACTTTTTTCCCCCCGGCAGCTTGAGGCATAAAAATCGATCTTACTTACGCCGGCTGGTGTTTGCCAAGATATTTAGCATTTCGCATGCCACTGTTGCGGCTCGTTGTCGCGACGATGAGCATTTGAACTTGAGAGGCATCAAGCATTTGTGAGGAAGTATGCAGTACATTCGTGAAGGATGTTGTCTACCGGCCAGATTGAATGTGAGGTTTGCGCAGTGAGGTAGGGGTAAGGTGTCTATTGCTTGTATCTATTTTACAAGGGCCCATATACACACACTCACCAACAGCAGCAATACTTCCCGATGCCACATGACCATGATGGCACCGTAATCTTCTTTCTTGCTAAAGCATGTTTGCAAATCGGCTCGACAGTTGTTCACCAGCATCATGAGACCCTAGTGCAGTACTTGCGCGTGAAAATTGTGGAAGAGCTGGGGGCATCGTACGATTTAAGGAGCGCAAGAGCCACGGGAGCAACACCCCGAGACCCTGCACTGCCGAGCCGGACACGTAGCCAGGGCTGCAGAATGCCGCAAAACTTGATAACAAAGGCGCGCTCCGGAATGCAGCATATGGCCGGTGAAAGCTCAGGGCGCTGTGCAGGTACTCTGCACCATCATTCAGAACTGCGGGCAACGTTCCAAGGAATCCCTGACGACGGAAATGACGGAACTTCATATCCCGATCATGAAAGCGACTCTTGGGATGCCAAGTCTGATCGAAGAAGTCGCTTTGGATGAAATCCGAATTGGCTTCGTCGTTAAACAATCACCGGTGCCAGGAGGTCTGACATCTTGTTCGAACTTATTCGTGTGATCTCGTAAAGAATACTCATCGGGAATTCTTATTGCAGAAAACATGCTGGTTAGCTTGAGGAATTTGGTCAGATACCGGTACATGCAACTCAAAATCCATTGACATCAGTGCATGTATTTCATTCGAACACCCACACACACACACCCACACTTGCCCACTTCATTTGATTTCTGACAGAATTGGTGAGTAAGAACAAGGTGTCTGATGCAGCAATGATCAGGGTTGGAAGTAAGTGCTTCCGTCAACTAGTGTTGTTCACCGAACGGAAAGCACAGCTGACATTGGCTGACATGAGCATACAGGAGAGCGACTTTACATGAACCAGCCTGCAGGATGATCGTATGGTCTCATCGTGGTTCCTCTTGTGTACCACTGTTGTTGTGTGCCTGGAGCACTGCAAGGCCATGCATCCCGTCACAGCACGGTACCTTGCACTGGCTCTGGCGTGCCTCGACTCATCCTCAACAATCCAAGCGCTGAGCACCGGGCCTGTCACAGGCTCACCGATGATGTCGGAGTTCATCAACGCACCACCAGAAGTCCAATCCGTCCCTGCAGGTTGTTGCAATTCTGGAGACTTGGCTGATTCCGTCTATTACGTCCAGAAGGTGGCCTCCGCCGGACAGATGCACGTTGCCGTCAACCCTGACCTTGCCAGGAGGTCGGAGGCTTTCTGGCAGGGTGAAAACTTTGACGGGAAAAGGCAGCAGAACATCAATGAGACAAGCAGTCTTCTGCTGTGTTGCGTGCCCACTGTGCATGCTCCACACATTGATGTCTTGCACATGCTCCGCTAGACTTTGCGGATGATCTGAACCCATTCACCCATTCTTGACCACAGCACATCTGCTCAGATCTTTGTCAAGTCGCGGATCTCAGCGGCGCGGCTTGCGAAACAAAGAAATCCAGCTTGTCCTGGGCCACGTGCACGTTCTCGATTGTGCGCCAAAAAGTGTTCCTTAGGCGCATGTTGGGCTGAGTCATTTTGACACCGAGAAAGAGGAGCCATCTGTTTTGCGAGCGGCGTATTCGGCAGCAGTGGACCTCAAACAATCAGTCAACCCCAACGATGCATTAATGCATTAGATCATTAGAGCCCTGGCAAAGGCGAAAATGCTTGTATACCTTCCGCATTCCTGTCGGAAACTGACTTTACCGCAGCTGTATCTGTCAATCTCAGCAAAGGCCTTAAGGCCCTCAGATGCAGATCCAAGGCACCGCCAGGGTAGCTTGCTGGCTGCTGCTCGACTCTAAGTCCCTCCCCGCGAGGACCATGTCTAGCCACTACATCCAGTGGGCTCTTGCCGAGGCCGTAGACACCAACATAGTACCACAGATTGATGTCCACCTGAGCACACCAAGTCTGAGGGCACTTGATGGGGAGGATCCCCCTGTTGGACCATGCAGATAATTTGCAGGCATCCTTGCAGCTACATGTGTACATTGCAGGGGGCGCTCTATACTGCATGCAATGCAAAAGATGTCGAACCACCTGCGTGAGGCTGCAAGACCCGAGCACAAGCGACCATCACCACACCGGGCAACAATGCTGAATGCCGAAGAAGAATCCAGCATGCCGGTGAATAGAATTGACTTTTGAACTGATTTTACACCCCTCTTTAGTATTTGGTTCTCGTGTTGGGTGCCGCCTTGGCTTTGGGGTCTGGGGATATTCAGAGCGTCAAGGAAGGGCGCTCAGCCTCTTGCTTAGCTTAGATGGAGCCAGTGTTGCCGGGGGCTTGCTCTCCTTGAAGCACTTTCTTGAGGATTGACAAAGCACTGCTTTTCGGGGCTTAGGGATGTTTAGGACTTAGAGGCTTTAGGACTCCCTTCAGGCTGTGGAAGGTCGGCTGTCAAGTTGTAGTCACGTGCTTGTACAAGCGGTAGTGTGACTGGAATTGTCTGGATGTTAGTTTTAGGGTGTTGCGTGTCGCCCGCCGATTCAGACTCTTTTTGACCGGTAGACTCAGTTCAGTGATGTGACCGTGGAGCACGTGATGCACATGATGTGCACAAGTAAATGAAAGTGACACAAGGTGACAGCAACTCAATATACGCGACAGAGGGAAAATATTGTCAAGAACTGTCGGACATGCTGGCATGCAGGCCCAGCCCTCCCCCCAGACCCGGCCTGATGCTCTCCAGGCTTGAGGAGTATGGCCGTCCGATGGTCGCCAAACTGAGCGTCTTCGTCCCAGCTGATCTCGGACAGCTGAAAGTCTGAAAGCCGCTGAAGAGCTTCACAAGCCACACCGACACGTATGCATCTCTAGTCAAGACGCCCATTGCTCGTAGAAGCTTTGCAGGCGTTCCTTCCAGTGAGGATTTGTGAGATAATATGGAATATATGGACGAGGTTTGTCTAGTTGACAGAACACACGTCGGAGGTCCAAAGCGGGCTCGCCGAAACTTGCTGAAGCTTCATCGGTGTTTGTGCCGTGCGCGCGCCAGATTGAACTCTACGTAGATAGGGAATCGGAGTTTAGATGAGTTCAGGGCGGCTCTAGATTCAGGTCTGAAGCGTGCAGGGGTTGGTGAGATTCGGTGCGTGGTTTCGCTGTGAAGGGGCAAAAGAGCTCGGATGCAAATGGATTTTACCACGCGGGATTCCGCGCACCTTCCGCAGATCTGGCATGCGACGTCGCAACTAGACAACACGCACCCTTTTCGACAAAACCGGTGCTGCTCAGAACAACGCAAACACTTGAAACTAAATCGTGGCGTAGTGCGACCTGCAACACGATCAAGATGTTGCAGTGGTTTCTCGCGATGCAGAAAATGGCGCTCCCGCAGAGTTTCTGCCCTTCCGCAAACCCTTCCGATCCCTTCCGTGGCCAGCTTCGCGTGCCCCTTCCCGGCCTCATTTCCATACGCAACTATCTTTGAGAAGCCTTAAACACAACCCTTCTGAGTTTACCGTGGTGTACCGAGGAATGGTCCGAACAAGTCCGATAGTTATAATGAAGCAGGACCATTCGTGTTGCTACGCGACAAGCTACCAGTAGCGATCAGGGCCAAGGAGACTCCTCGACTTGCGTGGATGCCTCTCCAGGTTCCAATACCTGGGACAGCTGCAGATGGCATCATGGATTTGGTGCGGAGTTCAGGGGTTCTTACAAACTTCTGGGAGCTACCCTGAAGCCCTGCATCCTGGAGCTTCTATCCGATAACCTGCGGCTGGAGTACAATGACGTTGGGCCCGAAGTCTGGGTGGGGGGATTCAGCATCATCTTTCCTCGGAAAAGAGTCGACCGTGACCATTTTGGATCAAGCCAAACGATGCAAGACATGATCTGTGCTGCGTGGTGTCGCTTTTGCCTTGGTTTTGTGGGTGACCTGCACGAACCCAGTCGTATCCGGCAGCTCGCACTCACCATCGTCTGGGCCTGGGATGTGCATGGTCAAATTCGCTGGTCAACTAAGAGCCCTCTCTTGTCTTGCAAGTTGTCTCAGAGTGTCGACACAACCAACTAGCACCGTGCCATCTGGAGTTCTAGAGGTTCCTCTCCAGGTGCAATAGCTCTGACGTGTGCAATATGCTAGCACACAGCAACTGCAGGGCCCTGTGTAAAGCTAATGAATAGACAGCTCTTCTTGCTTCGCTTCATTTGCAATCGGGCAGCTGCAGTTCGATCTTGCCCAAGCCCTCACCACGAGGAGCCACAAGCCCGCAAGCTGGGCCCTGGTTCACTCTAGACGCGGGACAGATCAGCAGGTCCCTTTGTTGCAGTCTAGAGCTCGAAGGCCTCCTCATCTTGCCGACAGCTCATCCAAAGCTTGAGCCGACAACCATTGAATCCTGGATCCCTTCTGCTCGCACTTGCAAAATCGGTCTAAGCATCACAGCACTGCCCCCATAAACAATGAGCATCCTGCCACCACGCGCACATGCAGTCAGCTCAGCACGAGAGTCGTGCGACTTGAAAAGCGCGGGAGTGAGACATTAGGCCAGAAGTGGTTCTTCCAGCCCGAATATCTTCGGGGCTCATGGCGTGATTGATTCCGCGCTTACTTGCAAGATCTTTCAGGGGTGAGTTGATGCGAATTAAGCACTACCTCAGCGTGAAACACTGCAGCCAAATGACTCAGTCAGCTGGCCTTAGGTGCGGCTTCACACATGCTGCAATGTGGAACCACGTGGACCCCTTGTCCTCGAGGTCCCAGCTCTTCATCCTCACCCTGCCGAGCTAACCGTGTGCATTTACGTAAGTTTCATCTTTGCACCGCCACAAGCAGGCCACAAGCAAAGGGAGAAGCACACAGACAACTCTCTCCACTCGCTCGAACCCAATGCTAAGCAACTCCAATGCCTCTTCCTCCGGTATGCCTTGAGGCGGGGCATCCTGCAGAATTTGGAATAGCTTCTGAGCGTCGGCTTGGCTTCATGGATCTTTATGGTCGCTTGCTTTCTGGTCCCTGGCTGTCCTTCCGGCCGGCGGCAACTACCTGAGCGACTGAATGCAAAACCAAACCACAAAGATGATTCAAACTGATATGACGTATGTTGCTTGCAGGGGCCTTGTACATTGTAATATCCCTTAACTATTCTACTTGGTGTGCTATAGTAGCAAGCCTTGCCAATCAGACTGCGAAGTCTCCAGGCACAACTCACCAGCTCAATCTTGGTCTGGCCTCGAGGAAATCCACCAGATTCTCATCAAGCTCGACGGCTTCCGCCAGCTGCAAAGATTGATGCAAAAATCGCGTGTAACGTGTTGCTCAGTGTTGTTCAAGTGATGCAGCGCTCATGTGTGGCATGGGGCTGTTTTTGGTCAGCCGCGGATTCGGAAACTGGAAACACGCGGATTCGGAAACTGGAAAACCCTGATTCTGGAAACTACAAAACGCGGATTCGGAAACTGAAAACGCGGATTCGGGAAACCAGGATTCGAGAAACCAGCTGATTCAGGAAACTGGAAAACGCGGATTCGGAAACCAGCTGATTCAGGAAACTGGAAAACGCGGATTCGGAAACTGGAAACCGCTGATTCAGGAAACTGAAAAACGCGGATTCGGAAACCAGCTGATTCAGGAAACTGGAAAACGCGGATTCGGAAACCAGCTGATTCAGGAAACTGGAAAACGCGGATTCGGAAACCAGCTGATTCAGGAAACTGGAAAACGCGGATTCGGAAACCAGCTGATTCAGGAAACTGGAAAACGCGGATTCGGAAACCAGCTGATTCAGGAAACTGGAAAACGCGGATTCGGAAACCAGCTGATTCAGGAAACTGGAAAACGCGGATTCGGAAACCGCGGATTGGAGGAACCGGATTCGTGTGGATTCCAATTACCGGATCGGGCGAGCCCAAAGCAGCCGTGTCCTGGATGATAGCGCATCCTCCCCCCCCCCGACTTTCAACAGGCTATACCCCAATGCTTTGTCCTGGACGCTATCATCCCCCCTCCCCCCCCCCCCCAACCCCCCGCAACCCCCCTCCCCGCCCCCCCCGCGACACCCAGTTTCAACAGGCTGGAGCCCAATGCTGTTGCTTGAATGGCTGCTGGAGCCCAATGCTGTTGCTTGAATGGTTAGTGTCACAAAGCAGCCTTGTCCTGGACGCTATCATCCCCCCCCCTGTTGCTTGAATGGTTAGTGTCACAAAGCAGCCTTGTCCTGGACGCTATCATCCCCGCACCCAGTTTCACCCCATGCTGTGCTTGAACCCAGGTAGTGTCACAAAGCAGCCTTGTCCTGGACGCTATCATCCCCCCCCCCGAGACCCACAGGCTGGAGCCCAATGCTGTTGCTTGAATGGCTGCTGGAGCCCAATGCTGTTGCTTGAATGGTTAGTGTCACAAAGCAGCCTTGTCCTGGACGCTATCATCCCCCCCCCCCAGCAGTTTCCACAGGCTGGAGCCCAATGCTGTTGTTGTGCTGCTGCTTGAATGGTTAGTGTCACAAAGCAGCCTTGTCCTGGACGCTATCATCCCCCCCCCCCCCGAGACCCAGTTTCAACAGGCTGGAGCCCAATGCTGTTGCTTGAATGGCTGCTGGAGCCCAATGCGCTTGAATGGTTAGTGTCACAAAGCAGCCTTGTCCTTGACGCTATCATCCCCCCCCCGAGACCCAGTTTCAACAGGCTGGAGCCCAATGCTGTTGCTTGAATGGCTGCTGGAGCCCAATGCGCTTCAACGGTTAGTGTCACAAAGCAGCCCCCCACATTTCAACAGGCCCGAATCGCGCGGTTTCCTGAATCGCATGGTTTCCTGAATCGCGTGGTTTCCTGAATCGCGCAGTTTCCTGAATCGTGCAGTTTCCTGAATCGCGCAGTTTCCTGAATCGAGCAGTTTCCTGAATCGCGTGGTTTCCTGAATCCGCTGGTTTCCTGCATCACGCAGTTTCCTGATTCGCGTGCTGTCAGTTTCCTGAATCGCGCGGTTTCCTGAATCGCGTGTTGTCAGTTTCCTGAATCTTGTGGTTTCCTGAACCGCGGTTTCCTGAATCGCGGGAAAACAGTTTCTTGAATCGCGCAGTTTCCTGAATCGCGTGGTTTCCTGAATCCTGGTTTCCTGAATCGCGCAGTTTCCTGAATCCTGGTTTCCTGAACCCTGGTTTCCAGAATCGCGTCCAGTTTCTGAATCGCGCATGGTTCGCTGTTTTTGCTCCAACTTGCTCCAAGGCTGGGAAAGGCTGGGAATGGCTGGTTGGCATAGCGACACACAGCGTCACACCGGGGCCCACACCAAGAACGTGTCGTGGGGAAGAAGATCTGAATCGATGATGGCCTGAGGGTGAAGTTTCCAAGAATGATCGGCAGCCCTTCTGACGTTTCAGAAGATCTCAGATAGGCGATGCTGTTGGGTACCAAAGTTTGGAAGCGCGAGATATGACCGGGAAGGAAAAGGCGTGTCTCTGGCAGAGCGCATTCAGTAAGCTGCGTGCATGAAGTCGCAGTCCATCAAGGCTCTGTACGACAGTCTAGCAGCGTCTACTTACTACGTCTAGCAAAGTCTAGCTGTGCCGCCTGCATGAGCTCTCGTTGATATGGTGCCTCTCCGTCTGCCGCCCGCAACCTTCACAAGTCGACGGTGGGCTCTCTTATTCTGTGTGCAACGCCGAGAATCAATACCGCCTGCTCTCCACAGATTACCCAAATCACCCTACCACTGTGATTAACTTGAACTGCCACAGCTCAAGGCCTCGCCAGGAGCTCCTCCAACCAGGAAACTCGCTTGGGGGAGTCTATGTCGGCCACCTGATAGCAGGCAGTAGCGATTCTTAGCAAATGGTCTCAGCACTCAGCATACTCGTAGCGTTGATGCATTCGGGTAAGGTCCTGACAATTGCAATGAAGTCTTCTTGGGATACTCGAGTCGCTGTGACCTCAAGGAGGCACAGCCACAGCCATGAAAATTGCTCTTCCGCGCAATTTCCTTTCATGAGACATGTGAAGCACGAAAATGCGAAAACAAACTCCCCAGGGCTTGGGATCGAACTAGGTCGATGTCTCTGTATGCTTGCGGCCGCAGGAGGTCCACGAGCACTTCTCCGGTGGAGGGCTCCACCTGTCGATGAATTGGACAAGGGACGGCCCCCCAACCTTTTAAACGGCGAAAATCCATCATGACCACCCTCATCAGCATTACTACAGCTCTCACCAGACCAAACGACAACAGTCACAGGGATGGCAACCCTGGAACGCTCGATCCCAAAGATTGCAGGTTTGACATAGCAAGCAAGAAGCGAAGCTCTACAACCGATGCCAGTTTCGAGGATGGCGACGATCCGCTTGAAGAGGTGAGAGTTAGACTATACCAACTTGTCGCAGATCATGAAACGCCAACAAAAGTCAGCACCACAGCCTGTGCAAAAAATCACAACCCTCGCCTCATTGCCGCACAGTCGAATGAACAGCCTGTGAACACAAAAACAGATACTGCACGAACGGTATTGCGGCAGAAGCTTCCCAGAAGCAGTTTCGAGGCTTCACTATTCTGGGAAGGTTCTGCCGCAATGCCGCTTTGCAGGCACAGCCACAACTGAACTCAACATTGCCAGCGATGAGCTGGGCTTCTTAGTTGCGCACTCGTCCAACGACAGGTCAGCCTTCACAGCTGCAGGCAGTACTACGGTTTCATAATAGGATCTTTCCGTCCAGACGGTCGAGACTTGCTCACGCACATTAGCCACCAGTCAAGCACTGCCAAAACTAACTTGGATCACTTGCGAAGGACCTCGCCGAAATGTGCTCTTGCTGAACCATGAAAGCATCTACAGCTGCTTAGGGCACGACCTCAGCATCTGGGCACAAACCACGCCAAACGTCACGCCCAAGATTGCTCCTCGAGTTTATGCTCAACGCATCAGTTTGACAAAGGCTCAAAGGGATGGCAGGCCGATGAAAGTCGTATAGCTGCCTCTGTTGCCGTGCGATTTGGTGCTGCAGGTCCCTCACCTAGGAGAGCGCAGGTAGAAACCCGTGCGGCTCCATCTCTGCTGTGGCTCTATCCAGCAACCGCACCTGCGACTCCATAACTGCATTGTACTCCTCCAATGTAGCCTTGTGCAGTGGCAGAAGCAAAAGCTCAGAACGGACCCGTCTTTATTGAGGCCTTCCTAATGCTTGCCATGATGTGAGGCCTTCTTAATGTGACAAAGGTTCACGTGGCGCGTGGACTCCGTGGCATTCAATGGATCACGATGTTACGTCGTTACGTCTGTATGTGCAGCGAAAGTGCGAGCGCTGCGTTCGGAACCCTGCACGATGAATCATATGATGTACGGTACATATTTCGTGTACCCCCAAAAGGACACCCAATGTATACACTCACCAATATTGAAAGGGAACCTTATATACACTCACCAAAAACAGTAATATAAACCCTACTTCTTATAGCGCAGCTTGAATCAACTTCTGCCAACCACCAACCTTCAATGCATGCGAAATTGCGGCGTCTAGGCTGGACCAGCTTACTGTCACATGAGTGCGTGGATCTGGGAGGAAGCACCATCACTCCGTTTGCAGATCGCGCAAGCGGGCTGAAAGACTTCGTGGTCGTGGTCGTGGAGGTGGTTTTAGTAGCTAGTAGCAGTAGTAGCAGCAGAAGTAGCAGCAGAAGTAGCAGCAGCGGTAGTCGCTGCCGTTGTAGCTTACCAATATTAGTTGTAAAGGTGGCTTTTCTGTCGGTCATGGCTCGGGGGTGGTCATTAACTCTTGTATTAATTTGGAGCCGTCACAAGTGACACCACAACGACGACCACGACCACAACCACTACCACCACGACCACGACCACCACGACGACCACGACCACGACCACCACGACCACGACCACCACCACGACCACCGCCACGACCACCAAAACGACCACCAACACGACTACCACCACCACGACTACCACCACCATGACGACGACAACAACGACGACGAGACGACTACGGCCACTGCAGCGCTACTGCTCCTGCTCCTGCTCCTGCTGCTGCTACTGCTATTGCTATTGATAAATCGTCTTCCAGACCTGCAGTGAAGGATTGAGGCCGCCTCAGCACAAAGTGTTTCTCTACAAAAAGCCCCAAATTTTGGAGCTGCGCGAACTGCGCCAGTGAAACCATCTGGGCATCTGAGAGGCTAGGGTTGCAGGCAGGGGTTGCGTTCAGGCGGAGGGGCATGGAGGCATCTCGGAGGCATCTCGGAGGGCACTTGGACAGGGCAGGGCCGTAGGGTTGCCATTTGTTGTCTTTTGTTGTTAAATGCTTTTGTGAACAATGGGGGAAGCACCCACAGCACCCACTTTGACCACCCGCTTCTAGATTCTTCTGTGAATTTATCGTTTCATACAAACTCATTGAATCTGGCAAAGTAAGCGTATGCTTGTTGTTGCATTTAGTTTTATCAATCATTTTGCACATGTATGTGTCACTGATAAATCTACAACCCTAAAGCAAAACAACCAGTACTAACACACGACCAAAGAAACAAAGCATCGCATACGACGATAATATAGCAGAAAATTAGTGTTCATTAGTTCTATATGCATGTGTACTATTTACGGTCGCTGAAACTTCCTGCTGAAGGCCTTAGGGTCCAGGGGTCAGCGTGTGTTCGGGCTGAGGATGGGCTTTGCGGTTGTGAACATAAGGTCTAGGGCTAAGGGCTTAAGGTTCTCCAGGGCTCAGATTTAAGGCACTCATATTGGGGGCCCAATTTGGTATTTAGGTTGAGGATGGTTGGTGTTTAGGTTTGGTTGCTCATGGTTTATAACTATGGATATATATATATGTACGTCTACGTCCTATATGTATATATATATATATATATACATACATCTGTACATACTACAAGCGTAAACACTCCAATAAATGGAGATGCAAAAATTCCGATGCGGTGTACGCTTTTCGCATGTTTGCCTTTCTGGCGTGTTCACGCTTTTCGCGCTTTTTACATGTTCGTGTCTTGTTCGTGTTTCTCGCATCTTCGCGTTCTTTCACGTGCAGCTCGGCGCTTGCGCTTAGCCGAGACACATGCAACGTTTTCACAGGACACCAAGCCGCATGGAAGTGCAGCGTATCGTGCCTGTTTGTCTGAAGCAGTGTCTGCAGCAAATTGGGGGGGTGGTGGGGGTCGGGAGGGGAAGGCACAGCCGGACAATACAAGCATCTGCAAAGCTCGAAAGCAAGCATGCGGCTCTTTACATATGAGCCAGGCATTGGCCAGGTCCGCCCGCACCCCACAAGGCAGTTGCTTTCAGACGAGCACTATCAGAGGCTGTGCACTCATACACAGCCGCGGCGAGAATGCACACAAAGATGTTTGGGCAGACGGTATCGCTTTCACTACCACCACTATCACTTCACCGTTGTTGTTGGACTTCAATTGCTCTGCCTACTATCCTGTTGATTTGGGCTCTCCATTTTTTGCGCATGGGCATGCGCATAACCCTTGAAGCTTAAGAGCTGGCTGATGCTCCGTTTTCAGACAGGGGGTGGGCGATTACTCTATTTCCAGCCAGGGAGCAGAACTACTCTGAGAGAAACAACCTCGGATTATTCTGAGGTTGGCTAGCTGCTGATGCCATTCTGCGCCGACACTACTTCGCACTGATGTTTGCGTGACGGAAACCTGCTGCAAACCAACAAGATAGCGCATGCGAGATGAGAGTGAGTGAATAAGCGAGGTACAAAGAAAGTTGTTGTCGCACTCTGTGTGTGCGTGTGTGTGGGCGTGCGCGTGTGCGGTGCGTGTGCGTGGGCGTGCGGTCTGTTGAGCTACTTGAACGGCCAGCGTATGCCTCTGAAACATTTGAGCCATGTGAAACTCTTGACTGCTCCTGGGAAATCCGCCAAGGCCGCAAGTTCCTTCAAAAGGACTACCCACGCCCCTGTATTAGCCCCCCTTGCCGAGGCGGCCTCGCGTTTGCGGGTAAAAACAATATGAACGCATGACGTGCTAGAATGACCCGTGTCTCAAGCATGTACGCTCTGTCCAGGTCTTTCCCTACTGGACTCCACATGCACCGCTAAATCCGAACTTATGCTGAGAGATCTGAGAGATCGGGCATTTTCTCGCTGAAGCCTTTGGATCTCCTGTGCGCAGCTTGTCACTTTCAATTCAATGCTCACCCACAGCAGCTGCGTATCCGTGAGGCAAAGGTGGATCTGCACGACTCCCGGCTTACAAGCAGCACCAACACTTCCACTCAAGAGGCTACTTCGCCATGCACCTCCGCATCTGGGTTGCCATCTGTGTAGCCCGCAAGAAACTGCGTCACCAGATTGGGGTTGTCCTGGCTGTGTACTCAGGAGCAAGGGCAGCCTGGACCACTGCCCCTCATGCCCCTCACCCTTCATGGATCCTTCGTTTTCGGGCTCACTGCCTAGCATGAAAGGTGCAAGGACCCTTTGCTGCGTAAGTTGATTCAAATGCTCGTGTTACAAAGCTTCTCTCTTGTTTCTGCAAGGGTTGCGGCCCTCAAGCAGCAACTGGCAGTGAGATTGGGATCACCTACATGATCAGAGATGACATGTTGAAATTGACTGCAGCTTTAGCTTCGTGGTGCCAAGTCCAGCTCCACATCATGTAGACATGCTGACCAGACAAATTGTGCATGCAGGGCAGCGTTACAATGCTCAACTGTTGAAGTCGTAATGCCATAACAGTAAAAGGCTACAGTTGAAACTACGAGTAGAATCAAACTCTTCTGTTTAGCGCCTCCAGTGTCATGCCGCTCAGAATTAAGCATGCCCTGCTCACAATTCGCATCTCGTGCTTCGCAGAGTGTTTGTACCTTGCACCCGAGAAGTTGCCGCAGAATCCATCAATCTTGTGTGGCAGCTTCCAGTTCTAGACTTGGTATAGCACATTCTTTATTTGCAGTGGCAGCTAGCCTTCGTTGGAAAACAGCAGCCGGAGATAATGTGATTGAGCTGCAAGTAGAAAGAACGCACAGGGATTGATTGGAATAGGGGTCCGGCATCTTCACCAAACACTGGACAGTCCCTGTTTCAACCTCATCGAGCGAGCTGCATGATCAATCATGGAAGGGGCTTACACAATACAAGTTCGCTGTCCTTGATGCTGTTGAACCACTTGCCCAAACGTGCATGCAAGCAGTTGTCAAGTAGCTGCGGAATGGCGGAAAACTACGATCCGATTCATGCCAGAGTCTCACCAGAAGGGAGCCACTCCATTTTTGCTACCAGGCAAGCCTGACAGCAAAGTACTAATAACGTACCTGCCTGCGAGGTGTACCTGGCGGCTATGCGGGACCCTCATGCCTTAAAGCTTGCTACACGATGCTTTTACCATTCGCCGACTGCAACATGTGGTGCGACGAAGCCCAACGTTCGATATGCAGCAGCCTGTATTGTTGACAGGTGCATCCCATGAACTGCCGATGATGTGGCTTTGTGAGTGAGTGCGAGTGTGCGTGTGCGTGTGCGTGTGTGTGTGTGTGTGTGTTTACGCGCGCTCTTTCTTATGACTACTAGCACTACACTCACGAAGCACACTGGGCTCGCTGCCAGGTACTTACGAAACTGCTTCAGGTCAGCCAATCGCTGCCTAACTTGCCGACCGGGAGACTTCAAACCCGAATCATCGCTTCACTGATCTTATGCTCGAGCTCTAAACCGTCGGCCTCTCGGCCACGTCCTCGCTTGAGATCATCTGAGGAAGTCGTTCCTGCTTCGAAGCGTGCGCTGCATGTTGTCATAGATGACACGTACTACAGCTGGACTGGCTGGAGAGGCATGAGCGTCCTGATCCGCTTCCCATGTCGACATGGTTGCAAATCAAATTCTGTCAAACTGCCTGCGAACTGATGAAGTGGCCTTAGTTGCCTAGCAAAAGGCTTCTGCTTGTCGACAGCTCTGCTGGGGGTCCCATTCGCTCACCGGCTTCTTACCCTGAGCCTACGCTCCACAGCGGCGGTAGCATGGAACTGACGAAAGACAAAGACTTTTTGATGAAGTTTACATGTTGCCTGACGCGGACCCAGCAGCAAGATGCTCGATCTCATCATTCAGTACTGATTATCTGCCGGCATTGCGGGTCCACTTGCGAGTAAACTATGCACACAGCCGTGGAGGTCATGTCTTTACAGCATTCTAAAGCCGAGCTCTTGTGTCCGGCACGACATTGGCAAACTTCCCGAACCTGTCACACCGAAGCATGTGCAACCAGAGCTTCAGACTTACAGCCGCTTAGCAGATTAGACGCACGTATACAAGTGTTCATCCTCCAACATGCCGGCAACACTTGTCGATGTTCTTATTGATGCCGCTGACCATCTCGCCCATGACTGAAGACCTGCGCTTCAGCTCCTCCTTGGCAATGGTGTTCAGGTGCACGATGTCGGGACCATCAGCAAGTCGCACATGACGCACGTGGTGGTACAAGTCGGTGAGGCGCGAGTCTTGACTCACGCCGTGCGCCCCATGAATTTGAATGGCCTCGTCGATGATTTTTTGGCACATTCGTGGGGCATCCACTTTAGTCATGGCGATGAAAGCTTTAGCATCCTTGAAGCCGTGATCGTCCGCCTGGACTGCTGCAAGGTAGCACAATAGCCTTGACTTCGTAATTTCCATTCGTGCCTCAGCAATGGATTGCCGGATGGTGGCATGATTTGCAAGCACCTTTCCAAACGCGACGCGCTTGTGAACCCTATGGATGATGGCATCTAGTGCCTGCTCTGCGGTGCCAATAGTTCGCATACAATGATGAATGCGACCTGGACCAAGACGACCCTGCGCGATCTCAAATCCACGGCCCTCGCCTAAAAGCATATTTCCCAGTGGCACTCGAACGTTGTCAAAAACGATCTCAGCATGGTCGTGTATATGTCCGAACAAGCCCAAAGGCCGGATGATGTGCACGCCTTTGGCATCACGTGGAACCAGAATCATCGAATGTTGCTTGTGTGTCGACTCACCCCCAGACCTGCCCAGGAAGATGAAGACTTTACACTCCGGTCTGCACGCACCACTGATATACCACTTGTGCCCATTGATTACATACTCATCGCCCTCTTTCTTGATAGTCGCACTTATGTTTGTGGCGTCACTGCTGGCTACGCCTGGCTCAGTCATGGCATAGGCGCTCCGAATCTGGCCTGCAAGCAAGGGCTCTAGCCATTTCTTCTTCTGCTCAGGTGTTCCATACTTCTCGAGGACTTCCATGTTCCCGGTGTCTGGGGCTGTGCAGTTCATGGCAACATTGCATAGACCGAAAGCTCCTAAAATCTCACAGATTGGTGCGTACTCGAGCACTCCCAGGTTTCCAACCTCAGGCAGGAAGAAGTTGTACAAACCCCGTGCCTGCGCCTTTTGTCTCAAGGTCTCTGCAATCGGTGGGGAAGCTGCCCAAACCGGATGGTGCGTATAGGCAGGGTCTTCGTGAGGTGAGGCTGGCTTGCGATCTTTCAACTTTGCCACTTCTTCCCTGTACTGCTGACCGTAGACAGGCATTGCTGGAAGAATGTCCTGCTTGATGAAGTCAATGATACGTTTCCTGACTTCGAAGAAGTTTGGACTAAGCCTGTCTTTGAAGGGCTCCAGCTCTGGCGGTATCCGGTCCGGGTCCAAGATGTAGCCCATGGGGTGCGATGTGGACGCCATTTCAGAAGAGATCTTGCCGGCTCCTTGACCGGCGCACGTCTTCTCAATTTTCTCACGGCTTCTTGATCCTTCAAACGCCTGCAAGCGCGGCTGCAAGCACTGCGGGATACGATGGGATGCGGCGGGTACAGCAAGAAGCAGAGGCTTGAAGTGCGCCTGATGGCAAGGTGGCAAGGTGCACTTACTGCACACTTTGCATCACTTCGGACTTCAGGCAATGCAGTCTTCAGATGCCAATCGGCCTATGGAGGTCTTTCAACCAGCACAAACAACCAAAGAATTCATCGGCCACTAAGTGTATCGTGACTGTGCATCGCAGTCAATTGCGCCTTGCACTTGCTGGGATTCGAGGGGCGCAGGTCGAAAAGGCAACAGACTTTTGCTTTTAACGTCGGCCCTTAACACGTGCGGAGCTCAGTCCACTGTGCGGGAAGCTTCCGCCGGAGCTCGACTTTGCTCGTGAAACGCACTAAAAGCACTAAAGCCATCTCTTTGATTCCTTCGTGCATCCAAGGCCGCATTTACAGGCATCAGACTCTTGCAAGGCCGCAAATAAGGATGCGGCGCGCCTGCTAAAGCAGTAAATTTTAATTGTTCTTATCGGGATCACAGGGGTCTAATGGGGTCCAAACACGACCAGTCAACTCTTTTTGTATCAGTACTGTCTGAGCAGCTTGCTTGGTCTAGCGCCTTCGTTCATCATGTTCAGCTGCTGAGCTATTGCATGCACGCGACAACTGAGGATCCTTCAACAAATTGCTTCAGAAACTTCATGGATGAATCGTTAAGACAAAGACTTCTTCAAGTATCCAGACCCTCACTTTGAAGAGCCTGAGAAAAGCTCTGTAAGTCCTTTTCCAGGCCTTCGAGGATGAGACACGACATTGGAAATCGCGCGCGTAATTACTTCAAAACACTCCTTAACTCTCCCCAAAGACATTGTCTAGGTAGAGTATGGGAGTATGGTATAGCGTAGCGTAGCACGGACTTTGGACTCGATGCCCTTTGTCTCACCAGGGGCTCAACACCAGCAGCAACTCCCGCTAAGAGTCAGGTGTGTCTGGATGGTGTCGACTTTGTCAACATATTGTCAACGTGCTCAGGACTGGGACGAGGACAAGTCCTAAGCTCCATCTTGCTGTTCTGTGCTGCATTGTGCCGTACGTTCAGTACTCTACAGCTGGCTCTGAAATGCTCTGAGGCTCCGGCAGTCTGGAAGTGCTGTACAGGTCAGATTCAGCCCTGCGCCCAGCTTGCATCACCTGAGAGCAAGGCAGATAACAGCCCCCCGTTTCTATGTAAAAACCATAGTGAATGAAGAAATTCGCTGGAAGAAACTCTTCTGCGACAGCCTTCCTGCAGCCTCCATTGGTGCTAGTGCAAAACCTTTCGGCCATCCCGTAAGCTCACCTACGCCTCTTGACACATCCGTCCTGTCAGATGCTACTGGCGGACTCGCCTCACGCGTCCTGATTGTCCTTTGTGTCGTTCATGGGGAAATAGGGTATGAATTCCCCGATTTGGCCCTTTCGATCCTTCGCTGCCCAAATCAAGGAGGAGCCTTCAGCCATCTTCAGCCCAAAGAAAAAACGAGCCGGCAGCCCTTGCATCTCATCTCAGCCATTGGAGTACAGCCGGCTTACATGTTCAAGCCGAAAAGGGCCGTTGCCAGCCCAAGCGTAGGTATTTCTATCATTCTAGTTCTCGGAGCTTTGGAATCCACCTGAGTCCAATGTTTATAGACCACTGCAAATCCCCTTGGCTGAGCCCTTTTCTCACGAGGCACTTCCTTGCACACCATTTTGCACAGCCAGGCCGAGGCGGAAGCACGAAGTGCCGGTAAAGGAACGCTGACAACAACCAACATAACATTGCAAGCAAGACCGTGCAGGCATCGGAAACGCGCCTCAGAAGCCCAGCATAACCGACTTGAAGATCTGGGGACTCTCATGAATCTTGTTCAGCAATGCCTTGCCGTCAGGAAACTTCATAAAGCTGTTGCACGCATCTGTGATGCTTGCACGCTTCCGTTTTGTTGGTGCGCACTTGCTGCCCAGGGTTGAGTCGTGTGTCTGCTTGTTTTGTGGAGGGGGCGGTGTTGTTAAAACACGTGTCGCGAAGCGCAAGGTCCATATGAAGTACGTCTGCCGTACATGACTCACAATGACATGTGTCCGGTGCCTCGAAGACGGGCCCGAGCCTCTCGTCGTCGTGGTAAGCCTCAATCAAGGAATAGAGGGACCGCCGCTGCATGTGCACATATGTGCACTACCTCCAGCCTCATCTTTCAAGGGGCAAGTAAGCCCGGTAAGCTAGGAGCGCGCAGTATCCGGACTTGGCTGACGCAGTTCTCTGGATTGATGTTTCCAAGAGCCTGGCAAATAAGCCCAGGCATGGGTCCAGGCAGCGGCTGCAAGTACAGAGGCAGCTTGGCCTATGCTAGAGTCTGACTTTACACTTCCTTGGCCTAGTACGCCAAAACATGCCATCCGTTGCGACTGGTGCTGCGTACTCGACAAGGCCGGGAATATCGTATTTGTGGCCGAGCACGACCTGAGGCACAAGGCTGTCAGCCAAATACAAGAGCCAAGAGTGATTGTGATAATGTTGGACCGTGTTTAGTAGGGGCCTCCTCTTTAAAGTCAATTTGGCCGAATTATTCAGGACCCCCTGACTGTTTGCGGGGTCCTCTTTAAAGTCAACTCGTCCGGGCGCCGTAAGAAAATTCCACGTGGCGCGCCTTTAAAAAAGATAACCGGGCATCGCTACCCCTTTTAAACCTATCTAAACTCCTCCCTATTGAAATCATAGAAGCCCCCGGGGCCGTGTAATCAGGCTCCTATCCACGCCTCGACTGTTCACGGGGGGGGGGGGGGGGGCCCTACACATTAAAGAGGGTCCAACATTACCAGCTACTGGTAACCGCAATCCTCTTAAGTGTCGCAAAGTCGCATCGGTTTCTTCACGCCCTGTTGTCTTTTCAATGCTCTGGGATCTGAAGCTGCCGCTCAAACATGTTCAAACTACATCATGCCACATCGTCGTGATCGTTCTTCTTCCGCTCGCGATTTCCGCCGGCTTTGACTTGCTTGGATTGTGCTGTGTGACTATGTTCTAGACCTGCAGTACTCTCAACTGTCAACTGGCAATAGTCCTACAAGATGCGCTGGTCATGGAAGATTCCTGCGACGGAATGCCGGACGACGGAGTTTGACCCGAAGAACGATGAATCCACAAAGAGTGACAGCTGGCTTCATGTGCGATGCTTTCGGCGAGTGTCCCATCAGCAACCAACTCGCAATGAAACTTGAGCCTTAACTGCACCTCAGCTTCCGTGCAAAGCCATTGCAAACGGAACCAGAACAAGACTAGTGCCTGATCCCTGCATACGACCAAGTGCTGTGCCATGCCACATCCGGCTCGCTCTGCAACGCAGCCTGTGCAGCACTCGGACCAAGGAGAAACTCGCACAACACCACTTTATTCTGCATCAGGCACGGCAGGAGTAGCTTGCAAGTCAAGCGAATGCACATGGCGAAAAGCTGAACACGCGCTCGAGTTGCACGAGTGCACGGCTGAAGCACTTGGCCTGTGTAGATATACTCGAGCATGTGCTGGACAGACTTGGGCAGCGGATGCAGAGGTTTGCAGAGATTGCAAGAACAAGAAGACAAAGAGACACAAAGAAACATTCCACATTTCCCAACAAGCAATAAATCCACCTTGAACTTCAAGCGTGGCATCATGCAGCTAAGCAACTTCCTCGTCCGTGTCGGGTATGAATATCTCACGGGCCTGAGCAGTGTTGGATCTCTGCTTGTGTTTTTCACTGAATATCTGTGGGATTCTGTGGGTCTTCCAGTGTCTTCCTGCTAATCCCAACGCATCCCGGCTGCAGGGAAACTAATCTGATATCAGCTGTACAGACAAGGGGGCAATAATGAGAAACCGTGAGCAAACAGGCCACCGCAGCATCTCTCTCAGGCGAAGGCTCGACTTTCTTTCATCTCTGATCCGAGCATCGCAGCGAAGACTGTCGAGGCAGCTGCAAGTACAGCCTTGCCACTTGCCACATGGCACCCCAACAATGCTCCTCGAGTAGTTCTCAAGGTAGTCCCATATACCTTCCTGAAACCCCTTGGGTAGCAAGCCGTTCGGGAGGCCGACTGGAGTATTGAACGTACCAGCATTTAAAGCATTGGGAGGCAGGAGGCTGCCATAGCTGGAACTTTCCAGGGCTAGAGCTTTCATCGGGGCTAAGTATGTGCGCCAATTGGTCACTCATAGCATCCGGATTGCACGACCTTGTTTTGGGATTTTGCGGGTGCCGGCACTGCTGTGCACTGCCACCCCTATCGAATCCGAACTTCCTTCCTAGGGCGTCTGTTTTGGTTGTGTCGGTGCCTGTGATTCAAGGCGCTTAGGACGTTCTGCAGTTCGCCTCAGCCTTTGTCTCTCCTTCGAAAAGCCATTGACTTTTTCAAAAAACATGTTTTTGCCGAAAAGTAGGTTGCAGCGTTGCTTGTGCGCGCGGCCTGCTCGAAAAGACGTTCTCTCGCAGCGTTGCATGCGAGGCTTCTTAGAAAAGATAGAAAAGACATTTCTCGAAAAGCCACTGTTTAAGAAACCCGCTTTTGTCGAAAGTTGCTTTTCTCGCGGCGCACGGCGTTGCGCATGCAGTATGTCTGAAAAGCAACTTTCTCGAAAAGCAACTTCTTGCAGAAAGTCACTTTTCTCGCGTAGTTGCGCACGCGGGCATGTAGATGCTTTTCTCGAAAAGCAACTTTTCTAGGACAGCAACTTCTTGCAGAAGTAACTTTTCTCGCCGATTTCCATCCCGTGACCCTTGTGGTTTCTTGGATGCTCCAGGATGCTCCAGGTGATGCTCCAGGGCCGCGGGATTTTTAGCGGGTTCTCCTTCTCAAGGCTCCGGCACGGTGCACCGGAAAGTGCTGCTCGCCGCAGATGACCTGAACAAGTCTCAGAACTACACTTCAGACCCAGAGTGACTTGCTGGGAGTCACTGAGTGCCGCTGTCCGGCTGCAGGACATGACTTCCCTCACCTAACCAAGTCCTTGTACCACAGAAGCCTTCTCTACTGCTGAGATTTACGAAGCACATTGGCACAAAGGGAGGAAATGTTGGAACTTCTTTGGAACTCCTCGCACCGTCAGACCTCCACATCGGTGAATCTGCGGTCGCCCCAGATTTGCCTGGTGATCTTTTGCGGATAGCCCACCTGAAACGACAACTACCGTATGCACACTCTGCACATGCTACGGTTTCGCCGACTGCCGAACCTCGTAAACAGCATCTACTACTTCTCGGGTGCATATGCAGAGGCTGAGGCATTGTGTGCTGGTTCCGTCTTCTGCAGCTTGATGACAAACCTCACAGAGTTTTACATCTAGCAAGCAAATGTGGCACTGCAACTGTTAGAAGGAAAACAGCAAGACCACGAAAGACTGAATGCGAAAGACCTGCTCTCTGGGTTTCCTGGGACGCGCAGGAGGCTTAGCTCTGACGCGAGAATTTTAACCTGATGTTGAGTACTACAGGATGTGCAGGCAAATGGGTTGCAAGACGCATATAAGCCTTTTTTGGATTTTCTACAAGCACATGTACTTTGATGGGCAATCCCAGCAAGTCTTCTTCTTGGATGTATCCAACGCAGCAGATTCCATTATTCTATGGTCTATGTGTGGAAGCTTGTCAAAGATTGACAAATATTGAAATCAGCGATGCAAAAGTCCCAGGATGTCCCAGGCCTCACAGCTTGAACGACAAGATGGTTCTCATCTCCGTGGTTCTGGAGGAACCTCTGTTGGGAGATCCCTGGGATGGGTCTTCCTTGGGCTTCGAGATTTGTTGAAGTTGAACGACCTTTCAGACCAAAGTATCCAGAAGTCCATAAGCCAGGATGCGTGAGCCGCCAAAGGCTACTCCGTATGGACATGGTCATCTTGTGAACCTCGTGCAGCAATGAAAAGCAGGCAGAGGGCCACTGCGCATGGCATTCCTGGGTCAACACTAGAGTCATGAGTCATTGGAGTCTTGGGCGAGTCCGGGGTGGCCTGCCAAACCGGCTTCTTGGCGGCTTCCCAGGTAGAAAGTTTCTGCCACTCCCCATTAACCTGTCGATGTAAGGCATGACAACAGCCGCCAAGATTTACAAAGCTCCAGTGCTTTACTCTTCCCTTGCTTCACAGACTCGAGTGCTAGTGCTGCTAGTGCTCCCAGTGCTGCTAGCGCAAGGCAACGCAAAAGGCAATGCTTCCAGCCTTCGCTTCCAGCGAAAGGCCTTGACACGAGACTTGCAGGGTACCCGTTTGACGTCTGCTCACGCCGACGACGGGACCCTAATAATTATTAGAGAACTACCTCTATGCACATGTCGCGTTCAGCATAGATCGACATGCGGAGCATCACATTGTGCCCTCTTCTAGGTTCTGACTGCATCCCAGCGTCGATGCACGCCCATTCCGTCACCTCTGTCCTGCACTCCAGGTCCATGTTAGATGATTCGAGCTTCAGTCTCAAGTGGCCCAACGCCGAGCCACTGTACTTGCTGAAATTCTTGTTACTTTTGGTTGACAGACATGTCGTTGCACGGAACAAGCTGGAGGGTCCTTCCATTCCACGGCAGCGAGAACGTGACCCTGCTCAAACTCAAAGGCAAAGGCCTGACAAAAAACGGCTACTGCCTTCCAACTCAACATGACTTAAACACACACGTTGGGTTCAGCGCGGTGACATGCGCCTGGCTTACTCTCAGTTGTTCTGGGGATTTGTGGGGCCTCCGGCGGTACCCGGTGCTGGGTTCTCGTGGGTCCCCCTCTCCCAAACTGACAATGTCACATCATGATGCACCTGGTCACGAACCTGTCCTGGCAGGGATGCCCAGTATTCGACCGACCTCCGGACAAGGCACAGCAGAGCAGTCACGGATCACACTGCACAGCAGCACCTGTGGCATGACTGGAGAACGCGAGAGAACGTGCATGTGCCGAGGCTGCAGCAACGGGTTGATGAGATGGCTTGCTTCATGGTTCATGTAGTGTCCTGCAACGCTCGATTTTGGAGTCTCGCTATCTCGCTCCGTTCCAGGATTGATTATCGGGTTCAACTATGCCGGCGTAGACACCGAACAGTGTAAGACCGCTTCATATCGCTTCAAACCCCGAATAGAACTGCCAAGGCATGCGGAGGCCATTCCGAATGGGCAATTCAAGATGACCTCCACAAGCACTTCAATTCCAAGACGTCACGAGACCCCATTCTCCAAGAGCAGTCCAAGCCCCCAGGGGCCCCCAAGAGCGAAGGACAGTTCACTCCTTTCACACGTTCACACGCAGTTCACACTCAATTCACAAGCAGTTCACTTTTTAGAACGCATCCGAGAGCCCCCAAAATGCAAAAAAAGACCCTGTTTCGCGACACACAGCGATGCGAAAGCCTCGACTCACATCAGTGAAAAAGGGCACCTAGGGCTGAGGAGCACGATTTCGAGTACGGAACGTGCACGGGACTCAGGCTTGGGAGCACGATTTGACACCCGCTGCCTGGCTAAAAGCATGCTATGATTGGGACAGCTCTTGGCTCAAATGGCTCATCGGTCGCGATTTGAAACGCGCGCGGGGCCAAAATGGCCCAAGCAAGAGCGTCCGGGCCCGCATGGGCGTCTAAGGGCCAGCGATCTAGTTCTCTTTACGCCTTCCTCAACTCACAACATTAGCACCCCAATGGGGACCGACAAAGCAACTTCGCTGACTCAGACATGTGTTCACGCATGCTCCTGGGTGGGAGGCAATCTTCACGTTGGCGGCTACGTAGTGGTCATCGCCGTAGTCCGTCTAAGCTTCATGTACTGACTCGCAGGCTTGCTCTGACAGTATGCCCCCAAGAAAACATCTGACGTGCAGAGTCATCCCCAACTTCAGCTTGATTCTAAATTTCCATGAGTCATTGACACTTAACGGAGCAGATGTCTAACTGGGGGCCCACATGAGCCCAAGACCGGGATCAGCCCAGTGGAGGTGTCCCGAGCATCTCGGTGACCTGAGGCTCCGCACTGTGCTACACTGTGCTACACTGTGCCTCGCCGTCTTACACTAAGATGCCTTTTGTGGATTCAAGAAGTGACATCCAGTGACATCCAAATATGCAACAGTTCAACAGCACGGAACACACTTCCCTTTGTGTCCTTCTCTTGTTGTGTGTTTTCCTTCTCTGCTCGCAACCTCTGGGCTCGCTGCCTGGTGACGGGCTCCGCCAGTCGCCCGGCGGCTCCGAGCGCCGAGGCTCCGAGCGCCGCCGGGACCTTTCTCTCTTTTGGGGCTTGAGTCGTTTGAGTACTCATTTGCTAAAGAGTGTTGTAAGGAGCTGAATAAGGAAGGAGTATTGAAGGAGTAAAGGATGCGAGTACAACGTTACATATGTGAAGGCAAGGACGAGAACTCAAGTTCCGGCGCTTCGCACATCCGCTGCAAAACGCATGTGGACACAACTTGCAGTCCAATATGCACACTTTATTTACAGCCAGGACTTACAAGACACATATATATATATATACACATGAACCTAGAACTAGTGCCGCCGACCCATATACCTACAATTTTCCATTCTGAGCTTTTGTTGCTACTCCGAGGCTGGTTGCAGCTGAAAGCATCTCTTGTGGTTTTTATTTGGCGGTCGAGGGTCTGTGAGGAGGTCTCAAAACGGGCCTGGCATTTAAATGAAAGCTGGGATGTGGTTGAAGTCGTTGTTTTGTTCCTTGTGAATGGCCCTGCCAACTTAGTGGTTGGCTGATGGTCGGACATGTTGGTAGACAAAAAAGCAGGCCAGAGGCTTGACCAGGTTGTTCGACGCTTGCGGGCCAGCGGCTTGTCTCCGGGCACAGGGTCTGGCAGTCGCTTTTGTATTTTGGCCCAGCCAATTTGTTCGTCCGCCTTCTGTCGGCTAAAGTCGGACGCAAAAACACAAACTACGGCCATTATTCGCACCCACGTGGCTGTGTCCCGATCGGCCAGAGAAGCCATTCTGAGCAGCTGATGCTTTACAGGATTGAGACTTTCAGGCTCAGACTTGGCGGAGTTTGGGCGTTGGGCATTGCAGTATGTTATCAGAAGCTGCAGGCGCTTAGGTAGGGCGGGGTGGGTAAAGGTCAGCCGGGGAGGGGGCCCGTTGTCAGGAACACTGCGTGCAGTGACTTCCCCCTCATATCTCAGGCACCCTCCCCAGTGAATCCCTCGAGATGTTAGGCAAGATGTCCATCATCCCCTCAGTCGTTTTTTCCCCAAGACAAGAAGGTCGCAAACAAAAACTCCCCCAACATCCAAGGAGCTAGCTTTCGTCATATGTTGTTCTTGAAGCTCTGTTCGGCTTCAGAAAGGCAGCGTCGCGAAGTCCCAACAACAACTCTCAGAGCTTTGGCCTTCTCAGACCTCAAGGCCCCATGGCATTCGACCAGTAGCGCGATGATTGTATGGAGTGTTTGAGGAGTCATCTTGCATGTCTTGGTGTTGAGTCTTAGGCGCTTGAGGCTTCCTCTGGATCAGATTGCGAGGGCCTTAAACAGGGTAGGGGGAGGCAGGCGGGGGGGGTGTCCTGACCATATTGTATAAACCAAATCAAAAAGAAACGTCGAACCCTGCGCTCGGCCTTATTCACTCGACTCAGGATGGATCAAAGCGTCAATACGTGAACATCAGCTACACCCGTTTTGGGCGGCGGTCGAGGGCACGACTCGGGCCCCCAAGTAGACCGCCAATCGTAGGTGTACTCGGCGTCTGCGTTCCCTTGCATGGCACGATGCTGTGCTCCTTGGAATGTTTCTTGTCTCTAAGCTTCGGAAGTTCTGCGAGCATTGCATTGCTTGCCATGCCAGCTTGGCATCATTGGCGGTATGAAATTCTACCATACGCGATCCTGCTTCCAGTGCTTCATCCGTTGCTTGCTGCGCCATTACCTTCTTATTCTTGAGGTTGCCATGTGTCCTGATATATTTAACACCTTGAAGATTGAAAGCAGCAGGAGGCATTGCAGGCATAACAGCAAGATGTTAAAGACAAATGACTGGCTGGATGCACTTCGAAATGTACATTGGCGTGCTAGAGCGTGCTGTAGATTTGCAGCAGTGTGCGGGTCCTCCTGACTCCCTCATGATGGCAGCTGTTTTGAGCACTTCTCTTTCGCAGCGGGCACCGCTCTCCTGTGTACTCAGTCGGACATGCGGAACAGCAACGCAAGTTGCAGCGCCTGGCAGAAGCGCAAATTCATGGCAGCAGCTCTTATAGGGGGAGCACTCGTGGCCAGTAAATTTGAGCCTCGACTGGAATGCTATGGCAGAGTGCATTGCGCTTTACAGTACTGCGTACTGGTCACGAGCTTTGTTCCGAGCAAAGCGTGAAGACGACTTGATCGTTCCCGCTTTGCTCTTCGACGGCTCAAGGCCCGGCAAGGTTGAAGCCTGAGCCTTCTGAACCTTAAACAAAATGCAGCATCCCGGAATATCTCAAAGCCATCCCTCTGTAAGTGTAGCAAGGGTCAACGACCCACGACGATTTGCTCGCCCTCTCTTGTGTGAAGGCGGCTCGGATCGACGCTTTTGTAATTGCAAGGTGCATTGGTCATCTACCCTAAGCTTAGTCTCGCCGAAACCTATTGGCAGCGCTCAAACCACTGAAGGCACAACGATGTTACAGCAATGTCTTAAAACTGCTGCAGGGCATTCCCCAAGTGCCACCAGCACAGCCAACAAGCGGGTCTGCACTTTGCAGACAAAGTTCTGTACAGTGTTTTGATAGCCTGCCTGCAGCAGCAGTCCCTTGGCTGTCAAGTTGCTCGGTGCCTCTCAGCAGCAGAGGCAGCAACGTTCACGGAAGCCGTCCTCAATGCCATGGCGAGAAGATACATCTTGCAATTTTCGCAACAAACATAAGCTACTGCTCGTGGCTTAGCAGGCTTGACACAACTGTGCCATTTGAGCTCACCTGCGGCTGCTGACGGGCCAGCTGAATCTTGCATTCCTCGGTTAGGGTCCACATGTAACATCATGCAACTATGCGGCTGGCAGCGCGCCGCTTGGGTTGATCCTGCTATTTTTGGGACAGCACCCTTGTGCTTGAGATGGTGCTTTGAACTCGGAGGCTTCGCACAGGGTGCGACTAGCTTTCATCCAGGCCGCCCGCTTGATGCCATAGTATTCCAGAGTCTGTGCGTCCTCCAGCACCTGCTTTCTGAAGGTCAACTGCTGTTCAGCAGGAGCCATGCCTGCAATCATTGCACAGATTCTCAGCAAAGCAAACACTTCGAAAGCACCTCTGCTCTCCAGAAGTGCACATGATGCACTCACGTCACTTACCCGAAGGACAGCAACAGTACACTCCGCATATTTTGTTTACAAAGGATGAATGGTACTTCAACAATCTCCCCATCGCTGCTAGGGCTGCTGTGATCTGCTATGGTGACCATGGCTCTGGCTATGGCTTGCGCTTGGCGCCCGCCTGTTCTGTCGCGGATAGCGGTCTTAACGTCAGCAATCGTCTTGTCAGCGCATGCACCATCCACACGAAACGACGTTCCTCGCATGAGGCTGCCCCGCACAACAATCTCTATGAGCACCATTGGCACCATACCCCGACTATAGCATAGCACTGAACAACACTTGAAAGTCGGCTCAGCACTTGATCGAAGCCATGATGCCAGCATCGGTTTCCACGATGAACTGGCCGCAGCCCTTGAGCCGCAAGATCATCGCCACCTTTTCAGACGGGTTCTCGAGGCTTGTGAGAGCGGCGTGACATGGCGTGATGACATGGCGTGACGCATGGCGACAGCGCCTGATCTCCTGTCTCGACTCCCATCTCTGAGAGGGGCCGGCCATCTTCCAGAGGCTTGCCTGACATTGCTCCGAATTAGGCCTGAACATGCCTGAACTCTTTGGGGCACTAGAGGCAACCTCCCTGCTGTGACCAGCTCCCCGGGCCTTTGCAAACAAAGAGCATCTGCTCAAATGGGATCGACATCTTTTCATTGACGAAAGATTTGATTTCGGCCACGGTATCCTCGCCAATTGCTGGGAACGCGGCTACAAGACTCGTGCCACTCTGACCTACGCTCTCATTCGTAGGTGTGGTTGGTGCTATAGCAAGTTCGCTTGTGCGTTGTTGATGAACGGGATGCAACCATGGCTGTCGTGCTCTCGGCATACGATAGCAGCAGGGAGGCTCAGTCACTTCCCAAAAATGCCTGCGGCTGCACTCGGATGTTCCACTTCGCCCGCGCAGTCATGATCTTCAACTCCATCGGTTGAACTCGCACTAGGCTGACGCATGAGTCCTCAGTTCCAAAGGAGACAGAATGGGAGAGAGAATGGAGAGAGAGGGAGAGAGGGAGAGCGAGAAGAAACAAGCGGCGCCCAGAAATGCAAAACAAAAGTGTCATAGCGGATCCCGTACTCGTGCAGCTTCCGGGCATTCTGGAGAGGCCTTGGAGAGCTGTGCGCGAAACAATCTCAGATTGAGGGAAACACTGAAGCAATAATTTCTGGGAAGTTGCTAACCATCTAACCAGCTGTAGCTCTGAGTGCAGGTCTCATTTTGGTAGATCAGCGACTGCTCTTGGATCGGAATGCTCTCTTTGGTCTGGATCTCGCTCTTGAGTTCTGCGACAGTTTGCAAAGTTCGAGCCTGCACTCAGGTAAGTGCATGCTGCAATTGCACCAAAAAGGCACACGGCTTCTCACAACTTCTGGGTGCTGGTACCACTGATGGAGGTTTGCCTCCACAACGAGTGCCCGGCCAGACACCATGAGCACGGCGACACGGATCCTGTGCTTCAGTAAGCTCAGTAAGAACCCTTTTTCGGCGGAAGGCTCCCAAGCCCTGTTGAGGGCTCAGGAGTCCGGGCATTGATTTCAGTGCTTACGCCTGGGGTAGGGTGGACTCATCGTAGCTCTCCATACTGTACTTCGATCAAACACAGTATGAAGCTGAGCTGGCATTAAACTTTTGGGCAGGACGCGGATGTTGGGTTGTTTGGGTCACATTGCTACTCAGGCTCGTTTCATCCTCAATCTCAGCCTGAACTACTTTGCTCAGAGTCATTGGTACCTTGGCTGCGTCCGAAAGTGCACATCTGCTCAGGTTCCGTTCAACACAAGTCTAAGTGGTGCTGTGGTTCAGCATTGCACTGCTTTGCAATCGGGCGGCCTCTGGCATGGCCGTAGCATTTCGGACCACCATCTCGGCAGCGCCTGAAGGGAAGTCAACATCCCATCAGATCATGTGTGTGTGTGTGTGTGTGCATGGGTGGGTGGGTGGGTGGTGCGTGTGGGAGGTGCGAGTGCTGTGGCCGGGCGCGTGTGCGCGTGCGCGCGTGCGCGGGCGCGTGCGCGTGCGCGTGTGGGCGTGTGGGCGCGCGGTGGGCGCGCGGGCCCGCGGGGGAGCGCGGGCCGTGGGGCGCGGGGGCGCGGGGGCGCGGGGGGCGCGGGGGGCGCGGAGGCGGGGCGCGGGGGCACGGGGGGGCGCGGGGGCACGGGGGGGCGCGGGGGCACGGGGGCGCGCGGGCGCTTGGGCTTGGGCTTGGGCTTGTTCTTGGGCTTGCGCTTGCGCTTGCGCTTGCGCTTGGGCTTGTGCTTGTGCCTGTGCTTGTGTGTGGGTGCGCGTGAGTGCCTGCGTGCGTGTGTGCGTGCGCTATTGGTACCAGTACTAGCCAGCGCCACTAGTATGGGTGGACGGAGATAGATGGCATCTGCAACTGGCCCAACAGCGGCACGAAGCGTTTCGAAACTGGGGCTGCTGCAATCCCCGCAATGCGCAGAAGGAGCTTCACCTCGAGAAGCTCAGTGCGCACAAGGGGGTGACCACAAGGCAGTTGCCGGCAATCCCACCGGTGTACAGCACACAGCTACGCAAAGATGGTGTCCACTGTTGCCCAGGTGGGCAGGAAAATGTGATCAGGCCTGCGCAAGGGGAGAGCGACATCAGACTCAGCAGCGAAGGCAGCGTCCACGTGGAGCTCTCCATTTTCTGTGTGCTTGGCACACGCGCACAGTATCGCGCAGTCAGGGGATGGGGACTGCAGAGCTGCAAAGCTGCAGATCGGTACACGCGCATCTATGACGAGCCGCCATGCGCAGCTGCTTCCAAAGCAAGCTCAAAGTCTCCTCACGTAGCACGTGTCGAATAGCGTGATTCAAGGGCTTCTCGGAGTTTTCTTGCGGCAACAACGGCCTGTGCATTAACGATCCCTCCTCGCGTTGCAACACGTCAGTTCTGAGTTGCTGCAGTCGTGGGGCTTCTTGCAATGTGTGACACAACTGGCCAAGCGCAGGACCACTGCAGAATAGCGTCCGCCTGCATTCCTATGTAGCACTATGTAGCATGTGCTTCCTGAGGAAACCCATCTTTCGAAGAACGGGCTCAAAGGCCATCCGCAAGCAGCCGATCCCTTCGAGACCTTTGCTGCGCTTGGCTCAACAGAAATCGTTAACAGGCCTAACGGCAGCTAAGAGCTGCTAACGGCTGTCTATTGCTTCAGTTGGCAGTGGCATGGCCGCACAAACGCCAATCAAGTAGCCGGTCCGGGCTGGAAGAAACCCATCAGGTTTATTTCCAATGGATCTAATGACAGCCACGCTTCTTTACTTGTACAACATATTAAATCATGAAGCTGCCACCTCCCGCGGTGCTTGGTCGACTATCTGAGAGGGTGCCGGCATCTCAGTGCCAGCTCAAGCCTCAGTCGCAACATGTTGAGACAAGTTCCATGAATGTGCATATTTGGTGCGTGGCCCTAATATCGATTTCCTTTCATTTGGGGGCACGGGCAACCTCGGGCAGCAGAACTGAGGCAGCATTGTTCTGACATGAGTCAGGTGCTGTGGTCTTGTTTCAGGGAATGTCGAAGGACGAGCGCCCCTTTATAAACATACCTTCCTAACACACCTTTGGAGTTTGTGGGACATCAGACCCCTCGTACCTCGCAAAGGTCCTGATGTTTGAGCCTTGCCAAGGCTAGGAGCACAGCATCAATGAGTACGGCTCTCAACTCTGATCTGAGCTCAGGTCGCCAATTGGCCGGCCGTCTGAGCCTACTGCAAGCAACCATGTCTGTTCTTTAAGCTGTTTGAAGCAATCTGTATCTAATTTCGCAAGTTGCGACAATATCACGTATCACTTCCATTGACTAACACCGAGGGGAAGACACCAGAATTTGCAATTGTTCTCAATTCATAAACTCAATGACTATGTTGCTGGCCGCTGCCCGGACTGTAGAAACAATTCCCGCGCACAGACATAAAACCTTCATGAGGCCGCATGGGGTCAGCCACAGGATCCTTCCGGACTTCCGCAGCTTGCGCGCGCTAGGTAACACATGCCCGAAACCATGCCCTCGTAAAGTTCGACCTGCTAGGTTCCGCTCGTGCCACAGCTAGACTGCAGCAGACTTCGTGACATGTCGTTGACCTAGCTACCTAGCGGACCTAGCTGTTTGTCTGACAGAATTATGAATGAACGCAGCGATGCATTTCGCGCGTGTTAAGACGAGAGCCTAGGGGGTTATTAAGCCCAGGCTGCCTCGACTCCCTGATATTCCCTGATTTATCGGATCCAAAAGCGCCTCGATGACCCTCAGACAAGATGCAAACAGCAGCGACAGCAAGTTGTTTAAGGCACTAGCCAAAAGATCTAGCTTTGAGGACGTTGCAACAGGAGCTAAGAATTCGTCGGGACCTGATGTGGTTCGAGACCTAACTTTGCATTGCATGGCGAGTGCCTCCTCAGCGGCGCCAGTGTTGCTGGAGCTGCTGACCTATTGACTGTTAACATCACATCGCCTAGCGACTCTGGGCAGCGGCAGCCTGAACATGTTTCACTTACATCCAACATTCATGGTTTGTGCCGTTACGATGTGTCCGAGGACTCATGGCACTCCCTATTCAGCTTGAGGGCCCCGGCGAAGCCGAGCCAGCGGACCTTTGCACAGCATCATGCTCCATTGCTTTCAAAGACAATCTCATACAGCATGCTTTTTTCTCCTTGATACATGCAGCAAGTGACGTAGCCCATGATGTGGACAAGGACATGTGGAGGGAGGGATGCGCGGCGACATCGTAGCATGGATCTTAAGAATTGGCAGAGACATCCATTGCCTTGCCCGTGATTCTGTGCCGTGCCTAGTTACAATGCGGGGCGCACTACATCTTTGAATCATTCGACAGGTCAATTCGCAGTGCCCACATGACATCACCAGAGCTACTTCCTTCGAACCCCGTTAAAATGTGTGCCAGGTTGTGAGCGTACCCCATGCTTTCTGTGATTTCGGGCTCTCCAACCGTGTCCAACCATGCGTGCGTAGCTGCTCACAACTAGCCGAGACTTTTTTGCAAATCCGCATAAATGTGCCCGTGGACTTGAGATGTGCATGTCGTGCGTTGGCATGGCGAGTCAACATCATGGCAAGCAACCCCATGGAGAGTTGCACGATCGGCGGCTGCTTGTTTGGCCACTCAAGGATGCCATACCATGTGACCCGTGTTATGACCATAACTCACTTTCTCACCTCATCCCCGTATAGTTAAGCCCCAAATGCCCTGGCCTCTACACGCTCTCTCGTGCGTACAAGCAGCGAAGTAAGTGCAGCCAAAGGCGGCATGAAAACAGGCCTGAGACAAGTGGAAAGGATGGCAAATGATAGCAACATCCACTTGCACGATTGAATCTATTGCTTGCTACGGACCTTTTTCATGACGTTTCATGTGAGTTAAGGGGGTGCACCTGCCACTTGCAGGTGACGCCGGTCTCTGCTTCGCACTACCCTCGCCCCAAAACTGGAGTTCTATGCGGGAGGGCATGTCTGCCACGAGCCTGTACAGGCTAGCCACCGGGGCGCGCATCACTCAGGCAAACAAGACTTGCGAATTGAATAAAAGATCCCATTTGGGACTGCTACATCAGGCCAATGTACACAAAAGTGCATTTTCCGGAAAATGCGACTGGTCAGACTAAGGTCTGAAACCGCGACGGCCGCTATGGCGGCTATGAATGTGATGTCAGATGACCTGTACAATCTTCATGCATAGGTTGCAGTTGTTGCAGAAACTTGCAGAAGGCCCTCGCAAATTTTGCTATCCGCGACGACCTTGTAGCATCAACTCCTCAGCACACCACATTCTCAAACTTCACTCGGATCTGTCTACCCTCGGGCAGCTGGACCTCGTAACGGCCGGCGGAGTGATCAACATCCAGGACCTGCGCTCTCTGGCCATTGAGTTCCTCTCGGCTGAGGTTGCGGAGGCGCACGCAAACGCCGGGATCCAGGATGCAGTTGGAAGGCTGGAGGCGTACGACAGTCGGAGCTGCAGCCTGCACGATCACAACGTACCTTCCGCTAGTGCTGTCCATGCCCACGATTCGACCAGAACTGCCGTTGAGCTCCGGCTTACTGGTCAGCCCATGAACGGATACGGTGCAAAGCTGCGTCAGATTCTCCGGGCGAACCGATAGATTGGAACCATCATCCAGCTGGACCTGGTAACGGCCACGTTGCTGCTCAAAGCCTCGGACCTTACCGCTCTTCCCGTTGTGTGCCGCAGAGTTTGACAAGCCATGGACGACTACCTGATGTCCGGAAGGGATGGTGCACTGTTCATGAGGACGGCGCCTCGAACGTGAGCTTGTTGCACCTCCTGGCATGCCCATAGACATGAAAATATCCGACATGTCGATGCCGCCCATCCCTGACATGTTCATGCCAGTCATTCCCATGCCATCCATGCCACTCCCGGCAAACATGTAGGAGCCCTGTGGCGAAGCTCGGCCGCCAAATATGCTCTCGAAGAGTTGTTGTGCCTGCTCCGGTGTCATGCCAGCTTCGCTTCCTGGAGCGTAGAAGCCCGGAGTTCCCAGGTTGCCCGGACCATCCTGTCAAGGTTGCCAACACACATCACGGGTAGCCGGTAAGCCCTGTAAGCCCTACCTACTTTGTCCAAGTTTTCGACGCATTGTGGAGTCCTTGCCGTACTGGTCATACATCTTCCTCTTTTCCGGGTCATGCAGCACTTCGTAGGCCTCACCGATTCGTTGGAATTCATCCTTTGCTTGTTCCATCCTGCCCGGAGCAATCACTATGGCTCGACTATGCTTGTCTTGTATGTGCAGCCTCACCACTTTTAGTCCCCTGCCGTGCAGCCGAAGTCCTGTCTGCATTCCTATCCGGATGGTGCTTCAGAGCCAGCTTCCGGTATGCCTCCAGTAGGACAGGGAGCAGCAAGGATCAGTGATTTGCGCACAGGTGCATTTCGAGCCTTGGTGATGTCTGCATCGGTGGCATCCCGTGGCACACCGAGAACTTCATAGAAGTCTGCAGAATGGACGTTCGCTGCCTCAGACAATTGCAGTTCAATTGCAAGTTGCGAAGTACTTCGCATATTTCAAGCCGGCCGGATCAAGGTAGGCTGAAGTCAGCCTTCGAAAGTGCTCGAGGTCCCGATACGATCCGGCGCAATTGCAGTACATCGCAGTACATTACTCTCGAATTCTTCATATTGTAACACTTGTGGGATCTTGTGGGATCTTGTGGGTCTTTCTGAGTGAGGCCAAGCAGCAGGAGCCATTGCGCCGAGAATCACGAGAATCGGGTCTGGAATGAGCTACCAATTGAAGGCTTGAGCCAAGTGTGCCGGGCCGGGCTCTGATCAGCCTGTGCTGGTGCTTGCAGTGGGCATGATACAGCCCTCCGTTGCTCAAACTCGCTATAACTCGCTCGCTGATTTGATAGATTCGAGTTGTGCGGTGACACGACTCGCAAACCAGAGCCGTCTTACAGTTAACAATCATATAATCATATTTCCTGCACGTTCAGGTATTTTGCCATGACTTTAAAAAATGTACAAAATTCAGACTGCGCCAACTTCACTCAAGCCGTTGAATAGCGCTTTTGTTCAACATGCGCAGCGGTCTGCCCTTTTGGCAGAGTACTTCAGCCGCGTTCTTCACCCTCCTGCACGATTGCGAGTGCAGTGCATTCGACACATGGTAACTTAGCTCTTTTGTATTCTTCGAGCCAGCTATCATGCTGATGCTGCTGCTACTGCTGTATGCGGCTCAGCCATTGCATTGAACTGCCTCCACGTAAACGATTTTCCCGGCTTCCAGTCGGACTGGAATATGGCAATATGGGCGGGATGCCAGTGTGATCAACCTGGGGGCATCAGACCCGAGCCACCCAGAAATCGACTTGAGCAGATCGCAGCGAGATTGTTCGGCGCCCACAGCAAGTATGTTGTTGATCACTCCATGCAGCTGTGCCACTCTGGATCTGAACGCAGAGCGTGAGATGCGTAGGACCTGGCAGCTCCAGACTTCAGCATCTGCACGGACATTGCCCGCAGGGCGCCGCAAAATCTTCTTTGCTAGGCATATGTGTGCAATGCTGGGATCTCGGCAGCGCGTATCCATGCCCCAGGATAGCCTAAGACACGGAATGGGGGACCCTTTCTGGCATGCTCACATGACTTGCAAGATTTGCAAGTTCCACTGTCCTGGTGCACAACTTGACGATCATTTCGGAGCTCCTTGAAGGCAGAAGCAGGAATGGCAACATGCCCCAAGGTGTTCGAGAACTTGGCGGACGAGCACCGTACTAGCGATGCACTTGCACTCGCACCTCCGAAGCGCACCGCAGCAACGTGCCATGATAGCGTACTGCAGCCATCATCACCTGCAGCTTCGCAACAGCTAGCGACACGAATCACGGAATCACGTCGCCCTATCATTGCAAGCGCGAGCCTCCCGATCGGACCTGAAACGGGCATCAGCCCATTGAATTGCATTTCCTTAGCTTCTTGGCATGATCCTCAGAACCACCGACAGATCTGACAGCAACTTCTTGCAACACGTTGGGCATGCGAGGCGACTTCTTGTCAAGATTTCGTCAAGTGTCCATTGGACTTCACAGCTGTCAGGATGAGCTGTCGGTCTTTCCCTCAGAGTGGACGGTGCTGCAGCACCATTGGACCATGCCAGACGTAAGAAACACAATGAAACACACAAGCAGGGAACGGGCATCCAGCAGAAATCGATTCAGCACTGCAAAGAGCAAGACCAAGAAGCCAGATTGAACCCCGCAGCAATCTAGACAGAATGCCGGAAGCGGACGCGATGACTCAGACGCAACACACGCCAGCACACACACAAACACACAAACACACAAACACACAAACACACAAACACACAAACACACAAACACACAAACACACAAACACACAAACACACAAACACACAAACACACAAACACACAAACACACAAACAGACACACAAACACACAAACACACAAACACACAAACACACAAACACACAAACAAACAAACAAACAAACAAACAAACAAACAAACAAACAAACAAACAAACAAACAAACAAACATTCCGAAGGAGCATATACTCAATACGAGCACTTCGCATCCACTCCGTATTTTCTTCTCTTCACAGCTGTGGGCAATTCCGAGTCTGAGTTCTAGTGAACAGCTCCTGACACACAGGAGGTAATTGCATTGGTAACATCCGGACCGCTTCCGGGTCCCACGGTAGCCGGGTCAGAAACGCCTGACTCCTTCAGGTGACAAGGCCAGCCCTAACCCCAATGCTTGAAGCCCAAAGCTCAGGTGGACCCTCAGGCCATGAGATGTCCCGAACAGCGAAACAAAGAACTTGAACACAGACTGCAAAATTTCCCCAAGGTCCTCGCCGAACTCGCCCAGCCTGACCACTCCGAGCGACGACCTGAGCACTTCAGTGATGCAAAACAGGGTAACCCCCTGCCGCTCACAAGAAAATGGTGCTTGCGGGGTCACTCCCCGCCCATAACACATGTGCATTTGTGGGTACCGCAAAATTGGAGGTCCGCTCCGGATCCCCACACTCGACTCAAGTCTCCTCTCAGTCGCTCTCACTCCCAGAGCCACTGTCGGACAGGGGCCGTGACGCCATGGCCACCCGTGCCTGCAAGCAATCACGGCACATTGCTGACTGCAAGATCTGGTGCACGAAATCCCCTGAGCCCCCGCAGTCCACACAGACCGCAGGCATAGACCGGCCCGCGGGGTCTGCCGCCCATCGTAGCCAAAGCAGCATAGACCGATGGGCTTTGTGCACTTCATTGGCCCGTGCCTGGTTGGGCGTGGGCTCTGGGAGTAAGAGTGGATCGCGCCAGGCCCGTTGTCCCTGCTGCGGTTCGCCAAGCCCGAAACACATCGTCCACAGAGGGATGGGCTGCGCCGTGGAGGTCGTTGATCTCGGCCTGATAGAGCACGCGCCCAAATGTAGCAGTGAGCATATCCTGCAGCTCCAAGCCCGAGCTAGCATCCCACAGCCTGTCCTCTGCAAGAACTTCGTGGCAACGATCGTAGGCGGCAAAGGCCACCGCTGGCCCCAACTCAGGCTCCTCCACGATGGCTGCACTCTTGGACCAGGGGCCAAGGAAGGGGAATTGGTAACCACCTCTGGCTCGCCCGCACCGATCACACCCAGCCTGGGTACAGACAATCCGGCGCACCGGAACCTTGGAACCCAAGAAGTCAAAGTCTGTAATCGAAGGGGAGGGTGCCGGTAGGTGTGTAATCTCAGCAACCCGACTCCAGATGGACCACAACTCGTCCTGACGGCCCTGACGTGCCAGATCAGACATGTAGGCCCGGAAGCCCAACCAGTTCGCGGGAGCCAAGGTCGGCAAATTTGTGTGAATGACTGTAGGCTCATCATCCATTGCGACACAGGGATCACTTCCCTGGGAGAAAAGAAAAGAAATGTTCCAGCTTGCCAGTTTGGCTCTAGCCAAGTCTTAAGCCAAAATGTAGCAAGCCGGTACATTGCATCCTCAAAATGAAACATGCACACCCAAGGCCTGCCTAACTCAATGCATGTGCACAAACACACACACACACACCTCCAACACCGAACACTGAATACTAAACACTGAACACTAAACACTAAACAGAAGACGAGCACTAACACTGACCCTGACACTAACAACAACACTACAAATAACACACACACACACACAAACACAAACACAAACACAGACACACACAGACACACAGACAGACGGACAGACAGACACAGACTGAGACACAGACAGAGACAGGGACAGAGACAAACACAGAGACAGAGACAGAGACAGACACCACAGACAGACAGACAGACAGACTGACTGACTGACTGACAGACTGACTGACTGACTGACAGACAGACACACAGACACACAGACAGACATAGACAAAGAAACAGACAGAGACACACACACACACACACACTCACACGCACACGCACATGCGCACACGCATGCCGCACTTGCACATGCACATGCGCCCGCAACCACATGCTCCCACGCACCCGCACACCTGCACACCCGCGCACACACACACACACACACACGAACGCACAAACAAGCACACAAACACACACACACACACACACACACACAGAGCCGCACAGCCGCACAGCCGCACAGCCGCACAGCCGCAGAGCCACATAGCCACACAGCCACACGCAAACGACACAACAAGGCAAAAGCACATCGAACGCTGGCGGCTACGGGTAGCCAAAATCAGCACAGGCACGTAGCTCCTGCCCGACATGCTTGAGAGTGCAGCCATCGTAGGAGACAGCAGCATACGCTATTTGACGATCTTCGCGCAAAGCAGCTTCGAAGCTGGCTTCGGCAATGACGTAGCCTCATAGAATCCCATCAGACAGCATTTCAGCACCCATGTCCCCAGACAGAAGTCAGAGCACCAAACACTTCTTTCGGCTGAGAAAGCTTCTAAATTCTAAAACCTCATGGATGTGGGACTTTTGAAAGCTGTCCACGGCACTGAAAACAAGTGGAATATGAATAACACCTGAAGCTTGGCCACCGTTTTGCTCCACGGCCGCCAACGCCACATCGGGGTCCCTGACAGACAAGTTGCAAACTACCTACAGGGAACGAAAGACAGTGTTCGGGCTACAGTGGATCTCCTCTGCAGCACGGCTGTCGCATGACGCAGGGCCAGGCCATTCTGTCGAACTGCACGCAGCACGACATCCTGCAGCACTGGCAAGGGCGTGGACCGTCAAGACACATTCCAGGCTGTCCAAGTCATTATCAAGACATATCATGGCAGCTTGTGGGCAGTTTGCAGTGGCAGCCAAGTGGACGGATGCCACATTCCACAAAAAGTGCTTGCATTATGAGCCTCAAAATTGGTGGAGCGCCCGAGTTCGTTGAAATCGAGGACCCTCTTTGTGTTTCCCGTGGGACCGAACACTCTCGTCCAGGCACCGTGCGCTCTGGAGAGCCTGCGTCGGCATCCAAAACATCACAGCACAAAGCATGTTCTTGCCCCTGGCAGGTGCCAAATTGCGCTCTCGCCAATGTCACATGCTCCAAATCGCACTCTCGCCTCGGTCCCACGCAGCTCCGTGTCGAGAAAACACAGGCAAGAGCACTCAATTGTTTTTGTGGGGTTCGTTTCCTTGTGAGCTTCGTGTGTTCGAAGAGGATCTGTATTTCAGAGATGTTCAGACCCTGTTTTCGACAAAAGGTGCCCTCCTGCCTCGGTCCCGCATCCTTCGTGAATTGCAGTTAACTGTCCTCTTTCGGAATTCCCTTTGAGGTTCCAAAGGTTTGCTCCTGGAGTGGCCTTGGAGTGCTCTTGCCGTGCTAGTCTTACACTGTTTGGGCTCTACGCTGGCATGATTACAGAAGCCCGCACCTTGTCTGCCTTCAATTCTGGCGATGCAAACGACAGGGCCAATCCGTTTTGCGAAACCTGCCCGTCACGAACATTTATCTCGAGATTCTGTCAATCAATGACAATGTATCTCAATGCTCAATCTTGCGTGCTGAATGAGCAGGTTCGGTTGCCAAGCAGCTGCGGCCATGGCCACGTCGCGATCACTCCGGAGTTCCTCCGCGGCCAGTGCCAGAGCATCGCCACAGCGCTGAACCTCAACTTCTCAACGAGTCTCATGTGTCTCAACTCACTGGATTGGACATGTCAGACCTTCCGAATGACTTCGAATGACCATAGCTTTGCGCAGTGGGAAAGGTGGACCTCTCAGGCGTGTGCCTTTGTGGCTTCTAGCAGTACAAGGGTCAACACTGCTTCTCAGATGAGTGGGGGGTCTCTCATTTCTTCTTAAGCCACCAGCCTTGGGCAGCATATGCATCACCATGGTACAGTATCTGGCCAAGGAAGGAGTACGGGAAAGTCGGCAAGCTATTTAACGCAAGGCGTGAGCAAAGGTCGCCAAAAAGGAAACTCGCTTTGCATCCGTTTTTGGTTGTTCAATGCGGTTCTCAGCAGCTTCTCAAGAACTTTCCCTCCTCCCTTGGAAGGCCGAAATTGCAGAAGCCCAGCTCTACAAGTCCGGAAACTCTTTCGGCCAGGCCTTGCAACAGGGGTTCATGACTCTGGGTCTAGGCTTGGGGGGGTGGGCTATGACGCGCAACGCGGATGTACATACAGCGGGGGAATAGGTTTCGCTTTGCTGGGATGAGTGACTCTGGATGACTCTGGTTCAAGTGGTCTGCTGGGCAGCAGGAAGAACATACGAATCCTATTGGACAACGTGACAAATGCAGGCATTGGCACCGCCAGGATCACGAGCTCGCGATCTGCTTGGACCTCCTCAGGAGCAAAGAGCAACTCCATTCCATCCTCCAGGGAGTGATATCAAGCCAAGAAGTTGACACCTTCTGTGTTTGTGACTGCCCGTCTAGGTCACTCCGATTCAGTTGGCTCTGCACTTGCTGTGAGCACTTTCAGCACTTCTGAATATCACACTCACGCACATAATCAGCACGTCATAGAGTTGAGCTTGCAAGCGTCCTCTTGCAGAGTTTCCGCCCAATGTGCCCAGAGCTCGGAAGACAGTTTTAGGCACCGCAGAAGCGAAACATCCAGGCCGCCATCAGTTGCAGAAAGCAAGCAGGTTACATCTGGCTCCTGCGAACACTGGCTCACAACAGGACGCAATCCAAGGACCGTTCTCTGGCTTGAATGGCGGCTGAGTCTGCGTTATCTATTGTTCGGGTTGCAGCTTGATTCAGACACACACACACACCCACACACACAGAGGTAGAAGCACTTGTACTTAGCGTCGGGAGGTTTCACGAAACTGAAACCCGACGCCCCGAAAGAACCAAAGAGCATGGTGGATACGGACCCGACCGAGATTGCCTTGATGTAACTCATTAGGCCATGGGAACTATCTGGTCGGCTGCAGGGCTGCGCTGTGTTGCTGACTAGCCCTGGCACCGCTGGCACGACTGCCAGCTTGCTATAGGACTGCAGCAATGTGTAGCAATGAACTTCGTGCGCCTCCGTACAGTGGGGATGCCACTTCAAGGGGCCAAACAGAATGTTGCTGTATGCTGCGGTTGTTTGCTCTTTGTATGTTGTCGGTCGGCCCCGGCCTCACTGCCGACCAGGAGACGCTGCTCCTGCACAGGGATCCCCAGCTTGTCCTGCAAAGCCTCCTTCACATCCTGCAGACAGAATTTGGCAGATGTGGGTAGGAGTGGAAGGTGGAAGGCCCCTTCAGCAGCAAAGCGCATGCAAAGAACTGTGCAAAGGTGACAACTCGGAGATCCGGTCCTGCACGGTGCACGGTGCGCCGAGAGCGAGCTCGCACAGCGGACCCGTTAGTCCGGAGACCCGCAGCTGCAAAGCATCCATGCGGGGCTTTGTGATGGCGGCTTTGGGGGCTTGTGATTGTGGGTTTTGCCCGTGGTTGGCCAAAAAGGTTCACCGCAACCTCGAGCGACTCTTTCTTGTGCTTTGCTGGGCAACGCTATCATGACTTGATTTCCCATTGATTTCCCCAACCCCGAATCCTGTCGACACTTGCCAGCTGCACAGCTCTGGCTTGAACGGTTGAACGGCTGAACGGCTGGCTGAACGGCTGAACGGTCGAATGCGTGCAGGCTCGAAAGCTCATTCTGGCTCCCCGGCGTGCTCTGCGTCTTGACCAGGGCCCGAGGAGTTCCCGTCTCTCCATCTGCCTGAGATGTCAACGGAAGCCAGCACCGAGTTTGTCTCAGATTTGCACTGATCTTCTATGTCCAGGCACCCTTGTCTCGAGTCTTGATTCCAGTCTCTGAGCACATGACCGGTGCAAAGCTAGGGCGGTCCGGGGACCACGGCTGCGCCTGAGCACTCTGATGAGTGTCGGAGGAGCATGAGGGAGCTGGAGCCCTGAATGAAAGCTGATACCCAACCTGCACTGGGCTAGCCAAAACGCCTCTGCCTCTGGTCTTGATTAAATACCCTACTTCAGCTATCTTGCAGTCCGATCAAATCCAACCTTCTGATACTATTCTGAGCTCTTCGCCCCAGCAGAACTGGAGGCGAGAGGCCCCGAGTTCAGTAGCGCAATGGTCAGCTCCTACAGTACCAAGCTTGTCAAGCTTGCAGAGATTGGGATGCAATGAATCGCAACTCGTGCCCCTGCTAACCGTCACTGGCAGGGCTCCTGGGACTCTGCAAAGGCAGTGGATGCAGTCGTGGCGGTTGCCTGCATTGGCCTGGCAGCGAACGGTGACTCGCTGCTTCACAGGCTTTCTCCGACTCCAACACCAGCTGCGGGGCCCTTCGACATGGAACGACACACTTGCTATGGTCTGCAATAGTCTTCAACATGTCGGAGCGACTTTTCAGGCAACACCTAGGCGAAACCAAGAATTGTCTGAGAACCAACGACAAGCGTTTCGTTCTAGATTCTAGATTCTAGAGCCTGCAGCGCTACGGACTCTATGTCCTACTATAGTATGTTCAAAGGCTGGGGATGTCTCGCCACCGGTCAGCGAGCTGATGCCAACTGCTGTCTAAGGCACGCCAGTTTCCACCAGCGCAGCCCGAGCCTGTGCCTGACGAAAGATCTCTGTTGGCCGACAGCCTTTAGCCCGAGCACTTCTCATGTGGCATGGCCTTTTGAGTCTCTTGTTCGGCTTGAGCTGCTCGCTCGAAAGCCTGTCTTGGCTTCACATGAGGATTGGTGAGCAGCACAGAACAGGACAGCCTGCGCATTCTCCACCTTTAGCGACTCGTTTGAGGCACGCACCTGGGAATAGAAAGGAACCATCAGGAAGCTGCAAAATTTAAATTGGGAGCACCTTAAGTCTCATTCCTAAGCCTGCTGATGTCTGGTCATCAGGGCTGAGCAATCTGGACCTCCTGATACAGACTTGCCACCCTCAGCCAGGATGCAGAAGAAACTGCAAGTCGTGTATTGCGCGGATACTCACAGATCAGTGGCAAGACGAGTGTTCAGACAATCTAAGACGAGGCACTGGTCCTTAAGCCTCTCGATCCGTACCTGGCCCCATCCAAGCCATCGGAGCACAGACGAGCCGAAAACTGGCAGCACTCACAGAAAACAACACCGGCGGTCCTCATTGGATGAGTCGCGATCAAGCATTGCAGCCTGGGCGATGAGTCAGTGTCGGAACAGCGGACGACTAGGAGCAGGGCACGATTCAACGTGCGCGTGTGCTGTGCACAACAGACTGCACTTTTTTTGCAACCGCCACGCTGCAAGACACTGGTCACAGCAGCAAGTGTACCAGGGTACATCCAGGGTACAGAAATGTACTCATCAAGGAAGGTCGTATGTCTGAGAGGAAGTTTGCGGTCTCACTGCTCTGCCAGCAGATCGGCAGCCTGCTGGCACTCAGACGTGAACACTAGTCAAAGCTGAGCCACATCATAACTGCAGGTCCGAAAGCTTCTGAAGCTTCAAGTGCTGTCTCTGCGCAGTCCTTGACATCGATAGACCAACCCCGGCCCGGCTTGAAGTGTGTGACCTTCAACGTTCTACAGCAGCATTTGCAAAGGCACAAGCCAGATCAGCAGACTGCAGGGGCTGATTTCGCATGCTTAGCAAGTGCACTAGCCGCTAGATGCTTCAACAGGCTTGCAACAGTAAACAATTCCCTGGAGTCATCAGCATCGGACCTGCAGAGGTCCTGCAGCTGTGACGGCCGGGCTTTGGAGCAGCGTAGTCCGCCGAAGAAACTGCCACAATGTGTGTGAAAACATGCGTGAACACATTGCGAACACAATGCGATCGCGAACTCAGCAGAAATTCCTCAGACATGCGTTACTGCTACATTCTTTTTGTGTGAAGCTCGGAACCATGAATATTGCTTGGATCACGAAATCTGGCTGGTTGCGGCGAAACCCGTCTGAGATAGTTTGAGGGACTTTGCCTTAGTCCGCAGTACGGGTCTACATCTTTACATTGTTCCGGCATGCAGTACAATCATCTAGCGTTGCCCGTGCCCTGGGACATGATCGTAGACTCAGAGCAACAAATATCTGTGGCAATTTCTAACCATGTAGCCACATCATTGGATCATGCAATCTACGAAACTCCTATGAAGGCATTGCCATCTTTTCACCCTGCACAGGATCAGATTGACAGGGCATGTCCAGATGCGCTGATCTGCTTATCTGTTCATCAGACTATGGCATCGAGAATCGAATGGGAGATGGGGAGTCGGTCCCGCAGGGCCAGCTGATTCGAGACAGGGTCTTGCTAAGCTGCCGCAATGCCTTGTCAAGTACAAGGCATGGCGATGGTACGTGGGCAAGATGATGCAAGATGCCCACCCAACGTCTTCAAAAGTCAGGCATGTCAAACAATTGACTGCCACTCAGCTGTCGACCTTCCTCTTAGTGCCCTTCTTTGGAAGATCTGTTCGAAGGGCTTCAAGGGCTTGGCTGCGCTTCTCCTTTGAGGAGCACTTGGCACTTGAGAAAACTTGGGGGTCGAGATAAAGATAGAGACCACCTTCCTTGGCTGGAAGTAGAAGGCTTGGTCCTGCATCGGACACAACACTCTCCGCAGGGCCGGTTCCGAAATCCAAGAGCGGACGCTTCGACGAGTTGTTCACTGCAAGCTTCATGTCAACATCACGTTTGTAGTGAAACTCCTGCATGAGGCTATGCTCCAATTTCTTCTCGCAGGCGCCGTTCAGTAGTTGCCAGCGTGCTTTCTGTGACTCCAGGGATCCTTCCTTTTTGGCGAGACCTTCATGCAACCTGCTGGCAATTTCGGGAAGCGTCAAAAGCTTCAGGTCCTCCACCATTACGCTTGTGAAGGTCAGGCCACCTCCCATAAGCTGGTTTGAGGGAAGCCCAAGTGCCTTACGGGCATCCAGTAGGAACATCATCTGAACTTTACCTTTTGCATCTGGTGGCAGAATGTGTTTTCCCAGCGTCATCAGCAGGTAAGCACAAAATGCCTCTTGTGTTGTGACCCATTTGTCTTGGCCTGGCTTTACTTCGGTTGGTGTGGCTTCTTCTTTGATAGCTGCTAGCTCGTCATCTGAGAAGTAGACCCTGTGTCTGTTCAAGCCCAATCTGGCGTGCAGAAACAGTGTGTCCGCAATGGGGGCAAGAGCTGGCACCAGAACCTGCCCAACCATGGCCTTGAGCCAGGACGCTGAGAGCGTCTTGCCAATCTCCTTCCAAGGTTTGTGCTTCAAAACTTCGGGCTTCAAGGCATATATAGCATAAGGCATAGGGCTTTTGTTTAGACTGTAAGAATTTGGGGGTTGGCCCTGGCATTACTTGTTGGCCTCATTAATCAGTCTCCTTCTGAGCCAAGGCTTGCACTGTCTCTTCATCTGGGACAAGCTGGCTGATCTTGTCCCTGTTGGAGCATGGAGCTGAGGTCGCCTCCCCGCGCGCGAGGCTCGCCCAAAAAGAAAGAAATGTCCAGGCCGAAGTTCCGTCGAACAGCATGTGTGAGCGACAGAATGCCAATATGCTACTTCCATCTTGGAACATGGTCAACTTCACGGTCATCAAGGGTTCACGACCGGCTCGAACTGCAGGGGGCCGGCAGTAGTTGCCAAAGTCGGGTAGCTTGGACTCCTCGACGAACTCTGGGGCCGTTTTCTCTGAGCACCGAACTATCGAGAATGGCACACCCTCCCCAGTCAGCACCGCCTCGAAGCCATCCTGAGTGCTACGAAGTCGTCCTGCCATGAGGGGAACAGCTTTGAGCGCTTTTTCCAGCGACGTCTTCAGCTGCGCCACATCCACGCTTGAGTAGCGTAAGGCAATGGCTGGGTATGTTGCAAAGGACAGCGGCATCATGCCGAACATGCGGTCTCCTGCCCTCATCTTCACTACCTCGGGCTCTGTACAGGCTGCAGTTGCCTGACCATCTGGCCGAATGATCTCAACTTTCTCTTCGAGGACATGCAGAGGGCCGAGAAGCCCCTGCGAACATCCATTCAGCACATTCCAGGCCATGGTCCAACTACAGCTGGCGAGCTAGCGAAGGCGAATCCTAGTGTCAGAGCCTCTCCACGGCAGTGAACCTTGATTACCAGGAGCGGCTCTCTGCTCTGCATCCTGCCCTGATCCCGCACGCCTCGGGTGAGATGCCGGTTGCGTTGGTGCGAGACTCCTGAATGCAGCCGCGTGCTGAGACAGAAGCTGTCTAATTTGTCTAGCGAACCTTTACAGAACAGCAGAGCACAGGGGAGACACGGCCCGGATTGAAAAACCGGCAGATCAACAGCACTGAACTGGCATGGCTCACGGCGTGAGCCAAAATCCTGTCTTTAGAACTTCCAGAAAGCAAGTGTTGCTCCGAAGCTTGACCATATTGGCGCTGCAACGCGTTTTTCTGGAACATCGCATCCCGGAGGCACGCCTTGAGTAGGCTGAGCCAGTCGAACCATGAAAATCCAGCATCGACATCGTGCTCCTGGCAGATGCACAATACGTAGCAACGTGTGACGTATTTGAAATGAGGCGTGTGTGTGTGTGTGTGTCACATGCTTGTACTGCTACCGCCATGGCTTGAGCCTTCTCCTGTGTGGTGGTTGCCTGCGTCGTGGTGGTCGTTCCGGCACCCGTTCCAGCCTCCAAGCATGCCATGCAACCTAAAGTGAATCTAAAGTCCATAGGTAACAACGGTGACTATTTTGATTGTTGCTCGAGAGGACAGCACAAAGACAGCAGTTGTTCTTTGGACAGGACGGGCTCAGCGCCGCTGCAACCCAAGGCCCATGCCTGCTGAGAACTGTTGGACCGGCCCAGTGTCAAAGCTGCCTCCGAAACGGAACGCGGAGCTGTGCAAGAAATGCCTATGTGCCAGATTGCTGGGCAAACTTCTGCCTCTGTGCAACCTTTTGTACGGTTGCTGAGCCATAAGACAAGATGTGTCACAAATCGCGGGCACAAACTATCCTTCAGATGTGCGTGCGTACTGTACACTCCGAGCACGATCACGGCACTGTGAATCCGTCAGAAAACCAGTCATACCAGCAAGTTCATCATTCGAGCACATCTGCGTCGATTCACAGGTGCCTGCCGCCGTCATGTCGTGGAACTGGCATTTTGCCAGACTGGAACGTTTACACAATAAACGTTGCGTGTAGGATTGTAGGACATTGAAAAGTCGAACCTAGCAAAGCCGAATGCAGCGGCTCAACATAACAGCTCTGGCAACATTTGCAATGAGTCCCGCAGGATCACAGTTGGTGTGCTAGCTGCTAAAATTGCCTCTTCTTGCTTCTTGCCAGCTTCAATTAGCAGCTTTCCAAGGTGGCATCTTCGATGCCCGATCAATCCCGTGCAGTCAAACGAATTGAGCCGTAATTGAAGCTGAAGCTCTCTGAAGCTCGCTGCTTTCTAAGCTGAATCATGTTAAGTCGGTAGACCCGCTAGTCCTTTCAGACAGGCGCTTGCCTTCACTCTGGTAGCTTGTCAAAGAAGTCATGGCCTGGGCTCTCTGTTGCTCACTGCATAGCGGCATAATTAACCCTTTTTTAGCACCTACGAGTACATGACGAAACTGCCTCACTTCCCATCTCCGTCTTTACTTATGTGAAGGTGCTTAACAAAATAAGCTGTCTTTTGTGGGGAAGAACTGCTCCCACAAGACTTGCGCTCGTCGCTTCACACAGTGCTTCACTCTGTTGACTCCCGCCTGCACCTCTTGACGTTTTGTTGCCAATGCGGCGCGGATCTGCCGCGCGGCTTTGGCCTTTGGTACCATGGTACTCGGAAGGAAGAGACTGAATGATGTCACGACTTGCCCCCGAGTCATGCCACACAAAAGCCCCTGCGACACATCTCCAACTCCCAATCGCCAGCTACCGCTCGTTCTCATCCTGGCCTTGCTCTTGGTCACCAAGAAGGTCTGATGATCTTGACCCTCCAGGGTAACCTCTTGTTGCCAAGCACGAAGATTTCATGCAGGTAGAACCGCAACGCAGCGCGCTCCCCCGCGTTCCCGCTGCGTTGCTGACACGGTGCAGTGCGAGGCTCGAAGTCATAGTCATGCCCCCCTTCATCCAACCATGATTTTGTTGATTGACCTGGTGGGGACTTGCCAGTGCAGAACTCATAGGTAAGCGAGAATAGCCTGCCATAACACAAGCCTGAGCAAGACATTTTCTGGACGGGCGACTGAGCTGAACTTTGCCGGGCACCCCGGAGCTCTCCATCAGATTGGCAAACTCGACTGCCGGGCCGAAAAGATGATAACGGGGTCCTGCAAACGCTCTTCTACGCAGAGGGGCTCTCATGCGGAGGCGCGTATGTGTACGGTGTCGAATGCAGGCGGAGTCAAGTACAGAGTCCTGTTTTGCCAACAACCCCGGCGACAACGTTGCCTGTGTGGACACCCGCTCCTTGAATCGCAACTCTTCGATCATGGCTTGTCTCTAAAAATTCTGCCATGACTGACAAAGAACCTTGAATGAACGAAGCCTCATTCGCGGTCCTAGGCATTACAATAAGCTGGGCGAGACATTGACATTGCCTCTTGTATCAGAGAAGCACAAGCCCAAGTGGCTCATCATCACAGAGTTGTCATCAAACACCGTGGGGATGACCCGCTGCATCGAGACGGCAACCTGTGAGTACTTAGATCACTAAGCCAGGGGCTGGCAACAACTTGAGAGCTCAGCACGTTCCTCCAGAGCTCGCATGGCGAACTCGTCAGGGAAGTTGGAGTCCTCCTGTCACAGCTGTTCTCAAGTTCGCAGACATTCTCGGCCGTTCCATGCCAAGCCCTCGGCCCCCGTCTTCCCTCTGTGTTCACTCCGCCCCCCCTCGCTCACAATCGCTCACAATCGCTCACTGCTCCTCACGAGCCGGGCAGCCTGATGAGATAAAGTACGCATCGCCAATGACTTCCTGACATGGGCTTTCGCATCAACGATACCGCGGCAAATTATCTACCTAGACATTCGGACACATTCGTGACGATTGGTTGGGCAATCATTAGCAAGTCATCAGCGATTGCTGATAGCGCAGCTTTGTCTCGACTTTGTAGAGGCCCCATTCCAGTATGATCTCGTCGAAGGCAGAGTACAGAAGATTCAGCAACTCCACCAACTCCGTCGGAGTGATGCCTGCAGATGATGCTGTGTGCGACGGAATCAAACTCATAAACTCTACTATAGTTACTATGATAGTCGACCATGCCCCGAAAGTGCAGCGCGAAGCACGGGAGCAAAAGGCAGTGAAGCCTTTCAGATCCTTGGAACCGAGGAAGAAACAAACAATGCTGAAGACTGAGAGAAGAAACGCACTGCATGAAAGGACATGACAAGCTTCCGTGAAGACAATGCTGACGTCTGGGAAATCTTCTGCAATCGGCGAAACGTTGTCCTGAGTCTGATCCAAAAGACAAAAACAAAGGCACTTCGACTATCCGCGCCCTGGTTAAAGTGTGCCCAAGGATACTCCAATGGATCGGGCTGAAGGGATCATCTGTGGGTTCACACTCCAGGGTTCCAGCAGCGGGTGGGCACTGTGGGGGGTCTGGGAGTGGGCACTCAAGATCACTCAAGGGATACTCTTTGCGTGAGCACTCCAGCATGCTTCAGCTGGGCACTCAGTGGCAACCGCAGTTGAGGTCTGTGGGTGGGAACTCACGGGGAACTCCAGGGACACTCTGTGGAATTGAGGAATACCACTGAGGAATGCCAAAATGTATTCTCTGCCAAGAACACTGCCAAGAACACAAGGGGCTGAATGCAACCACGGTCTCGTTGACAAGCTCTACAACGTGCGGTGGCAGAATCTTCGCCAACAGGCACTGACTTCCCAACTTTGTTTCCTCAGGGCAGCCAGCATTCAATGCATCATCAAGCCTTTCAGGCAGGTTTTCAGCACGGGCAGGAGGGCCCGAAGAATGTGTCTGCCTGGAAAGGCCTGTGACATTGCCTGTGACATCTAAAGCGGACCTTCATGTGTACTCGCAAGCAAATCTTTCGAATTGATGCAATGGGCATCAGCAAAAGAATGCCTCTTGAAATGTGCGGCAGCCAGTGACAACACACACCAAGGACTAGACGTGAACAATACTGTAAGAACTTCCATGCTGTGAGCGTCTGATCCAAAATGCCGTGATGCCAGTAAGCTCCATACCATGTCAATATCAGCCGAGTTGCTGAGATTTCGTGGATGCGTCTCTGGACATGCCGCTTGTAAAAGTCTGCCTTGCCATCTCATGTAGGAAGCAAGCGGGCAAGCAGTGTCGGAAGGCTTTTGACACATTGACGCTCGAAACCGCTAGAATCGCTAGTACATCTTTAGTAGATTCTGCGTGAAGGCCATTTTGCGAGTAGGGATGGGTGAGGTTTCGGCCGTACTCCACAGGGTTTCTTGTTTGGGGGGAGAAGCAAGGGGAGGGGATGGGGGGGATGGGGAAAGACGACAAGTGGCACATAACATCAACTCTTTACTCTATTTTGCCAAGCAGCACAGTGGTCGAGGTGCTCCTGCATCCTGCTAGAATTCACGAGTGCAGCTGGGTTCTTGTCCAGGAAACAACTGAAACAAGCCGATCATCCGCGTGCCTGATGCCAGCTGCGGTCAGAAGGAGCACGGCTCCAGTGTAGCCTGAGCTCCACGTTGCAAGCGCTCAGTTCTTCTTATCCATGTTCACCCTTGGTAGCATCGTGGTGATGAGGAGGATGAGAATGAGCATGAGTGAGCATGATGATGAAGATGAGCGAGGCCACGATTGAGGCACCGGCTTACATACTCCGCAGCCCGCTGCCGCACTTGCCAGTTGCATTGCCTGAGATCAGGAAACAGCAATGCAGTGGCCACTGCATCACCTGGGAATGGTTACCGAAATCAAGCCTCACATAGCTCCAGCTGGCGATGCAGCCATGGCACACATTGTCGACCAAAGCCCAGGTCGTCAGTGACAAGACACAAAGGAGCACACGGACAGAAAAGCGGCACGTCTTACCTTAGCAGCGGCAGACGTCTGATGAGTTCAAAAGGGTGAATGAATAGTCAAAGAAGATCGAGTCTCAAGCGTGCGTTTTGCCCTGTGGCCGTGTGAAAGATGTTGACCGACGTACAATACTACTGTATGCTGCTGGGGCTCTGAAAAGTACATACAGACCGTACATCATGTAGAACGATGGATCCTCAGTAGCAGAATCTCTGCGAGCTGAGTATTGAGAAGTTCATGGCACGGAGACAGCTTCTGGCCAGGATCATTGTTGTAATTCAAGACATTGAGGACCGCTATGGATACCCCCTGCAGCGCCAGCATCACGACAGTGATGAGCTTTCCATGCCGATTGAAGCGGTCCCGATCCTGACTACATCTATCGAGGCTGGGGCACTTGGTGCTTCTGACCCCTGCGCTGAACTATGTTAGCGAACTGCAGAAAATGTAGACTTGCTCAAACAAACCTGGCTGCCATGATTAGGCAGAGGTGAACCCAGCCAATGACTTGGATGCCCCAAGTCCGTACCATCACACCCAAACGATACCGCTCGTAGTTTCCTGAGCTTGACTGATACTCGATCGAGTGTCGCCAACTCGTAACAACAGCTGAGCTACAAGGCATGTCAAGGTGAGAGGCGGGAGCCAATGTCAAAGGCATAGTCCAATGTCCCTGCTGCGGCGACCAGCGAGTGCCAAGCAATAATCAGAGTTCGTGCGATGAAGATCCGACGATCCTGCAGCAGCATTCTGCTAGTTTGCCGGCTCGCAGCATGCAATTGCACAACCAACGCTGGTAGGCCGCCAACTACAAATCCGAACCAAGGAAGATGTGACTCAGCAGGAAAGGTGACATTCAAGAGCCCGTGTCCAGCGAGCTCTGCTTGTATTCGTACTTGTCTGCTCGCAGCGTCTGCAGCATCTCCGGCGACTTGGAGGAGTCTGGCACCATGAGCAGCCACTGGTCCAGCCAGTCATGCCTCTGAACTAGAAACAATCTGCATCCCCCGCAACCTATATTGACAAATGAATTCCCCGTACACAAGTAGCAGTACTCTTCATGTCTCAGGCGTGGCGCCACTTCGAAGAGCGCATGGAGAAGGTACTCAGGGGCTTTGTCTGGTGCAGATTTGCCAGACCAGAAATGAAGTCCTGCAAGGTCCATGCCAGCTTTGGGACGAGTAGACACCAAGAGACTCAATAGACACAAAATCACTTTCAGAAGCTTCAATGCATTCAACCACTGTACAAGTAGCCTGGCTGTGCTGAGGCATTGTCGCCATCAGCTCTTTCAAAGCATTGCCCGCAGCTCTGCGAAGCAACCTTTTTCCTGCGGCAAGCAGACAAGTGTTCCAACGTGTTTCAACATCGCATCTTCTCTGACTCTCGCTGACACTCCACGGGTCCAGGCATTGCCAACGGCTTGCTTTCTTCGCAGTGCTCGGAAAAGTGAACCTTGCCATGTTGAAACTGCTGCCGTGTGCCGGTAGGTATTTAGTTTGATTCTACTAGCGGCTACCAGAGGCGACTGAGGGACTCTGTGAGACCTGCTTTGCCCCACGCGTATGGTGACAGACTCCTTGCCAGGGGAGGGGGTGCGGATGGGCGCGAGCAAATTCTTGCATCTGGCTTCCAGCATCAAGAACAGCAAGGCCTGAAACTTGTGCGAAGATGAAGACAAAGGCAAACTCTCACTCTGCGGCTGGTCCACGACATTGTACCCACGCAAGAAATGTGTCCTGGTCCGATCAGGCACTGCTTTCCGAAGAAGCACCGACACAGCCGACACAGCTGCAATCTGCTGCAATCTGCCCAGTGAGTGTACTTACTTGTGAGTCCTCAATGAGCCTTTTCCTTTCACTTCGATCTGACCGCGTACCTCATTCTTCAAGCTGTGCTCTGGGTGATGTTAGATGCAACTGTGACTCGAGCGACTGACCGCATTTAATCTGCTACAGTACAACGATTAGTGCAGCTGGCGGCCTCTGTGAAGAAAGTCTCACTCAGCCTGGCTTGCGTGGCCTCTGTGATCTGAATGCATCCTGCATAGCGCACTTAGGTTCCAGAGACAAGAAGCTCTTGACTTAGGAACCCCTTTGGCGCACAAGGGTCTGTGGAAGAATGAAGAATCGTGATGAGTCTTGGTCGTGGGTCAGTGGCTGGGTGCTGCAATGCGGATGCTGTTGTCCACCGATGCCTCTAGCTCACTTAACCGACTTAACCACTCCTGCCAAGAGCATGGGGCGGTGCGAGTCTGCGAGTCCTGGTTCTGATGTGCTTTCCATCCGACTAGCTGTGTTCACGGTGTCCCCGAAGAGCTTGTATCGAGGCTTGTCCAAGCCAACCACGCCTCACATGATTGCACCATGACAATGCTTTCTCTTTCTTGTCCATTCTATGAACTAGCGTCCAATGGCTTCCTAGAGTGGTCAACTAACCAGTTGTTTGAGGGGCCCAGAAAATGCCCACATTTTCATCTGGCACCAGAACTCTGAGCCAGGTTCCTGCCCGGATCTTGCCGCTGTTCAGCCCAATGCGAATGTTGAGCTCCTTTCGCAGTCGCCATAAATATATGATGCACACACAATTCCGCACAAGAAGGCACAAATGTGGATTGGTGTCGGGCAGCAGTAGCACAGACAACATTTTGGGGGCACGGCCGACTGCTATCTCCCCACTGCGCCTCATGCCGTTAGCTTCCCGCCCTCTCCCCGCCCCCAGGTCCAGCGCGTGATCTCCCAGGACGGTGGAGAGCCGCTTGCCACCGATGCCCTAACATGAGGCCCGTCCGTTATGTCTCACGGATGATTGTAGCTACACATATTCGTACCATTCATTTAAGACATTCAGAAAGGTGTAGCACAGAGCAAGCTGATCTCTTCAGCATTTCCGCATAGCGGGATTCACTACTCAAGTGATCTCAGGTGGACACGATTCCTGCAAGCTGCAAGCTTTCTTGCAGCGCCTGCGGTGCCATGACGTCAGAGGCCCGCATCCTGTCACGGCAGAAGAATGGCAAAAAGCAAAATGGGCGTTTAAGCACTTCAAAGCAACTCAAAGTGCGATTCTGCCCTCTCGGCCTCACGATGCTGGATTGAGCGGCAATTGCAAAGTGGGCAGCAACGTCGGCATGGTTTGCCTTTCGTCAAACGCTTCTCAGCATGGACCCATGTGTTCGATAAGTGTTCTGGCTGATCTTGGAAAGGATAAGGGCTTCACGATGGGCTGCGGGCAGCCAGCAACCGCCATGTACACATCTCCAACTGTCTCCACCTGAGGCTTTGAAGCACTGAAGAGTCGTTCCTTTCAGTGCCTGTCATTTTCCGACTGCACTTACTCGGTCACGGATTTCGTCGCATCGAGATGCAAGCAGCGACGCCACTCAGATTCAGAATGCGCGACAGCCAAACAACTGTGACAGCGCAACTCTCATGTTTGAACCTTGCAAGGACCTGCAGGCATTGAGACGCTTCACGAAGTTCACGAGGCCTTGTGCACTTTCAGCAAATCGCTGAGGCGATCTAGCTCCTGAAAGACCTGCATGGACCACATGGAGCACGGGACTCACATGTCACGGGCAGGAACTTGCACAAGAGAGTTAACCTTGCATGACCATCTGACCATCTGGCTGGTGCTTCACACTGAGCCATGGGGGTGGGGCCATGGTTTGCACAATTTTGCACTTCACTAGGGGATGGCCTTGTCCAACATCTGCACAGTCGTCTTCGGCGGGAGCAGCGAGCAAATCGTGGAAAAGTCACAGACTTGCACAAATATCACCTCAGGACCACCCAAATCGCACAGCTTTCAGACCGCATCTCTCATCATGCTCATGTCAATCCGAGGGTCCGTAACATCCTCAAAGTCCTGACAGTCCACCGGCTCGTGTGCCTTGAGCGAATCGATGATGGCCTGCATTCTGAGGTTTAAGGTGCGGCACAACTTTCCGACAACTTGCCTCTAAGATCCGAGCCTGCGGAAGCAAACTTTGCAGCAAGTCTTCGCTCTTTCGCATCTCATGATTCAGCTTGTGACCTTGGGGACAGTCACACGCAGCAGGCACTCCTGCAACGATCTACTGGTACCACAGCTCTGGAGATGTCTTCAGCTAGAGCACGTTGCGCCCGCAGCTGGTCCCGGAGTAGCATGTCCAGGCGCATCGTCTCATCACGCCAGATAGCCAAAGCGAACCTCTGGCTGGCACTTTTGATGCGAAGTCCATATTGAAACTGCAGCTGCTTGCGTCACATGCGTCAACCCTCCTGCCGCCCTGTGACCCTGGCAACAAAAATAAAAACGACCATTCCTGTCAAGTCGCTGGCACATGCAAACAAGTGGTGGTAGCAGCACGTCCCGGAAAACGGTCGCTCCCGCTTGTTCTTCACATTCGGGCTGCAAGCAGGACAGTGCTAGAATCTTAGACTCAATCCAGGACTACACAGAAGCATTTAGCTCCAAACCGACATGATAGATCCCCTCCATGAAGCCAATCCAACTTGTACTCACAAGATGTCGAACTAAACTCCCGCAGGGATGGTCACACCTTATCACCTCAGCAATACTGGCACAACTTCTCGGGCATGACACATCAAGGCTACTTCCAAAGAGTCAAGCAGGTGCCTGCTCCAGCAAAACTTCAAACTCTGGAAACAGCCTGATCTGCCAGCTCTGCGATTCAGTTCCCAAAGAATGCACAGAATGACGGTAGTTACCGTTAGTTTATGGCTCGCTAAACGCACCATGCTTCTGTTGTGCTGAGACCAGGGCATTAGAAAGACATAGGTTGGAATCCCACAGACAGCCGTCACCAGGAAGATCTCAAGAACTCCCAGAGGGCTGAAGTTGTTGACCTGAGAGCGGGACTCCCAAAGGCTCCCCCCTGCCCCCCCCACCTCTGTGTCTCTCTTCACCACTACCTGGTCACTGCCCGCAATGCAGCAATGCAAGCAACGTCGAACTTTTCGTCGGCATGCAGCGGCATGTTAAACCAGGCCGCAAAAGCTGTGTGCAGCATCAGTAAGCCCGAGGTGGATAGTGGTCGGTCCCACTCCGCGAATGATACGGCAACACCTCGGAAGTCTCGGTAGTCCGTCCTCTGAAGCTCTAGTACACTGAAATTTTCACTCTTACGCGAAGGTAGGTTTGATGCGAACTTGGGCTCTTGAAATTCGTTAGCTACACTGAAACAAACTATTGTAATGTTGTCCCTGAACAGTCGAAGCTGGTTTTTTTGCCCTCTTGCAAACGGTCCAAGTAAAGCGGTCCACGGGTTTCATATGGTCTTAGCAGGGACGCGTTTACATATGTTTAAAAGGGACAGCGAGGCCCGATTTTTTCGTATGACACCCGGAAGAATTTGCCGTAATTGCGGACCCCGCCCTGCACCCCCAAAAAGTCACACACGGTCCTGAATAGCCCGGCCAACCTGACTTTATTCAGAGCGCCCCTGGTAAGCCGCAACCCACATGAACTGTCACACTGTAACTCTGTAACTAATTCGTCTGGCAGCCTAGCATGTAACCAAGCCGACTTGGACATGTCTGATTGATTCAAGTACAAATCTCCAATAATAATTTGCGCGGCACGCTGACACCGGAATTCCTCCGAGCTGAGGCCCAGACTCTGCAAACACAGCGCCAGCACCAACAAAGGCCTGGCTGGTAGAACCGATAAGGGGCTGCTCGGGACAATCACTGCGATCTGCAGGTCGGTGCGGTCTGTGTCGACACACTTGGGCACTTGATGCAAGGTAGGCTTCTGGGCCTGCAGTCGGACAGCCGCTGCCAGAATTTGAGGCACTGCCAGGATATCAGGCCTGATTCGGTCAAGTGCCATGGTTCAGCCACTCAGCTCAACTCATGCTCGAGCAGAGGCCGTCTGCGGAATTTCATTCTACAGACCGCGCTCTGGGCAACATGACGCAGCAGTCGGCTGAACGTGTGGACCGTAGCAGGACTGAAACTGAACCCACGCAGTGCAGCATGGAAGCTGTACGCCACATAAAGCGGAAGAATAAACCTCAGCGTGTGTATGGTCATGAGTTACGAATGGCGGTCGCTGTGGGGCTCCCTCAGTGCAGCCAAGAAGCCCAAGCAATAAGGCAGTTCGGACCCACTGTTCTTGCCAGATGGCCACAACCGCCAGCGCAGTAGAAACTCCGGCCATGATTGCACTGGAACGGCAAAAAGCAGATCCTCACCGGCCACAAGTGTATCGGCATCTATTATTGCTTCATATTTCTTCACAAGATGGTGGAACAATCGCTGGTTTCACCGGTGCTTTTGGTACATTGTTTGGTACATACTTCATATACTTTCAATGTTCAATGCTTCGCATGCGGCCGGGGTGCGGAAGACTTCAAACTTGGAGGCGCCAAATCCTTTTTTCGCCATTTGGAGATGACAAACAGACGCTCGTGCTCCACAGCACTTGACTAGGGCGCCAGCTCTTCTCCATAGCAGTATCATAACCCGGTCTGGACCTCCACTTGTAGCGAGGTACGAACAAGAAGGACCTGCCAATCAGGGAAGTGAGTGGGCAAGTACAAACCACATTGCTGCGTTCATGCCCCTGGTGGCTTTAGTCCAGGAACCTGTGCACTATGACATCTTCCAGATCTTCGCTGACGCCGTGCGCGTGCACCTTTGTATGCCGAAGCTGATTTGCAGAGATCTTATGCAACTTCTGAGGTCGTAAACTCTCTTTCTTTTTCTTTCTTTCTTTGGAGCATAGGGACGAACCCTGCGCCTAGGCGCTGTCTCTCTTGCTTGCTTGCTTTTGCAGCGCGCTTGGCCCCTGGTGAGGGGGCTGCCCCAAGGGGCACGCTCTCTCTATCTCTCTCTCTCTTTCTTTCTTTCTTTGGGGCATGGGGCAAGCCCCGCGCCAAGGCGCGGCCCCGATCCCGCACCTACTGAGTTTCTGCCACCTGCCCCGCAGCCGATCTTCGGCCGCCCCGTCGTCCACCTACGGGACATTCTCGGTCCTCGACGGCCCACGACTGCCCTTCTAAGGACCCGACACCCCTCTATGCACCTCCGCAACCTCACTGAAAGCAACCTCCCCAGTCCCCCTTTAATACCGCCGGACCGCGACTCCCACATCGGTTGGACTCTGTGCACTGTGGTTCTTCACCGCCCCACACTCCATGGGCCCTTCTCTTCTTCTTCTTCTACGGGGCATGAGGGACAGGGCAAAAGTGCCTGAACCCCCGCGCGCGAGCGCGCCCAAAAAAGTCCGTCTCCAGTCGGCGTGACACGTACTGGGCCCTTTTCTCTCTCTCTCTCTCTCTCTCTCTCTCTCTCTCTCTCTCTCTCTCTCTCTCTCTCTCTCTCTCTCTCTCTGTCTCTCTCTCTCTCTCTCTCTCTCTCGTCGTCGTCGTCGTCGTCGTCGTCGTCGTCGTCGTCGTCGTCGTCGTCGTCGTCGTCGTCGTCGTCGTCGTCTTCTTCTTCTTCTTCTTCTTCTTCTTCTTCTTCTACGGGGCTTGAGGAACCCCAAAGGGCCCCCCGTGCGCTGGGCGCGCCCAGATCAATAATTAAGTTCGGTCTCGGTGAAATTTTCGCAACGAGGGATGTGCCCAGACGTTAGGAGTTCCCCGGAAACCCTTCCCGGAAATACCCACACCTCACCTCTCTAGGGTCTGGGCAGCTTATCAGGCTACCACGAAGCTAGCTACCTGAGCACGTTCACGTAGCCCCGCGGTGTGGTCCACCCCGAAGCTATCCTTGATGACAAACCTGGTTGGTGGATCGAGCCAGGGCCACGGAGAACCAGGCCAAGGTGAGTGAGCTGATCCGGCGGTGGAAGCATGAATACTTAGGTTTGCCCCTAATCCTCCGAGGGGCTACCTCCTGCGATTGAGGGTCCGCAAGATGTGGCCCTGTACGCGGGAGACTGCTTGCTCCGCAAGTAGCCGAGAATTCCTCTCCCCTTTTGGGGGAGGAAGGTCCAACTCCTGGGGCACGACGGGCTCGACTATCCCCACAGGGTTTGCTGCTAGCCCCATCCAACATAGATCAGGCTGGAGCAGACCGGAGGCCCGGCTCCTTGGTTCTGTCTCGGCCTTAGCTCCTTCCACCCAGACCCAGACGGCTTCAGCCAGCTCCCCATCGTCCGGTATGGCTAGCTCCTTCGACAACTGCTTGGCAATATCCGGACAATCTTCCCACCTCATGGAAGCGAGCTCTTGCGTCCCTAGCCGGCATTTGACTATAGGTGTTCCCAGCAGCATTCTAGCTGCGCCTGAAGTTGCGCCGGCGGCGCATCGCCTGCCTCCATGGATCACGCGGCGCTACGTTCCCTTTCCTAGCACTTTGATTTTCCCCCCCCCACTGGGGCTCTTATAGCCCAAAGGCAACGGCGTATCATGGAGGTGAGTATCGGTACTCAAACGTACGTGTAGCTGCACACGAGTATAGAGAAAGATACGGGACACCTTCGATGTCCCTGTAGCATCAAGAGCATCAGCTAGCACACACTGTCGTACCGTAACAAGTCACGAGCGCGTGGCCAAGTTTGCTTGGCTTAAGCACGCTCAAGCGCGTGAAGCCCAGCTGTTGTTGAGGCTGCACAGTTTGACACAGTCGAGAGCCAAGCATCTAGCAAAAGAGCAACGACAAAGCCGTTGACCCTCGCGGAGAGCCGGGAGCCAAGAGCGTCCGTTACCTGCCTATGACACCGGCAAACATGAACAAACAAAGCACGTAACGCTGCGTTGTTTTCCTGCTTTCGCTTGAACGCCGCTGCATCCAAGTGGCCGTCGAGCAAAGCCACCCGGGCGAAGAAGCTCGGGAGGCACGGTCCACAGGCAACCTGCAATCCTTGGATGGTCATGTGGCCATTGGCATCCATATTGCTTCTCCCCGTCTCGCCACACAAAATGGAAGACAAGAAGCTCGTCAAGGGCCATGAAAACGTCGAGAAAAGTAACGCGAGGACCCAACAGGTTCGGACCTCTTTCAACCAGGACGTCCGACTCGCGCACGTCCCACATGACGTGGCCAACTGTGGAGAGGTAGCGGCCCACAGATGCCGGCTGCAGTGCGACCTGCGAGCGACGCATGCAACATGACACCAGCAAGGACCCCAAACAGTTAAGGGTGGAATTGCACGTTCCAAAACTGCAGTTCCGTATCGTTGCACGTAGCAGCAACAACACTAGCAACAACACTGTAACAACACCAACGACAACAACAGCTGCAGCTAGGACTACCAGTATGATTATGCATTCAGTGCTTGGGGCAGGCTTGGTGAAAAGCCTGTAATTTTTCAGCTATTGTTATGTCCTTGCAGCGTGCGCCAAAACAGTAGACAATGACAACCGTCACGCCGGCGTGGGAAGGGCTGCCCCGGTGAACGACTGTGCTCTGGCTAGTTTGTGGCTCCACAAAACTCAAAACCAGCACTCAATCTTTCAAGGAAAACTCATAGTTAAAGGCAAAATGGGCGCACGATCTTGGGAAAGGCTAAATCCATAATGCCGGCGACACCCAAACTCCAAACAATCGGGAACGGCAAACCCTGTAATGCCGGCGACCACCCAGCTTCGAAGCCAACACTCGTTTTTTGGAAAAACAAATCCCGCAACGCCGGCGACCACTCATGCTCAGATCCAAATAAGGCAACGGGGGCGCGCGATCTTTCGAAAAGCAATTAATCGCCATCATGCTAACGACCTCCAAAAAAACATAACGGGGCTTCAGCTCCAAAGAAGGCAGCGCGGGCACTGGGCGATCGATTGCTGGAAAACTAAACCACCTAACGCAAGCAACCGCCCGGCTCCAAAGAAGGCAATGTTCGATCTTCGGAAGGGTTAACCACGTAACGTCCGCGACCACCCATGCGCAGCTCGAAAGAGGCAATCTCCTGCTAGCAGAATAACAACCTACAAATTACCAAGCACAGCTTCTCAGCTTCTTTGCTCTCAGCACCTCTCGCAATTGAGAGCAGCAGAGTAAGCGACTTCAAGATCCATAATTGGATAGCCAAGCCAGCGCGAGGACAGCAGCTCCTAGACCTCTAGCCCCCAGCCTTTTGAGGGAATCCTGTCCATTCAAAAAGCTTTTGAGCACTGCAGCTAGCTCCGTTTGACAGAGTTTTTTTGCTGCAGCAATGGCTACGACGCCATCCGCTTCCCAGGCAACGCCCACGCCAGTGCTTTGCCTAGTGGACAGCACCTTCCAGCACCTGCTTCTGAATGAGGAGACCTGCCTCCATCAGAGCTATGGGGTCAGACCTCTGGCCAGCGGCTATGCGGTCATCTGCCCAGGTGTGCTACCCTGACAGCTCGCTATACCTCCAAAGGGGTAGCGCTTGACTTTTGGAACCGTAACCTCCGTAATCGGGGCTGGTGGGAGAGTGTGGCTGATCCGCCCCGGCGTTGCTCGGGGTGGCCCCATGTTGGGCGCGGTTGGGATGGCCTCCGGTCGCTGCTGCGGCTGCTCGCGCACGTCACCCCCTTGCGTCTGCGTTGGATGGGGTTGGGCTTGCAGCGCCACTTGTATTGCTGCTTGGGCCAGGTGTGTCCACATTGCCACTAGGTGCACGTTTGCCCCGTCTTATTGCTCTGGTCCTGGGGGGTTCTCCTGGGTTGGTGTTTCCCGTTGGCAGCCTTGCTTGTGGTGGTGGGTGGCTAGGTAGGTGCGCTGGCCCCCCGCCTGTTTGCTGGTCCGGTGTTGGCGGTGTTGTGGGTGCCACGGGTCGTCGTCCGGGTCGTGGTTCTGAGTGATGCTCACTGTTCAGTATGCCCCTGCCATGGGTTGAGGTGGTGTGAGTGTGGGTTTGCTGTGGTGGTGGTTGCAGCGCATCTTTCCATGGGTCCCACGGGTCTCCCCCGGCGTCATTGGTGGGCTGGGACGTTGCGGGCGGGTGTTGTGCCAATGGCTTGGCCGGTTGGTGGGGTAGTGGGGCTTGGTTGGCTTTGGGTCGGCTGGGTTGGGCATTCACCCCAGGGAGTGGTCTCCTCAGCCAGCATCGCCATCAATCTGCTCCTGGCTGTCAACCCCGATCTTGTAGGTGGATTCGACATTTTCGCCACGTCTCGTGAGGTTTGCAGCGTTGCAGATCGGCATGGCGCCAAAGAGCCCCTAAAAATGGACACCGCTACTCTTGAGCCAAAATGGCTACTCTTTCTCTCTCTCTCTCTCTCTCTCCCTCTCTCTCGCTGTGCAGAACGCGAAGCATCCTCCAGATCCATACATGGCCAAGCTCGGCGCCGAATGCGAGCTTATCCATGCTTTTTGATAGCCTCGGCTAGTGAGCGATGTCTGAGTTCGAGAGAGCTTGCAGGCCTGAAGACATGCGAAAGTCTCTGAAGGCTGCACGTTTTGTCCAGTATATACCATTGGAAAGGAAAGGCACATGTCGAAAGCATGCATCAACTGATGTCCACTGCAGCAAAGCAGCTCAAGTCTGCCAGGGAGGCCAAAGCAATTTGAAAAGACGACGACTCCTCTGCCCAGAAGCCAAAAAGGTGATCCAAGTACTTGAGGCAAAAACTCGTGGCAATGGGCTGCCTCGATGGTAGGGGGCTGCGGCTCTTCTTCCATCTCTGGCGCAACTCTAGGCATCGAAGGGCCACATCGCCTTAGCAGAGAAGAACCTGCGGTTTGGGTGCAGCTTGGTGCAAGTAGGATCAAGCAGGCTGGTTCACGATGATCGTGTCACTGCAAGGCACTGCAAGTAGAACTCATGTACTTTGGTTAGGTTTTCCAGGCTGTGTGTTATGTGCTATGGCGGCCAGTCAGTAGCGGTCATGACTTGGCCAAGGATATGTTTTTTGAATTTTTTTGAATATACTGTTGGTGAAAACAGCTGCGATCACATGGGAAGGTGCTTCCATCAATGGTCAATCAGCCATGAAAACTGTCAATGCGCCACAGCTTGTGTCATCGCGGACGCATCACTGCACCCGTGCCCAGAATCACCCTCTACTCGTAGTGATGACACCAAGTCTAGCACACCAGACTCAATCTGATCTAGGTCACCCTCACGCCTCTTTGATGCCTGGTGTGAGAAGATACGGCTCTGCAGCGCCGTTGGCCAGCTGGGCGGACAGGGTTGCCTCACCACTTGGCTGCGCTTCTACTGCTAGGATATGCTACTGGTTACCGGTCGACGCAGAATTCGCAGCAGCACCGTATAATAGTACAGTAACAGCACTGTGCACACAGGCCTGGAACGGCATGGCCAGGAGCATGCCCAAGTCTGTTTCCAGCGTCCAGACATCCTCCTCTGTGGCATTGTCCGGAACCATAGCCCGACGAAAGTCCTCCACCAAAGAAAAGAGCAACGCTCCCGTCATGCCTACACTCTACACATCTTGACACAAGCGCAAGCTCGAGCAAACCCTTTGGTCCTTCAACGTTCGGACGGGCTTCCCGTTCACCTCTCAAACTAGCCCGGTACTTACACTCAAAGCTCCCATGGAGGTGAGAACTGTCAGTTTGCACTCGGTTGAAAGTCTGTCAAGTTATGCACGCCAGTCACAAAAACAGATTTGCCATTCGTCAACGCACAAGGTTTCACTCGGCGCATACCTTTTTCTCTCTCCTCAGGCAGGCTTGCAGAAAACCTCACCTCAGCAACGGGGCTGTGGAAATTATTGACGAAGGTAGGCTTGCTGGGATGGAAATCCGAGTTAGTCACTTGGTCTGGCGATTGGAGAAGCCATGAAAAGACTTGAAGACAGGTGGGCATCCATGACTACGAGTGATGCAGCAAAGCGCGATGCAAACGTCTGACGGAAATCGGAAAGCCTGCGCACACCACGGCAAACAAAGAAACCGCTTCACCCACCGACCATATGATATGGGATCATGCCAGATCATGCCATGGCCAAAAGCGCACAGCCCCAAAAGCGCACAGCACTCGGGGAGGAGAGCAGGCCGGGCCGATGTAGGGCAACTGCCCTTTTTGTACTACAGTAAGGAGCACTGGATGCAAGGCAACGCAACAGTGTTTGGGTCTTTGTGATGATATGGTAGTCAAGCATACCGGCTGTGAACCCTCTCGTCTTGCGAAGAAGTGACTGCCCACCACGAGGGGAATGTAGGGACTACAGGCGGAGCTCGTGCAGTAGCGAAGGCCACTGCCATAACCCATCAAGTCCTTGCAGAGGAGGCTGGTGAGTTTGTGAGAAACATCTAATTACTCGCATCGTCTCTCCTGCATGACCACCGGCACCGATCCAGCTGCAAACACCTGAGTCTTTGCTGCTGCGCCGTCCCGTTTCCAAACAACAAACCAAACAACAAACTGCTTGCGGCTGTGAGGTGCTGAAATGTCGCCAGTATCTTGCTTCCAGCTCACCTGCTGGCACTAGCTCAAAGGACTGAAGGTCTGCAAGCCTCGCTGGAGGCTCACGGCTTTGTTCATCTACAGCCGACTCAATTCATCTCAACTCTTTGACTCCGTGCCGAGCGCCTCCACCGCTTCGGTTACTTGGCTTCGTCGTCCTGGCCGCCGGCGCCCGGAACAGCGCAGCTCTCGGCACTCCCGGAGCTCGGCCTCCTCTGCTTGCAACTCCAGCTTTTGTTTTATTTCGCGAGTAGTACGAGACCAAAAGCTACGAATGTCGCAGGCTTTAGCTCACAATCTAGCAATCGAGCTTCGGTCAGACGAAAACGACGAAGATGCAGAAGAGGAATCGGAACGGGGCTGCGCACAGTGGCGATCTACACCAGTTTGGTCCGATGCTCGTATTGGACTCAAACCCCCTCAGGGCCTAAGGGGCCCCTTAGGACTCCGTCCTCCTTTGTCCTCGAAGGAGGCGCGACGTCCAGGGCCAAGGCCAGGCCGGCCGCGAAGGCCTCCGCCACGGAACGGCTGTCGCTGCTATCGCTGTCGCCTCAGCGCTCGGATGCAGCTGCCCCACTCTGCCCCACTCTGGCCCACTCTGGCCCACTCTGTCTCTCCATGTCTCATTCTGTTTTATCCATACTATCTTTAGGCATGTTTTGGCTGAAGCGTTTTTGTCTGCCGCTGGCGCGAAGATGTTGGACCATCGCGCCGACTGGCATTCTCTATCAGACTCTCTTATTCTCTTCAACAGGACATCATCTGGCAATCAGCTTTTCTACATCGCTCACTGTGCACTGAGATTCGATGTGAATGCTGCCTTGCCACGCACGTCTAGTGGACCGATGCCACGACGAATCAATGCTGCCACTGACTGCTCCATTGCATCCATGGCCTAAGGAAGAGAAGGGAAGTCCTCTTCAGCTCTTCAGCTTGACTCGCCCCCACTACTATAGTGCAGAGTGTCCTGCAGACAAGCAGCTCGAGCAGCTTCTGGCCAAGCCTCTTCCAAGTTGCAGACCTTTCGCACCAAAAGACTGCCCCAGAGACGGTACCAAGAGGGCGCGCAGCATTCTGGGATATTCTGGGCCAGACATCGCTGGATACTGGCATTCGAGCCAAGCGTCTGGGCCCTCAAAGCCATGTTGGGCGCAATGTTGCATTTGAGCCTTCCTCATCTCAACATTGCGTTCTTGTAGGAAAGTGAAGCAACAACTGTATATTGCAGCCAGTAGATCAAAGCCGTCTCATCAAGAGTAGCGCCGCAAATAAAAATCTTACAGCCGCCCCTGTCCTTGTTGGCAGATACACGTCTGGCACAATGCCGAAGTGTCTGAGGCGTAGAACCCGCAGCTCGGACACATTCAACTGCTAGGCAAAAGCATCCAACAGAGCCACGGTGCAGCAGCTGCAGAATCAAAAGCGGTCTCCTGCTCAGGAATGTGAGCCACTCGGAGAAGCTGTCATGATTCATGATGGCATATGATGGCATGTAATGTCAGATGATGGCATGACGTTGGCAGTGAAAGAACAAACAATTGACAGATATTGACAGTGACAGGATCCAGCAAACATAACAACAGAAACAATCGTAGACGTTCCCCTTTGGAAAGAGCCACTGGGCATCATTGGACATGATTGGACGGCCTGCCACGGAATCCCGGACTTCTCCGCAGTCTCTAGCGCGCTGCCAGGTGCCGAGACTGAGGTCACAGCCCTGATGCTAAGCTGTCCTCGGTATAGACCTGAACAGTCTCATTTAACAATTCGCGTTTTCAGCCCTGGTGAAATCTGTCATGCTCCAAGCGGTACTGTGGTAATATGGGTTCAAATGCATGGACCCAATTCATCTGGACCAGTTCAGAGCGCCAGAGATCATCATGTGATGTGTATCACTCCACCCTGAATCAAGTTCATGGGAAGCACCTTGCACAACGACCATTGGCAGCGCCCATAGTCTTCGCAGCGGCGGTGGAAATGTGGAGGCAGACACTTGCGGGTCCCCCCTGGCTTTGAGGGTTTGGCAGACTGCTGGCTTTCCGGGTCTTATCGCGTCTTACAAAGTACTCGCATAATGGATGTCCACAGCTGATCTGAGACTCGGCATTGGACAGTGTTGGACAATAAAATCAAGCAACACCTTTCACACTTCAAACCCTTTCAAAGCGACGCAATGCAGCCAAGCAGGCCCGGAAGCCGCTTCGAGGTCTTTCGGGAGGAAGGACAGGTAGCCTTGAATGCGGTAGGCCTGCAAGACTGGGGTATGCGCTTGTGATTCATGTAGACACAGCCGGAACTGGCATAGAGTCCGTCCCCTCAGCTTGCACTCGGATGGATTCCGGACTGCTCGGCTCACACCTGCCCCGAGTCCAAGAGAAGCTGCAACATGGCCAGGGCGGCGTCAAAGCAGACCCCACCCCTAGCAGTGCACGACCAATGAAGCACCACTAGGACATCCTTTCGAAGTGGTTGCAAGTGGTTGCAATTGGTTGCATCTAGTTCTCACCAGCCTCGACCGGACGAGACAGGCGGTGCTGCAGGCGGCGTCGTGGCCTGGGCCAGGCCCGAAACGCAGCCTCGGGTTTGAGAGCAAGTCCATGCGGAAAGACTCCGCATGCTTCCGAGTTGGAACTCTCGGACACAAATACATTACACATATAGACTTATATTTGTCTTTATATTCATGGTTATATAACCATGCTTTTACATGTTTTCACATGACAACACAACACAAACGGAAAGAACTGTTTTGCGAAGACGCATGAAGTTTGAAGGAGCTGGGAGTGCGCAGCTGGTTGCCTCGTGGGGATCCATGCATCACACACTCAAGCATCCGCCTTCTGGAGGAACCTGCCGAACTTAGAGGCTTTCAATTCTTATCATAACCGTCATAACCATTGCCAGCCGATGTTTCCGGTCAGAGTTTTGGATCTGAGCTCACTCAAGACTCAAGCCCACCAGGGTCAGGATAAAGGATCCATCAGGCAGACTAGTTTGGATCAGTGCCGCACCGCCCGAAGACCTGAACCCACGCTGAACCCCAAACTCGAGGCTCATCCGAACACTTTCCTGCGGTGAAAAGTACCTGAGGTTGATCCGAGTCCTGACGCGAAATCCTATCCCGAAGTTGCTCTTCTTGCCTCCTGGTGTCTACATGAGGCATGTGCCATCAACAGGGACACAGCAAAAAGCAAAAAATCAAAATTGAGCCGGATCTCAAACCCAAAAAGCACCAATGGGAACGGTCTAACGATTCCTTCTGGCAGACCAGCTCAGTTCACACCCTGCGGCACCTTGGAATGACCTCGACATCGAGGAATTGTGAAGACTGCTGACAGTGCCTGCTGCCTCCAGCGCAGCTGCAGAATTTGTTGCAAGCACATATCATGCCAGCGTTGTTCAGCCAGGCCCCGCATAAATGACAGACAAGCGTCCCAAGTTTGCAGAAGCTGCAGGGGCCCAGGACAGATGGAGCCTCGTTGTCTCCAGTGCGTTGCAGCAGAATGTCTCGGACTTCATGGACACGAGTCTCTTTGGACTCCGTAGTGAACCTTGAGTCACATCCGGAGTGAACTGAGGGTTTTCCACAAGGTGAAGAAAGACATGGGACACGTGCACACTGCCCTGAATCTGCATGTCATGCAACTCTTTCCGAAGCTCATCCGCGTGATTGAGGACCAGAATGTCTGCACACTTCAATTGAACAATTCCTCGAGATCCTGCCATACAAGAAGAAATAGAGTAACTTGCAGGGTAAATTGCAGTCTGCCAGTTCTGCAAATTAAACCAGGCTTCTGCTCAGCTGGACTCACTCCAACACAAACCCTTGGGGCATCGTCAGATGATGTCAGACTTCTACGGGTTGTTGTTAAAAATGTCTGATTCCTGAATCTAACGAGAATGCTGAAGTATTTACGCGCCGCTTCATGTTGGAAAGCAAGCATTAAGCATCTCGATGTGGTGAATGCTGCTGCAAGGGTCAGAAAAGGATACAAGCGCAGAATTGTTTCAGCTGCTTTCGGACGAGTTCGAGCCTGAGAACACGCTTTGGTTGTCTACAGGTTCGACCGGCGGCAAGTTTCTTGTGATAGCTGCTTGTGGAACGGGGCGTCCCTAGTCACGCAATCGCTCGTGCTCAACTCGTAGCAGCATGGCGCTGGTGAAGATGACAATGATGAAAGCATGGTCCGCTACATCAACGCATCGCAGATGAGCCAGCTAAGACGACCCAAGTTCGAAGAGCACGAGTTGTGGCCTGTCATTGCCATGCTGAATGGTCGGCAGTCCTGCCCCTGGTGCACCTGCGTCCTGCAGTCTGTCACATCTACAAGTCCTGCTGAACATTGCCAAGCCGACAAGTGACAAGAGTCTAGAAGGTTGAAGAAACTTTGAAGAAACCAAGCCCATCCTTTGGCTCGTTCAGGATACTCTGAACGCGCTGCAGGTCCACCACACAGATAACGGATCGCAATTCAAAGTGTTGTGCAAAGAGCTCCTTCAGGAAGACATCTGAGTCATGCAAAGAGGTGATGCTGTCAAAAGTCAAAGTTACATCTGCAGACACCCCCCTGCTTGCCACCTGGCATCGTTGTCAAAAACTCGGACGAAGGGGTTGGGATCTGCCACACCGGTCGTCTCCTGGAGAACGAGAAGCCCAGTCACCGAGGATGACACCCAGAGCACACACAGAGAGTCCTGCAAAGTTCTCTGATGCTGCCAAGAAACTATGAAAAGATGTGAGAGCTTCAGCCTGATCTGAAACACATGAATGCAATGCGGATTTCAGCTTGGCTTGGCTTATATGCTCGACTTGGACTTGCACGGTCTGGTTGAGGCTGGTTGCTCCGACTGTCTGGAGCACAGGTCTGACAGCAATCTAACCAGATCGCCATCTGGAGAGCAGCAAAGGCATCCTCATAATACACTGTGCCATGCTCAGCAGATCAACGCAATGACGTTCGAAGGCACAGCGCAAGAGGGCCCAACATGTCCTGATCCAAAGTCGAATACCTCGGAGTAGTGCACGCAAGGCCTCGAATATTCAAAGCACGTGATGGGCAAGTCCTCACAGCAGCAACGGCCTCCTCTTGAAGTCTTGGACTGCATGTTGGGGACCGTGCAGCGTATCCACTGTCAAAGGCGTGGTCTCCTCAGCCCCATGTCCCATGACCGGATTCTCTGGGAAAGCGCTCTTCACAGAGTACTCGCATGTACTCGCAGGACTGGCTCAGAGGCTGGCCAAGCCGAAGGCACGCGCATGGCGATGAACGCAAACCTTGCTGCTCGGAATGAAGCTTGATCTTTCAAGCGATCTCTAGGCCTTCAGGACAACTCTAAGCCTAAGCTGTGAGTTCAGAGGTTTGCGGCGCCGGACTCTCACCGACCTAACCATGAAAAATCCTTGGATATATTGAATGCTCCAAGCTCTCCAAGCGTCGGCAGCTCGCATTGTGCCATTCCTCCCGTCGCCGAGCAGCTCCGTCAGCAGCGCGCTCTTTCCGGACCCCGGGAGGCCAGTGACCAGCACGGCCGAGGCCACCATGAGGCCAAGGTATTGCCAATGTCAGGTTTATGTCACAGAATACATACATTAAACACATGTAGATATGACCTGCGCATATTTTGTTCAGAATGCTGTCTGATTCCAAAAACCAGTGGGAGTGTCTGCCATTGTCAGTTACACGAATCTGAATGTGCGTTTCACAAGCTCAAGCTCGGTGATGTGTTGGTGAGTGCCCGACACAAAGAGAATGCTTCACCGTTGAAGTCAGGAAAAGAATTGTGCCGCCAGCCTTCTCGACGGCTGAACCCTCTCCAATGACTTCCTTGCACTCCGATACTAGGTACTTTCAGGTTCCGCGCGGAAGTAAGTCTCGAGAAGTTGATCTGCCGCCAAGCTACGCTTGCGTAGCTTCCGGGCCGCACATATATGACCCTAAGCAGAAGTGCAGGGTGTCAGGCGAGTCTTTTCTCAAATCTTGTTGTACCGCTTCACGGATGTGCATTGAGCCGCCAGCATGAGCCGTGGCTCGAAGGCTCTGTCCGGGAGTAGCCAGCGAGTAACGCGTGGAGAGCCAGTCCTGGCTAAGGCCTCTCAACATCTTCTGAGCGCGCAAGCAACTTGCGATGCCGATGTGCAGCTTGGCCTCTCCGATGTGGTTCTGCGTCATTGCCATGACCTTGAGTCGTTGGAAAATGGATGGAGAATGATGGAAATCGAGACCGTGAGACTGTGAGACCATGGGTTGCTCGTGTGCAGTCACGTCACGCCGATGTCGCCAAAAATCTCCTCGGGCGTTCTCTACACAGAGCCAATGCGTGCGGATTGGGCTACACACATGTCATAAAAGTTCGGATGGCATGTTGCCGCAAATCATCATATTCCTTAATACTTCCGGTGCCTGTAACGAGTTAACCACACAGTGCTATACAGTGTTGCAGCGGTGCAGTGCGACATTGGAGCAAATCAGAAACAAGTGCCGAAGACGGCGAAAACACATGAGAACGTCGAGCAAGAAGAACCCTACAAGATCTACTCGGGCCATGTGCCTGCAACGCCTGATGACCCAATCTTGCAGAAGGCGGATGCCATGTGGAGGAACGGAATGGGACTGATCCATCGCGTTTGCGCTTTTGGGTAGAGGGAAAGACCGGACGAGATGCAGAACTGGTTCGTTTGATTGTTCGCCGGTGAGCATGGTTCTGCACGCACCGAGTCAACTTTCCATTATTTGTGGCAAGGAACTGCAAACTTTACCTAAGCCGGCCAGAACAGGAAAATCCACATTGACACGGACAAGACAGAGGAACTCAGAGCTTGCTTGTTGGTATGCTGTCTTGTTGTGAACGTTGTTCCAATCCAACATAATGCGGTGGCCCACGGGAACACCAACTATGCCAAACACATCGTGCATACGTCGTCCTATCACCTGGGCAGCTCACGTATTGCTGCGTGAGCCCTTCGGTCACCGGCTCATCGACATATCTGATGCCCTGTCGCACTGGCACCAGGCATGTGCAGGTACCCACCAAACTCTGCTTGAAGATCTTGCCTCGCCTTGTCAAAGTCAGATGTCCTGATTGTGCTGACCTGCGGAGCAAAAGCAACGTGCAATGGCGTGCACTGATGAGCAGTTGTCCCGGTACTGGCGGCTGAGCCTTGTGAAGGTGCTTCGTGCCCCTGAAGCACGTCTCGAAAGTCACCTTGTCACCACCGTCAGTTGCGGAGCACCCACAACCCAAGCACGACCAACAAGCGCACCTCTGCTTCCAAATCAGGCTGGATGAAGAAGAGGTCATCCAAGGCAGCCTATTCCGATCTAAGCTTGAAAAGAGCAGTAAAACTGGAACATGCAGCGCCACGCAACGCAGCGACACGCGCACCTTTCCCAGCATGAGCTCTTTGATCTCGGCCTTACCGAAGCCATCCAAGGCCTTACCATTCACCTCCGGCATTCAAGTCGTCGTCGTAAGCGCAGTGGTAGTAGTAGTCGTAGTCGTAGTCGTAGTCGTAGTAGTAGTAGTAGTAGTAGTAGTAGTAGTAGTAGTAGTAGTAGTAGTAGAAGTAGTAGTAGTAGTAGTAGTAGTAGTAGTAGTAGTAGTAGTAGTAGTAGTAGTAGTAATAGTAGTAGTAGTAGTAGTAGTAGTAGTAGTAGTAGTAGTAGTAGTAGCAGTAGTAGTAGTAGTAGTGGGGAGTAGTAGTAGTAGTAGTAGTAGTAGTAGTAGTAGTAGTAGTAGTAGTAGTAGTAGTAGTAGTAGGAAAATTCTGCAAGGCATAGACCCCAAGCAGTCCAAAAGCGACGACAGCTTCGCCTTTCACAAACTCGAGTCTACAGTTGTGATAGGCTGAGCCCAAACGCCCAAAAGCGGTGACAGTTTCGAGTCTCGAGGACGGCGAGCGTGGCCACGCCCGGGCCTAGCCGAGATCACGATTGTCGTCCAAAATGCGAGCGTGGCCACGCCCGGGCCTAGCCGAGATCACGATTGTCGTCCGAACAAGCCTCGAAAAAAAGAAAAAATCGCGGCGTGCCGGGCGCTGCGTGGCCCACGCGGTCTAGCCCCTCTCTACGCTAAACGTTGGAACCCCTGGAGTTGGCATACGGTTTGGGCAAATATATAATCTGACTGGCTACTGATTGGTGCTATGACTATTCACATGAGTGGTCGTAGAGGGGTAGAAGTAGCCAGGCACCACGCGGCGCAGTAGCCAAGTAGAAAGTTTTAAAGTAGTAGTAGTAGCAGTACTGGTACTAGTCGCAGTAGTTGTAGTAGTAGTCGTCGTCGTGGTGGTCGTGAATAGCGGTCGTTTTCTGAAAATTCGCAATTCTCGTGTTTCAGGAAATGGACAGGTTGCTGCACACAACTGCACACAGCTGCACACGGCTGCACACGGCTGCACACCGCCAAGGGTCCGGCGGACACCAGCATGCTGCCTGGGCGCACTTCTGGGTTGGCCTGGGGCTTGCGGTTGGCGAAGATTCGACGGATGCAATCTCAAAGGGTCGCAACAGCCGAGTTCGCTATGGTCCCGACCTTGCTCATGAAGCCGTCCTTTCCAACGCGCCCGATGTACACGCCCTCCTCGAACACAATAAACAACTTGCACATTGCATCTCATGGCCCCAACCGACACCAAAGGCTGTAGTGGAAAAAAGATTGTGGCTCGGATGCACCGTGGTCAGGTGATTGGAAGGCACGACAAGTCGACAAGATCATGTTCTCTAAGGAAACAGACAAAAGTGATGTAGATGAAGCAGGATCCTACCTTATGCCAGAAACTCTTATCTTGTCGAGCTGGCGCAAGGTTGGCAACGACAGCGTCAAAAATCGTGGCGGACCAGAAAGATCTTTTGACTGCCGAGACCAGACAGAAAAGCGACCGATTACCTAGCAGAACAAAGCAAACGACCATGCGACCGAGAACCCTTTAGGGTGCCTCACGGGTTGCTGTGCTGTCCTGCTCAGACTCTGCTTATTGCAAGCCCAAGTCTCTTCCTGCTTCCCCCTTTTCTTTTTGAAAACTTCGAACCAATGTCAGTCCGGCGCTTTGTGGTCTAGATTGTGCGGCACTACGCAATTGCAGCACTGCCGTTTCGGGTCCTTGCAGCCAGCAGTGAAAGTGTAGAGTGCCTGAACAGAGCGTGAGACTGCACGCAGGCCACAACTCTCTCGTGGACTCTCTTGCCTCGCTCGGATGAACTGTTGTGAGGCCATGTCCAGGCGTTCGGAAGCCTCAGAGGCCACAGAATCACGAAGAACCGGGGGGGACGGGGGGGGGGGGGACGAAATGGAGACGCAATATGAGACTATCTTCCGCTTGCCTCGTCCAGGAAGTGACGACGTGACAACATTATGTGAGCAAAAGCAATACAAAACGGGGTTGAATGTAACGGTTGAACACTATGAGAACATTTGGCTGACACTAATTGAAATATGGCTGAAATCAATCCTGGTTTTCATCAGGTTTTTGCGGCCTTGGTGCTTGCCTTGGATGCTCCTAACCTGATTTTTTACAAAAAAAATGCTCGAAATCTCAAAAACGTTCTCAAGATAATTTTCTCAAGGTTCTCATGCACTTAAGCTGTGATTGCTATCTTCCAATCAAAAAGAGTCAGCATAAGGAACTCGCAAGCTGGAGATTCGGTTTACTTGGCCTGACAGAAGCAGCAAGCTTCAAAAATCAAGAAGCGAACCTGCAGCCGACTGCTGTGGCCGGCAAGAGAACATTGTTAGATGGTCAGCAAAGTGTCAGCACAGAGGCACCGTAGCCAAGTCGGACCCTTGCTGCAAAGCGGACCTTTTGTCAGTTCCTTGCGAAAGACTCTGTCTGCTAAGTCGATCCTTCGAGAAAGCTGGAAAATGTCAAAAACAGTTTCTCTTGCGCAAAGAAACTGACATAGAACCGACATGTAGACACAACACCAAACCTGAAAACTTTGCAACATGTTCGAGATCTCAAATCTCTAAAGTTACAGTAGCTTTCTCACCAGATTCTGATTACGCGCTTAAGTCGTGATTTTATCTTCCATTCAACAAACAAACTAGACGTGATTCCGGGCAATGAAATCCGAGATGTAACTCGACTCGTCCTGTCTTTTCGTCCGACGTGTGTGTGTGTGTGTGTTGCTTTCGCCATTCACTCATCTGTCTGACTGGAGCTTCATCCACCCCCAAACCCTTCCCGTCACCCTCACCCGCTCCCGTTACTGAAAACTTCCACAATCTCCCGGAAGCTCCATGGAAACTAACTCGCAGGCCCTGAAACATGGAACATCTACGCCATGCTCTCTGTACGAGAGCTTTCCACTGAGGCTGTCGCCCAAGCGACGCCACGGGGCTCCGTGCTGCTCCTGAACGCATAGATTGCTTCGCTTCTTGATGCTTCTCGTGCACTTCATTCTTTGCGCGATCTACAAAAAGTGCAAAAAGTCAACGTTTACTTCCTAACTGGCAATGCAATGTCAGACTTGCTTTCAGGGCGTTTTTCCACTTGTGCACCGGAGCGCCCTGCAACGAATCAATGGGTATTTTCAATAAGCATCTGATGGCGGAAGGGCAGCGGTGAGGGACAACATATGACAACATCAGAGGCCAACATCCTTCCATCTGTCCTTCAAGTGGAGGTTCACGAGGGCCTTGCTGCTCCAGCAGAAGTGCCAAGGCTTGAAGAGGCGTAGCGGTGCACGCACTGGAGAGCCTGAACTCTGAAGGCCGGGATCACGTAGTTGATGTTCTCACCTCCCCAGGGCTACGGACCAGAAACGGGTCAAGTCGGAAGTATGGTCCGATGCCTCGGGTAGCTCCTGCAAAATTCACACCCAGCACCTGCACGCACGGGACGGGAATGTGGAATACATTGGCTCTTCTGGGTGTGCTCGCTTGCTCTGCAGTTTATGTCGCTATGCCCCTACTAGGTGCGCAGCACAGGCAAGCCTTGCAACCCGGCGACTTTAGTCGAAGATGCCAGGATGGCACAACACGACCCAAGCGCCTCGTTGCCGGCATCATCCAAGAGCGGGCCGCCACCTGGATGCTTTCGGTTGCTGTGTACTGCCCGCCACACACACTCACACGGACAGCGACGCACCCGCCATCTCCCTTGGAGTTGCGTATAGGGGGCTGGCTGTTTCCTGGCGAGATCGGTGCGGTGGACCTCAGTTTACGGAGCCAAGTGCTACAGTACAGCGAAGAACGTTCGTTTCCCAGGACGCCGGCTGGATGCAAAGATTGCTGTTGACGAACTCGTTTCCAGCGACGTTTCCTGCATGCTAGTCGGCCGCACCAAGACAGCAAAGACAGATGCCACAGTGCTTGGGCGACATTGCCCCGCTGTGTCGGTCGTTCTGTCAGTCTGTGTATCAGTAGGGGAATCTTGTTGGCGAATCAGCAACTTAAGCAACTGTCTGTGTCTCTGTGTCTCTGTGTCTTTGTGTCTCTGTCTTGTCAAGGCTTTGGCACACATCCCCTGATATCCTCAGGATGGAATAGGGTGGAGTGCAGCAAGAATCCGGCCCTTTCCCTTAAGCTAGGTTGGGCACGTGAATCGCTAGCCCACGCCAAAGGCAGTCCAAACATGTCCAAAGTTCCATGCTGTCTTGAACTCAGCAAGTGGGCTCTCAACTGCGCAAAGGATTGCGCAAAGGACCGCGACGGACTGTGACATGTGTGCAATTATCGGTCCTGGCCTTTGGAAATCTTCAGCGAGTTTTGCCCGAGAGGGAAGCCCAGGGCCACCACATCCTGACCCATCTCAGCAACATTCCGCGACCTTGGCCCAAAGGCATTCTGGATCATTCTGGCTCAACCACCCATCTTTACTCGCCTTGGCTTCAGAGACATCAGCGCAAAAGATGCAAAGGATGCAGAAGACATGTCCAAGACAGTGACAGGGTCAAAGCCTGCAGATGGATGCCTGACTTGGCCAGGTCTGCCTTGAATTCCTTTCGGTGCAGCAATGTGCAACAGAGTGAGCCCTACAGCCTTTGGAAACTGCAAAGCTCCCGTTTGCCTTGTCAGACTTCAGGGTAAGGAGGGCAAGGTCAAACTTCGGACCTGAGGTTTGGGAGCCGACTGGCAGACTTGCGGCGACTTGACCTGTGCTACTTGCTCTGGAACGTGCCAGTGATGACCGTGATGACTGGGATTCGCGGCATGCAGACACGATGTTGACGTCCCACTTTGCCTGGCCTGAGTCCAGGCAGTCGAAGATACCGAGGCGGTTGTGTTTCATCATTTTCATAGCTACAGTTCTAAGGTCGCCAGCTGTGAAGCAACAGTTGAATTTGAACTCGCAACGCATCATTGATGACCTGGCTGTCTTACTGACGTGCGTGAGATGTGCCATTCTTCCTTCCGCACAATGAAACGATGACACTTCGCCCATTGCCGCCGGGCCACGTGCTGGTTCGTAGCTATCAGGACATAGGGTTCCGTCTGCACCTTGGCAAACTGGCACTCAAGACCCGAAACTAGCATCTGCACAAAGCAGGCCTACTGCCATACGTTCAGGCAAGTTAAGCCGAGTGCAATGAAACCACTTCCAAGGCTCACAAGGCCATCTCGCGGATTGAAGGGCCGAAACCTTCAGCCACTCAAGATTGACAGCGCTCTGGAGGTTCTTTAATGGCTTGTTGGGCAAACTTCCCAATTTGCCGGATTTGCCCTCAAGATTGTTCTCTTACAGCCACTTCCTAGACCATGCCAATGCTGAAGAGGACGTCCGAAAGTCAACGAGCGCCGCGCCAGTCAAAGCTTGCTCCGACCGTCTCTATGCGAACAATGCCTCAGCAAATCTATGTGTAGCTCAGCTTACTTCTCTGTGTGAAGATGTTCAAACAAGAAGCTCCTCTGCAAATGGTCATAATCGAAGTCCTGGCTGCATGGTTATGGAGACTCGGGAAAAGCACATGTACTGCCAATCCTTGGAGAGAGCAAAAACAGTGAAAGAGTTCAGCAGAACGAACACTTGCAACAGCTCTCCATCGTACCTCTCAGTTTGCCACTTACACTAACATGCTTTGAACGTGGTCTGCTTTCGTGAAGTGTATCAGCAACGCTCAAGATGGGAGGTTCACCGCATGCTGGAACTGGCTCGTAGATTCATGTCTGCAAGTGCTGTTGTAGATTCGTCGAGGCTGCGCTCGCATGCAACATCCTACAATCCTGATGGAGCCAGGTTTTTTTTGGGTGTTTTTTTTTGGTTTTTTTTGTGTATGTTTGTGGGTTTAGGGTATGTTTTTGGGTTTAGGGTATGTTTTTGGGTATAGGGTTTAGGGTTTAGGGTTTAGGGTTTAGGGTTTAGGGTTTTAGGGTTTTAGGGTTTTAGGGTTTTAGGGTTTTAGGGTTTTAGGGTTTTAGGGTTTTTAGGGTTTAGGGTTTTAGGGTTTTAGGGTTTAGGGTTTAGGGTTTAGGGTTTGGGTTTTGGGTTTTGGGTTTGGGTTTAGGGTTTAGGGTTAGGGCTTAGGGCTTAGGGGGCTTAGGGCTTTAGGGCTTAGGGCTTAGGCTTAGGGCTTAGGGCTTTAGGGCTTAGGGCTTAGGGCTTAGGGCTTAGGGCTTAGGGCTAGGGCTTAGGGCTTAGGGCTTAGGGCTTAGGGCTTAGGGCTTAGGGCTTAGGGCTTAGGGCTTAGGGTTTAGGGGTTAGGGGTTAGGGTTTAGGGTTTAGGGTTTAGGGTTTAGGGTTTAGGGTTTAGGGTTTAGGGTTTAGAAAACCAAAAAAAAATACCCAAAAAAACCAAAAAATATACCCAAAAAGAACCCCCACCCAATCCTGATGGCCCCCAGCTGCCGCAAAGTGTTCAAGTCACAGACTGGTAGATCACTCCCCAAACATGCTCCGTGAATTCGCGGTCCTGTTTGTCGGAAAACTTGAGCCCAAGCCCCTCGACCAGGAACAGGAGAAGCAAGCTTGCAAGGGCCTCAATCTTGCAAGAACCCAGCTCTGTTCATGGGCATGACAGCAACACGTCGACCAGACAGCATTGTGCGCGCTATTCAAAAACATGCACTTCGTCCAGGTCAGGCGACTCGCATTCTAGCGACTGCGCAATCGCGATGGGTAATCTGGCCTCAGGGAGTTGAATGACTTATCCAAGAGGTTCACCACACATTGCAACATTCCGAGTGCCTGGCGGCCAGGGCAAGTTTCTGGCTCGTCTCTAAGCGAGTACGATAGAAGCTGAGGGGTAGGGTACTTCTTTGGAAGCCCCTTGTCAGCCTTTGGCTGAGCTTCAATTTAGGCGGAGAACGTGACTTGAGCCGACATGGAGAAAAGGCCGTGCAACAACTGTAGCCTCAACCAACGTCGAGGCGACTCAGTCGCATTCCCAAATTTAAAGGCTAGCAGCACAGCAGAGATTCAAAAAATGTGCGAAGAAAGGGCAAGGAAGCAAAGAAAGGGCCCCGGGCCATGCCCAGTCGTAGCTCGTAACGAGCAGACTCGGCCTCTCTGAAGGCCATGCCTCAGGGTTCGGGGATTCGGGGAATGTGGCATCCGAAGGCTAACCAAGTTATCGGCATAGCGGCTTCGTGCTTCTATGCAGAAGGCCACTGGTCTTGTGGGTGAGAGTGCAAGACATCATTTAAGTCTAAGTACTTGGTCCATGCACACTATTACTCTTGATTGGTGTTTGTTGTTTTTGTGCGGACTCTTCTTTGCCTCCTTCTCCGGCACCTACGCAGGGCTACACCATTGATGCAAGCTCCCACACAGGCATGTGCATGCACAACCCCGCTTGTATCTCGTATATCTTCATATCTGATGTAGGTGCTCTTGGCCCTACGCAACAAGATTCCTTTAATCGTATGCATACTGGTGCGCCCCAAGGAATTCTCTATACGGACGACGCCGCAGTTTTGGCTTCCTGGGTGTCTTAACATAATGCTTGACAAAAACGCTGACCGCACCTTCAACCGAACTCCGTCGAATTCTTCATCTGCCATCAACATCCTTTGTCACCAAGTTGTCCTGAGCTCCATGCCCATGCGCTCTTTCCTCGTCCTTGGTCTGGGTACCTGGCTCACAAGTCGATAAAGCAGACAAGCTCATGGTAGACTGACATGGGGCGTCGTGATCTACCTCGTGGTCCCTTCTGTGACATGGCCCCTTTGTGCCTGACTTGGTGCTCTCTTGCCTATTCTTGCAGACCGAATACGTTTCTTGCTTAACGAGTCCTCGGATGGGCTGTGCAACAAGATCTAACACATTTGCCCACTTGCGCCCGTTTGCAGGAGCCAAGGTCTGAGGCCGTTTCCATCAACTCCCAAAGCTAGACCGCATCTATCAGCATTCTAGCGGGCGCCTTCGTCCCATCTTCGTTGACGAAGAAGGCCGGGGCTCTCTCGTCTGGCGGAGCATCACTGTCGCTCTCGGCACCTTCCACCAGTGCTTCACAAGTCAAAGCGCCGTCGCTAGGTCGAATATCCAGGACTTAGGGACAGCTGGCTTCCGGAACACGGTCTTCGAACTGCAGGCTGGCACCAATTTCTGCAAGCATCCGCTGCAGGCTTTGAACTTTCTTCTGCTTTTTCCTGACCTCCCAAATTCATGAGGCAATGAATATGAATACTTGAGAACTGGCAGCTGAAGTCGTTGCAGACGGCCACGAGCATGTGTTGGGTGTGCCTGCTCTTCCGCTTTCCGCTGCCTCATCTCGGCCTTGATCCTGGCCTGTCCGCGAAATGCCAGCGACGTGCAAGTGGAGAAAGCGAAAAACAACTTGTGAAGCACACAATCTGCCCTGCCAACCTGCTGGAAGACATCTGCTTGCTGCTTGGCCTGTGCCATGTACGCACTACATTCACTCACTTCACTCAATGGTTCCACTCAGGTCTACACAGTGGTCGCATATGCTCAAGATTGCCACAACTTAACTCAGTGCCGATCATAAGCTTCTGCAGCTTCCGCATCTTCTTGCGCTTTTCTGGCAGTGTCGCGCTCGTCCTGAGCGGGTGCTGGGCGGGACATCACAGGCAGCTTTGACGGCCGGCAGGAGGCAGGAGAAATGCAACTCTCCAAAATCGACCCCACAGATATCGAACGACAGCAGGGCCACACGTGAACCCAAGTCTGGCCTCGGCCACGCGCTTTGCTTCCTGTTCGCCAAGCACACGGACATCGTGAGACATCGTGAGACAGGTACAGTGTCAGTTCCCAGCACAGAGTCAGAGAAGATATCACAAGGCTGTGTTTGTTCAGGCCTCTGCTTCCAGCCGCTGCTGGTTCGCTTTGTCCCGCTCTTGCCGGGCTTCCCGCGCGTCCTTCAGTCAATGCTAAGGATACTTCCTGCAAGCCATACTCGGCACCACTGCATTGCGTGATGCTTGGACAGGTAAACACCGTTCTGATTCGCGGATGCCCCATGATCCTCCCCCCTCTCCCCGCCAGAAGTCCCGCTGCGCCAGCTTGGCAGTGCGTTCTGCCTCGGACTGAAGCTGTCGAGCTTCTTCGATGCCTGGAAAGTGTGCTCCTATCAGACAATCCCTGACAATCGTCTGTTCATGGAGGGCCACAGGGAGAACTGGTGGGAAGGCATATCCTAGAGCAAATTGCACGTCACTCCGATCCATTCAGCCCGTCATGAACAAGGGGCATTTTCACACCCGGAGGCAAACCTATAAGGGCTAGAAGCACATACACTTCTGCACTTCACCTCAAACATTATGGGAACTGTCACGAACACTCCGTCAGATTTCTGCAACTATGCACTGTAGAAGCGATACAGCCGGAAGAAATTGCGGGCGCGACGCTTGGCTCCGTCCTTTTAGCTGCTGCGCTTCTCGTCTGCCTGCGCCCTAAGGCCCTAACAAGTGTCAGGTGAATCTGAACCGCAGCTAAGAGGTGCTGCAGTGATCCTGGCCGGCTGTGAGCTGGCAAAGTCGCAGGCGCAGTCTCAAGACTGCAGCGGCTTCAGTTGCTGTTAACGGCTAAGCAGAGACATGGATTGGATTTTCAAGATGAAAGAGGGAGAATATGTCAATGTCGGCATGTTCTCTGGGGCATGCGTGCTATGAAGCTAGGCTAGCTACTTCGATCGAGTTGGCCTAAACGAGAGACGAAGAGAGAGAACGTAGGCCCTGACCGCTGTGAAGATACTCAGCAATTACCATCTAGCAATCACAGAGTCACGAAAACACAGCATCTGCAAGCATGGTATCATATACCAGAAAGGACACCTGGCGCGAAGCAGTTCACCCGCAGTTCAACATGAGAAAAAGCAATGTCAAAGCAGGCTTCGTTCGCAGGACTTCAGGATGTCAAGAAAATTAAGCTGTGGGACTGAATCGCTCATTGCCCCAGGTTTGCGCGCTGCTAACCTGGAAGTCGTGCGCCGCGCTGCGCACTGAGCATACTGAGCCTCTATACAAGTCTCGCCCCTCCAAAGAAGGTAGACATCAATGCAATATATGCATGATTGCGCTTGGCTTGCAGGACGACTGCAGACACTTTGTGAGTCGGCCATGCAAGAATGAAACTACATCGCAGAGCGATCGCATAGCATGTCCAGTGCTCAAGCGGCAAAGCCTCGAAACTCGCGAAGTTGTCTGGCTGGAATCTGGGGTAGACAAAGACTGGAGTTGAAACCTACCTACGTGAATACCCACGTCCAGTGCGTGTCGAAGCCTTCACAATTCCTTGTAATACTTACTACTTACATTTCTGTGCTCGTCATGCTTCAGGTCAAACCTCTTGCCTTGCCTGTTGTAGCATCTGGAAATATTCACACTATGAATCGAACGGTCCCACGAAAGCACGGACCATTGATGGCCATTGTGCGCCTTCCTGACAGTTAACGACGGGAAGAAACGTGCTCACTCTTGTTGTGAGCAGGCTCTTCCTAATTGACAAATGCCACCGCTCCTTCTTGCAGCACGTGCGAGAATGGCGGATTGGAAAAAATCTGGCGAATCAGGGCAATTCGGTCCGCCAATCTCACTCCTGCTTCATCTCCACCTGAAGCTTTGGCTACGGCACCTAACTTCTAAACTGCTGAGACAAGATGCTTCATGTATCCAGTCAGTACGCCAAGGGTAGCACTGCTTCAGAAGTCATTGGATCAAGAAACTGAACACATTAAACGAGCACCCTCAGCCTGGAGACCGCGGCTGGACATCCGAAAGACGAGAGAGCGATGCAAAATTCAGAAGTCTAGGATACCCTCAGCTTACCAAATAACTTGATTTTGCTTGTTTTTGAAATGGGGCGGAATTGGGGGGAAGGGGGTTGGGGAGCTGAATTTCAGAAATGAGGTTATTTGTTCGAAAAACCAAGGCGACTCACAATTGACCAATCGAGGGAACCCTCCTCAAACATCAGACGCTCTTGTCCAGCGCTGTCACTGAGTAAGTATGTGCTTTCCGGACGACCGAATCAAAGCGCCACACACAGCTGGGAAATGCTGGGAAATGCTGGGAAGAGTGCCTTCCTGCTGCGCCAGCTCCAGCAGCTGCAGGAGCTCGGCGATGGGAGCCCCCTCTGCTCGCCCTGTCAGCAGCAGGCCTGAGAGGGCCCAAGTCGGTCACTGATCGCTTCTATTGCTCTGGTGCCGACATGACCCAAGACGTACTGGCCCAAGCGGAAAAGCCAGAGTACCGGTGCAAAGAAAGAAACAAAGAATGAGCTTGGAGAAGCAAGCTGCAGTTGTTTGGGCAGTCAAGGCATGCCCCAAGAATCGACCCTTCTAGACCCAAAGGCAACTATATAGGCAACTACAAGTAGGTCATGCTACGGAAGGCAATCAAACACTGAGCAGAAGGCGCAGCGGACGGTGGAGCCGGGGCCCTCTCACAGAGTTGATGCAGAATCGTGGAGCCGAGTTGAGTGGCCATGAATGTCCCTGAATGAATGCTGCACAATGCTGCACACACAGCTGCACCAAAAGCTGGTTTGGTGCCTCTCCGTCCCTGGCCACGCAGCTCCGCGAGGAGCGCTGGGAGCTTTGGGCTCATCAGACCCGGCTCCTACTCCAAAGAAGGTGCACTACGCCGTACTAAATCTTTGCGTCTCGAAGAATGCGTCTCAGTGTATCTAAGTGTTCTTAGTCTGCCATATGCAGAGACGACATGCTCGACATGCTCACACAGACCTCCGCATAATCCAGCAAGATTGGCACAACCTGCAGACAACAGCTCAGCGCAGGTGACTGCACCAGAGAATGCGAACCAGGAGAGTGCAACTCGCTTAAATCGTCTTCAAGCCTCCAGAGTATCCTCCACCAACTCAGTAATCCTGGGGTAACCTCAGCGGCTAGCAGTGGTTTGATGTGCTTTGTAGAATGCTGAGCTCCTCAGGATCCTTCGTCGAACAATAGAGCTGCAAAAGCAAGCGTTCCTTACTCCGACCCTTCGGCCATGTGGCCAGGTGTCTTTGCCGCCGCGATGGCGTCTTCGAGGTCAAAGACCAGTGCCTGGGTCCAGAGCTATGCAAAGTCCGTAGGCTTCTTGGGGCCCAGGTTGCGCAACATAGCTCGCTAGGACGCAGCAGGAACTTAAAGTGCTGAGACTGTGCCACAAAGTGTCAGCAAGAAAGCCCGCCTCTCGCAGCATTGCCAATGACTCCCGAACAGATCGGCAGCCCCGAGCCACGCAGAAACGCACGCACTCCTGGCCAGGCTGATTCTGCAAAGCACCTCCACAACCTGCAAAAAATTGCAAAAACCTGCCTCGCACAGGCACTGCACTACACCAAGCGGGCTGACACGAGGTCTCTGGCCCCTCAATGTGATCACCCAGCCTGGCTCAGTTCATCCTCCACGTGCACCGTGATGCCATCCTGGCTCTCTAAGGCGGTTGTTCAGCCTGTTCTGATCTGTTCTGCCTGTTCAGCTGTCACAAGCTGTCCTCCACAAGCCACCTAGGCAACGTTTGTGCCAATTCCGCACCTGAGGATCCCAAAATGGGTCAAAGTTCGAGGTGGCAGAGGCCAAATCTCGCTGGAAGTCAGAAGCAACGTCTGAAAATGTCTGAGGCCAAAGCTTGTGCAGATATGGTCTGCTCCAGAGGACTCGTCGTTGCGGAGCTCAGGTCCAAGGTAGATGAAGTATGAAGTAACAAGGAAGCCACCTCAGCGCACAAAAAGAAAACTCGTCTCCTCCTGCAGTTGCTTCTTTGTTGCTCTCTTGCTACTGTTGTGCCCCTCCTAACAACTGGTCTTTTTTTTTGGTCAAACTGTCTGTAGCTTCTGTTCATGCAACATCGCATCTCTTCTTGCAGTCTGGAAACTGTCCTCAACCAGATCATCGGTGACTGAGCCAGAGCTGCCCGCACGGCAGAGAACGTGGCGATAGCGCTCGCCATCAAGTGTCGTCTCCTTCGTGTAGCCCTCGTTGTAGGCATAGGCATTGGTCCAAGGAACCCAGCCATTCTGTCGCGCAAAGTTCGGCGTTGATGTTTCGAAGTATGCTGCTGTACCAGTTGCGAGCTGCCATTCTGGGGAGGTGCCGATGAAAAAGCCACCCTGGTCTTTAACCAGCTTGTAGCCAGAATAATCCCACACAAACTTCCCAGAAACAAACCTTACTCTGCAGGAGCATTGGCGAATGACACATTACAACATTTACAGCAACATCGTATAAATTGTATAAATAACAATCACTTTTCAAAGAAAAAGCCAAAAGAGGAAGGACATGAATGTGCGAGGCACCGGCTGTTCGTCAAGCCCGCTTCGGCATTGTTATAAATATATCCAAGATATCTCGCCGTGCCTCTGACCTTCCGGGGTCTGAGGAGTCTGAGTCTGTGATGGCGCGGGTCAGAAAGTGAGTGCGTGCCTCTTCAAGGTAGAATTTCAGCCAACAGTGAAAGCCACCGGCTACAGGTTGACCCGAGATGTCCTCGGTTAAGTTACCTCGGTCAGACTTGCACTTTACAACTGCAGCAGCGACGATATTCCATGTTTGAACCAGGCAGGCTACTTTGCGTTCATTAGCGCCGACCTTCTTCGATGGCATTGGATAGCAGCACGGCAGGATGCAATTAAGGACTTCCAACCCTTGTCTTGACAACCAGGAGTAGGGCTCTGTGTGGAGTGCTGGAGTGCTTGGACTGCAGTCAAGCCAGGTACGCTCCTCTCACTTTGCGAAGGAGCCACCTAGGAAGACATGCTCGAAGACGCAAGGCTTGCCATCTCTGCGCTGAAACCAGAGCTTGAACAGCACTTCCTGCACGACATGTTCATGCCCACAGCATCCATGGATTGAGAGTATCAGCAGCATCTTGTGGAGCTAGCTTCGAATATCTTCGAATGCTACGAGCAGGCTTCACACAACTCGATGAAAAGTCCAAAAAATCCTTCCAGGGGCGTGTGAGCAATACCGGCAGCGTTTTCGTGATGTGTCTGAATGCACGACCTGAGCCGGCCATATCAGAATCATTGAATGCGTGGCATGATCAGCGGAAGCACTGCAAATGCTGCAAAGCCCTCTGTCTGATGCCCAGCTGCGCATGACGGAAGTGCGCGTCACCTGCTCCAGAAAGTCATCGATTGCGGCAAACTCTGTTGGGCTGTACGGACCTTAAAACAGCTTACAGCTTCCAGGAACGTCGCGTACCTATCACCCCACGCGATGCGGGTGCTTTCCGATGATGCTGTTCCTTCAGCCAACACGGAGTTTGGCATGAGTAGGATGTCTCGGAGAGTTGGCTAGGTTTTTGCGCGCCATTTCTCTGATTCGGCTTCGCCTTTGACCTGGTAGGCTGGCCCGGGTATGGTTAAGAGAAGGATGATCAGGATTCCCATCGGTTACCTTTAAGTACTCTCTTTGCCGAACCATTGGTTCACGGCCTCGCTGTCAATCACACGTGCTGGCCAATGTGAGGCAAGGTAGAAAGAAGCCGCTTCTCGGCTTTGTGCTGAAGCCATCTCGTGCTTGTGTTTTTTTGCGATTATGGTGCTGCAGCTTCATGAAGCTTCGAATCCACCAAGTTCCTGCTACCCAGCACAGCTTCTGAGCCCTGCGCCGCACGTGCTTGATTCACCCTCGGATGGCTGGAAAACCTGGGACGTGGTTCTATCGGATAGGAACGATACAAGACTCTGCTTGTGAGTGTTTGCCTGTTCCTTTGATCCGTATGAGACACTCATGACACTGGTCGTACCAGCCAAACCTTGCGAAACCTAGTTTTGCCCATGGTTCGCTAATCCAGTCCAGGGGCATCGAAGACGCGCACCAGCGCAAGGAACGTGGGCCGCGCCAAGAGCTCCGGTGCGACGCGCGCAAAGAGAGGGCGCTTGGCGCACCTTTGCCGGCAATGAGGCAGATTCCAAAATGATGGGCAGCAAAACATACCACTGCATCCTCCATCAATATTGAAGCTGCATGTTTACTCGGAACAGGAATCACTTCACCCGCCCTGTGCCAACGCCAGGCGTCTCTGCCAAGGTCGTGCGAATGGCCGCCACCTGCTCGTCCAGAAGAATGTCCTCGTTTCCAGCATTTTCGGATGATCGGCTCGCTTGCTCTTGCATCGGCAAAAGCAGCTGCTGTTTAAATTGGCCTGCGGGTCATGTGAACTGACAAAGCTGAAGGTGATCGGCATCGCGAACATTTTGCGGAACGTCAATTTTCAGGACATCCTTGTCAATATGTACATTATATTCTTGTATCTCGTATGAACACGTTGAGGATGTCGTTCAGGTTGTCATTGCCCCCCCCCCCCACCCCACATTCCCAGGATTGGCAGGGGCGCCTTCCTTCCCTCCTTCCGGGAGAACTTAGAGACAATGCAAAAGACTTGATGGTTGCAAGATTTGCAAGATCTGGCTTGTCAAGCTGCTGCATCAGCATTGACCCATGGCCGACGTCCACCTTCTCCGAGACGCCTTAGAAGCATCAGCAGCCTGCGTACTTACTGCAGATAAGCTGTCATGCACAGTGCATCCCGCCTGGCGCTGACTGCGCATCGACCTTCATCTAAAGCCCAGAGCTCGCTGAGGATGTCGACTTTGCCAACCTGCATCAAGATCCGGTGCAAAGCTGTACACCTTACTACGCGTGCACATCTAGACCCATGTGGAACCCATCAATCTCAGGGCCCCTGCACACATGCTGATGCTGCTGCTTCAAGTTTGGACTGATCCGGCTGGCCTCGGCTTGACCTGGTTCTTTCGCCTGCGAACAGATCATTTTCATGAATGGGGTCTGCGAAGTCACGGCTGTCTGGCTATAGATCGTAACTTGAACTGTTCTTGCCCGTGATGGCTCCGCGTCATTCGCGCAAGTACAGATCGTCTCGGGCCGTTGTTCTTGACACGGTCAGAACTTCAGAGCGTCGATGAAAACGTTATCATCCTGAATGGCCTGTCTTCCCATCGCTGGACTCTCTTCCCATCATGAACTTTCGCGAAAGTACGTCTTCAAGCATGGTGGTCCATCCGTAAAAGGTCGCCACAAGGACCTGTAGATCACTGAAGATCGAAGCAGGGTACTGGACAATGGCGAGCTTCGAGAAGAGCCCACTGCCGAATTGGGAAAGAAATTCACCCTCAAAGTGACAACACGGAAGCCCAAGTAATTATGGTTCTTGTTCGCCGCACTGTCAGAAGGATGTAAGATTCTCAAAAGCAAGATGGCCAACCAAAATGTCAAACACACACACACACACACACAACCAAAGGTTCCATGCACCCAACCAAAATACCAAAAGACTCCACCCAAAGCGTCCAACCCCAACCAAAGGAGTGCCATGTGAAACCAAATATGTCAGCTGGTACAACCTCACCCAAGCCACCGTCGATCCTAACCCCACCTAACCACCCAAACCGTCACCCGACCTAACGTAGCCCACCACCCTCGACCCCAACCTAACCCTGACAGTATGTGGGATTGGCGGGGTACTATTCTTTTGGATTTCTATATAAGCCGGCTTTTTTGGTTGAGAGTTACGGGCTTTTGTTTGAGCTATGCGTTCTTTTGGTTGAGCAAGACAGGCGTGGTTGGACATTGACGCGTACTAGATGCCTTTGCTGCACCAGTGCTGCCATTGTGGATTCCTCGCTATGCGTCGATGCCTGCTCTTTTGACAAAAGATCTCACAACAATTCAGTTTCGGCATGAGGGTTTACCACACTTGGGACAGTGTGGAGTCCAATGTGCAACTTGACTCCGCGATCTGCTCTTCCCCCGGAGAAAGAACCATTAAGAACCGTTAGCCCAAGTAAGCACTGCAATACCTGGGGCCAGACTCCGCGCCTGCAGTCTTAGCGCGAAGTCATAGAGGGCGCTGCTCAGCTGGGAACTGGACATGGCGGCGCGGCGCAGTGCACCTCTTCTGTCACTTGGCTTTTGCGACGGGTTTTGGAAGTTTGGGGCCTCCAGGGCTTGCCCCAAGTGACTGAAAGTGACTGAAGCATTCCAACAGTTGATCCGATGCACAGGCAGTCTATGGCAATCGCAACTCGCATCGGACCTGCGAGATTCTGCAGCATACTGCGGCCACGCCACCAAAGAGGAGCTCTCGCGTGGCACCCTGGGGAAACTGCTCCCGGATGGCCTGTGCAATGTGACCGGTGGTGGCATCTCAACTCTGGTACATCACTGCCCAGATCTCCAAGCCAAGCTGCATCAAGACTGCGCAGCATGGCCATCTCCTGTGACCGCTGTATGCCTCAGGCATCAAGACAGGACATGACAGGACGTCTTTCTTTCATCAGGCTGGAGGTGTGACAGAGCCGCCGGGCCTGTGTAGATCTCAGCAAAGCGGCCGGTCTCCTGGTCAACATGCACCAATGAGGTCCACACTCTCACACTCTTCGCACTCCCATCAGGGCTTTGCGATGTTCCATCAATGATGCTTTGTGAGTTAGTGTGTTGCGGTTGGCTGCGCAGAGTGACGTGCAAAGAAGACATAAGTCAGGCTGCAGGTACATAGAGAATGCAAAAACTACCCATGAAACCTCCAAGTAATGGCATCCACAGTGGGTGTTGATTCCTTGTTTCACCTTTCCCCGATTTGGCTTTACTTACCCATTTCCTTCAGACGCCGTACCATACTGTCCCATACTTGAGCTCCGTGTGCTGCTAACATCTGTGCTCATGGTCCTTTACATCCTCTTAAAATTTGCCTTATCGTTACTATGCATCTTGAGGCATATCCAGACGGACCTTACCCTATGGTGAATGTAATACGTTTTGGTCTGGGGCTCATAGGAATCTGAGTTGAATCAGGCTTTGCAAACTGAGTAGTAAAGGTACCTACATATGGATGACACCAGCCCAAAAACTCACAACATCTCACAATTCTTGGCACGAACTTCCCACGCGCCTTAAATCTTGCAGTGGACTCAGCCTTGCTGAGCAAGCGCGAGATCGGCATTGCTTGGGCACTGGTTTCCAAGTAAGAGGGCTCAACCGCAGAAAAGAAGAGAGGAGAGTTGAGGTCAGGGAGACAGAGGAAGAAGCGAGAGAGGGATAGAGTGCGAGAACCAGCGTGTGAACCAGCGAGAGAAGCAAAGCCTCAGAACGAATCATAAATTTGCAACGATATCTGAAAGAATGAGCTGACCCAGTCAAGTCACAGCATCATCGCGCACATTGCTGAAGATGTCTCGTGCACCCTGCCCAGCGGAAACAATCTGAAAGAACTCATCAGCGCACAGGAACCTACAGAAGTTCGGCACATCGGCAAGCCCATGGCAAAATGCAGTTAAATGCGGGTCCTGAAAGAAAAAGTTGGGCATGACAAAGCCACCAGAGGAAGCCAGAGTGTTGCCATCGAAGTTATCGCCCCGCAGATTTTTCACGAAAATGAACCTGCTTCAATGGCTGGCGAACATGGGACGATTGCGATACTTCCTCTGAGCTACCATGTGCATCTCGGTGCAATCCAGGCAGCAGGACTGCCGAAATTGTAGAGAGGGTACCGAAGACCCCTACGAGAATGCCAAGGCCGAAGCTGTCCACGCCGACCTTCGCTCTGCAATCGCAGCAAGATGCGTTGCTCAACCTTCTGAGAATATTACAATGTCTCTGCGTGTCTTTGCCATAGAGATTGCAACACGGCCACAGAGTCCAGATATGTGTCAATGGCAGATGGAGCCATCGGTCTGATGACCGCTGGCTCGCGCATCTTTCGCTTGCTAAGAAGCGTACCTGCCGGCACGGAGCAGCAAAATCACGGAGGCGTCATTGCCTGATCCTGTCCGTTTTCTTTGCACGATTCCTGCTACGAGACTAGCTGCGTGTCTGTGGAGTAATGAGCCATTGCTACAATGAAACACAGGAATGGTTTTCGAGCGCCTAGGATTTCGTTTTAGCTGCATTCTGATTCTCAGATTGGCAGGATCACGGATGCCCCTGCTAGCGGCGCTGCGTGTATAGACAACTCCGAATATGCAACAAAGCTGCATCCACAGAAGTTGTGTCTGCAAGGCCTGCAAAGCTGAAAGGTGACTGTCATACCACTTCTGATAGCTGCATCAGGCTGCATTGAAGTGGTGCGCTCAAACGAAGAAATGCCTGCCTACTGCTCTGCAGCACACCAGCATCACGGAGGTCTGACCCTCTCCAGGGCGTCGGGCAATGTACCTTCGGCCAAGCATCCAAGCTCGGGCGAGACAAGAGGGATGAGGCAATGTCAGCAGTGTCGGCAACATGGCCGAGACTGCTCAGCAACTTGCGTAGGTGACTTGCACATGCAGCTGAGGAGTTCGCCAGCAAGACATAGAGGGCCAGGAGACGCCCAGGGCGCATGGCTAGTCAAAAAAGCTCTACATTCTCATGTATAGGCATGGGAAGCAGCAATGTGACGACTGTGGTTTCTAGGCTCCGCAGGCGGCTCTGGGTAGGCGGCTTTGGGCAGGTGGCTCCGGGCAGGTGGCTCTCGGCAGGTGGTTCGGGGAGGTGGGCGGTCTGTCAAGACCTTCCGACATCTGATCATTTCTGCTGTGCTCGGTTCTGCTGCGAGGTAATTAACAGGTTTGCCGCGTCCAACAATATTTTGGTTCATCCACTGAGCGACTTGATGTATGATTGTTCTCAGCTTGACGCACAAAGCTGCGCAAGACAAAGTCTCGAAAACAGCCGCACCGAACACTTCGCAGATGGATGCAGTCAAATACAAGTAGCTGCACTGTGCTATCGGTAGCATACCGAAGCTAAGGAGAGCCGGCGATACGCCGCACTTGTTCCTGCACGAGTTCTTTGGCCTTTTCTTCGTCGCCCAAAGCCTACCAGGAGGAGGAACGGCTCATTTGGATTGTGACTCAGCATTTACAAACAGCTCAAGGCACAATCATCCTCTGAACGTACAATTCAAAGAGATGCTGTCAAATTTGAGGCAGGAATGCAGGCAAGGGCCTGAAAAAGGATACATACGCAATATCTAGATACGTATGTGTTAATGCATATCTACATATATATATATAGACCGATGCCTGAGCCAGCTGGGCATTCATGACCAAGATCTCGTCTTCATGTCTTCGCCGCAGCCTCAGCAGCGTCGAGTCGAAAAAGTGAAAGTTTGGTACGGCCAACAGCCACTGCAAGACAGGCTGTTTGGAAGACGGAAACAGGAATTAACAGGATGCTGGGCGCAATGGCTCCTCAAGATGCTTCTCATGCCGACCTGAGCGAGACAAGCATACAAAGACGGCCTACAGACCTTGTCTTCGTAGTCTTCGCGCATCTCTGACATGAATCTGCTCGATTTGAATGCAAGATGATCAAGTGCGGAGACCGCCTGACGACGGAGCTATGAGCCCGCCACCCTCGACCGACTCCTCCTGCATTGCGACCATGCATGCCTGCACCGGCGAAGCGATGCGCAGCACACACCCAGGATCACCAGCAAAGTTATGCAAAGTTGCAGAGATGGCAACGTGAATAGAGGTTCCGGCGATCCCCGCTTGAAGTGGGCTTGCACATCTGTGTGTTCTTTTGAAGCACCAGGGAATTCTGCAGCTTGGGCATGGCCATTCATCAAGAAGCTTATTTAGGGCGATTGACAGACTTTGACAGACCCTGCGAAGCGAGAAAAGCACACCAGCCTGCAAGAGCCGCTTCTTTCGCTCTCGTTGGATGACATCCAGCCGCGACTGGGCCCGTGCCTGCAGGGCTGGTCATGATGTGGCGCGCTTGCAAGTTTTCCGTGTTTCCAACATGAAGCTTACAGGCCCTCGGTGACACAACTCACGACGTAACAATCTCTCTCGGTCTCACAGTGGGCCGATGGCTCTCGCAATGCTTTGTCAAAACTGTTGCACGCACTTCTTCCTGGTGTTTTGATGCGTTTTGCCCACGAGCTTGAAAGCGGTGTCAAGTTGGGGGCTTTAAAGAGGACCAGACCTTCAGCATCCTTCAGCCAGGGTTCAGCTTTGGACATTTTTCCCGACGCACGGTGGCCTAAGCCTTGTGAAGTTTAGGCTTCCAAGAGAGCCATACCATACCAAGATTAACCGCAGAGCATGCTTACCGTTGGCCACCGAAAGTACCGCCTAACCGGAAAACGTGGACCTTTAGAACCCCACCGATCTCTGCAGGCAGCTGCCTTCCGCATCCTCTGATGGTGCTCAATTTTGAGCTTCTCTTTCCTGAGTCTTCCAGACACCCGGCACTGGCAAATCAATCAAAGGAACCTGCAGAAATCACTGCCCGTGACCAGTTAGACTGCAGAAAGAATGGACATAGGACGCATTCAACTGCAGTTCCCGCGCTATATGCAAGGCTTAGCGGTTAGCACATGTCACAAGTTCGGCGCTACCCGGTTGCAGATTCTGGGTATCTTGCTCCTCTGCTGCTTTCCACTTGAAGCGGATCTCGTCGAAGGCACACCTTGGACTGGCAAGCCCCAACACCATTGATGATACCAGCTAGAGATATCAACGACTGGGTTCCTGAAAGGCGTCCGGGATCAATAGTTAGCATGCACGAATTCTATCTTCCCCAAACTAGAAAGCAACTCTTCCCATTCTAGAAGCTGGTTGGTAACATGATTTAGAGAGCCTCCGCAGGCGTGGGTGGAAATTTGTCGTGTTGCACAGGGGAGCCGATGCGTGCTGAATGCCAAGTTACCTGCCCTTGCGACTTTGGGGTTCCAAGATGCCACATAATCAGACGGGATGCTGCAGCCATGAGCACAGCCCTCCGCGTTCCACGATCTGAGGCCCGTGATCGTGTGATATGCTGTGAACCATTTTACTCTTTGACATGCGACATGTCAACTGCACTCTATGCAAGCCGGAGGACGACAAGCTAACGTTGAACTCTCATGGCCCTCCCTGCTTCAAGTTTCAAGCGTTTGGCAAGAGCAACTGTGATACCTAGCTTCACAAAGATGGCATCTCCCTTCAGTCTGCACCTCTCTTCTCATCTTGACCAGCTTCTTGCTATAGTCCTGAGACACTGGAGCCAAGTCAGGGCCAACCGGCCAACCAACGCTAGCCAGAAGGAACGGGCTGTGAACATCTAGGTCGCACAAGCCGGGCGTTTCACGTCGTCTCACTCCACTTTGGTAGTATCCATCTTGAGTCTCCTACCCCTGCCTCTGGGCACGAAGCCGCCCCCCCTTTTGCCCGTCTAGTTCCTCTAGTACTATAAGACTCTCACTTCCGGGCCTTCTTGTGCGTCCTAAACGCACTCGTGACGCGTAGAGTGGGTTGAAAAGCTGAAGCAGGATCAGCAGAATCAACGTGGGACCATTGGCGTCCTCTGCCAACGAATCCCACTTCCTTTCTCTCAGAGCTACAGCCTCTTCTAGCTCCTTGACCTGCCGGGCCGAGAGCGAACACACAAGACTCAAGCGCACAACTTCTGGGCAAAGGCTCAGCTAGAAATTGTCAAGTAGAAGTACTACCCACACAGATCACATCTTTCACCTTCATGTGATCAGCGCTAGTGATTCTAATGGCATTTAGCAGAAATGGCTAACGTGTAGCTCATGGCGAGTGGGGAAGTCAGACTCGAAATCTCGGCCCCTTCTCAAAGCTTAGGAAATGGACATGCCCCCAAAGTAACCAAAGCTATGCCCGAGGCCAGCAGTAGCCCGTGGTAGCTGAGGAAATTTAGTCACTGCCAACCCAGCCGTTGCTTATCGACTCACCACATGCCCCGGCCTTTGCTTGTTCCTCTTCTATCGCCTGCTGCTTCCTCTTGAGTTCCTTATCCTGCCCCGTGAGCAGACAATAAATGGTCAAAGTGAAACCAGGGAGGACACAATGTCATGATAAGGCGATGCTGTACAATTCAGTTCAGCATCAACGGCGTCTGTTCTCCATGCTGGACTTGTGTGAAGTGCAAAGGTTTGCCAGGGATGTTAGCGAAGGGGTTACAGGCGAAATCGCGCTTTTTGGCGCTTTTTCCGGTTAATCGAAGACGATGCTGCTGTCGCATCTGAAGATGCATCCAGCCTGCTGCCGCACCTTGCCGTACAGGGCCTCCAGCTCCTCGACGAGGCCCTTGCCTGAGCCACCAGGTCGTCCGTGTGCTGTCCATGCTTAGACTGCGCTGTCCGGCAGTCTGTACATGAGGACAGGTACACGTCCATAACTCCATGATGCTAAGCCAGTCGTGTACCTCTTGCATGTGCAATTTCAGACAGCCAACTCTCAACTCTCCTCTCGTTTCATGAAGCCGACCTGCTTTGCACGACTTCATACAAGGGAATTGACTGAGTATGCGCCATCCTGATAGGACAACACTCGGCTAAGTCTCGCACGGAAGGACCCATGCATGAGCTGCGCTACATTGTTGCCGACTGTATCAGGCTCCATGAGCGATGTCGCTTTGTACCATCTTCCGAGGCCCCAGTCTTCACAACCATGTTTCATCTCGTTTGCTCCGCAAGCCCTGCGAACTCTCGTGTAAGAGGACACAACATTCAACCAGACTTCAGCGCTTGTCCGAGCTTCGCAGTACAGTACTATCCGTCTCTCCATCAGAGTGATGCTGCGCCCCCCCCCCGTCCCAAGACAACCAGCAAGGCAAAAGGTAAACTGACCCTCTTTGTTGCATCCTGAAAGATCCCCCGCTTTGGGGAGAACAGACATCCACCCCCAAAAGCCCAGACCACCCTCAACCTTGTTGACTAACATTCTCTTTCAAAAACATAGAACCTTCAGTTGTCCCGGCCTTCGGTGCCGGACTGCGCACGCCAAGCTTTCAGCCGGGCGAAGTCGTCTGCCATTTTCTGCCTGCCACGAGGAACCAAAACTTGGAGGACAGTCGGGGGTACCGTGGTGTCCCGAGTACCGAATATGGCGAAGTTGGCGAATTTACATGGACTTTTGCTGCATGGCTGAAGTTCGTCCATGCCAGCCAGGCTCCAACTCATTTCGCCGGCGCTGTACTTCATCAGTGTAGCCCTAGCAAGGCACAGTCATGGCATGGTGGAACTGTACCATCCGTACCAATCCGCAAGGTCTGGCCTGGTACATCTCCAACTTCTCCTTGAGCTTGTGCGCTGAGCTTCGATCTCCCCTGTTCGGAGGCAGTGAGGACCTCGAACACACGGTTCTATTGTTTCGGCGAAAGTCGTATGTCCGGATTGTGATTAAATAAGTTGTTCTCTCTCTCTCTCTCTCTCTCTCTCGCTCTCTCTCCCAGCCCCGTCCACTCTCCGTGAAGTTTTGTTGTTTGGGGGCAGCGCTTGGAGATGATCTGCCCGATCTGTGAAAGGTGGATGCCCAGGGAGCTAATCGCCTCTCATGACGCATCAAATGTTACGTTTGCACTTGTGTACTGGAAGCCTGCCTCAGCACTGAGATCGACCAGCTCCCGGCTGCCCTCGCTGATGTCATCATTTTTCATGGCCTTTGCTGAACACTCAGCAACATCTTGTGATGCTTGTGATGCGTCCATCTCAAGAACTTGGGGCCCGGCGCTACTCCGCGGGATAGGGCCTTTGGCCGAAAATCTATAAGCCCGTGCCCTGGCCTTCACGAGGGCCTCCCCTCCCCTCGAGCCGACAATGCGTAATGTCCAAAGGACTGAAAGGTGCAACCAATCACCGCATTTCAAGATTAGTAGTGTTCGGCGAGCTAGCTCCAGAATCATGCTAATTGAACGCGTAGATTGTTCGGCGCATGTCCGGACTCGGAAGCTCTCCGCCGGTTATGCTGCAGCTTAAGTTTAGCTGATGTAAGTGTTTAGCCGCTATGTCTAGCAAGGAAGGGGCAGTGAAAGGAGGCTTTGACAGGAGGCAGCAGGAAACGAAACCGAAATCACCTTTGGCACTATGAAGCACTGATTGATTGCTAGTGGATCCAGTGGGCCCATGGCTGTGCACACAAATGTACTAAGAAAATAGGAACACTTTTGTGAAGGCTTGCCTAAAGCTTGTCTACGCGTGCCTACCTTGACTGCTCAGTCCACCAGCCACCTTTTTTGACGTCCACGCAGTCGATCACGTGCCAGCACATCCCACTCCAACGTCAGAGAGCGGCGACTGCTCAGACGCTCCGCATCACCTCATCTTGTTACCTTGCTATCTTGCTCCGCACTGCAGCTTTCGCAGCCGTCGTTGTTCTGATTGGCTTCATACCTGCGTAGTGTGCAACAGCCCAGTTGCAAAAGAGGCAACACTCTGAAATCATGAGAGCTCGAGCACCAAGCTGAGATGCACACAGTGCGCATACACCGAGGAGACGAAGATTTCGGATAGTGCTTTCATGCTCACCCCGCTGCAACTTCGGACGTCACGCATCTTGGACCAGACAGCCCTGAGGAGAAGCTGACAGGGATGCTCGATACATCTCTCATGTTTCCACACCTTCAACAGCACTCCGCAAAGCATGCAAAGCATGCAAAGCTCCGAGCCTTGCAAGGCCTCCTCTGCCGCACGAATGCCAGACAAATAGGCCGCATGGAAGCCACCCTGAAGCATCTTAATTGCGCAGAGAGCATCATGCATCTGCAGTCGAACCAACTGATGCATGCAGGGTTCATCCACTCAAAGAACTTGCCATTTTCGCTGAGAGCCCATCCTGGTGTTCTTCGTGGGTATGCTCACCGGCAAGGCGGACCCGGCGGCCTTCCATGCCAGAGATCAGTGAACGCACGTCATCCCACTCCTCAGTGGCCGACACGCACAGCACGGGAAACGCTGAGAAAAGGCACTGACTGCAACTTGAAAGCCGCATCTTTGGTGCTCATCCTTAGTGAAATATGCAGCATGTCCGTGCACATTTGTGTCTGTCTGCGATCGCCGATCGTTTTCTTCTGGGTCCCTCTTGCTACAGTCTGTGTCCGAATGCTCTCTGAATTTGAAGGGCCGGCCTGGAAGAGGTAGACAAGCACACGGTCCCGAACAGTCCCATGAACCCAAGGCCAAGGCAACCATTTTCGAGCGGACATTGTGCATTAGAACGAAGCACACACCCTCAAACACCCTCAAACGCCGACATGTTTTGGGCTTTGCAAAGCTGCCAAGGCTCGAGTAGGACCCCAGCGTCCACTCGACTTCTCCCCATCGTGTCATTTGCACAGCCAAGAGTTCGTCAGGAAGCAAGGCGAGCAATTGCTCAGCGACCTGATCATGGGCAACTTCGGAGGCAGCAGATGGGAATAGATGGGACAGTGTCATGGCCTGTCGTGCTTCCTCGTCGGACAGCGTCTGTGCTTCTGGAATGATCGAAGCAAGAGACCTCAACTCGGCCGTGGAAAAGCTTCCTGGATTTCAACTAAGATCGATCCGCAGGCTTTACAAAAGTACTTAGACACCAGCAGCAGTGGCTTACCATTCAGAGGCCAGTAGTTGAACAGCTGCCAGAAAAGTGGCGAATCCTCAGGTTCACGCAATTGGCTCCTTGCTTGGTCATCCCGCGTGCGGCCGTGGCCAATTCAAACCACACTAGCCGAGAATCGATGTCTGTCCACACTGGAAATCGCGCCGCCGCCTCTCAATATGATGTTGGTCACAAAACTAGGTATACGAAAAGGCTCCCTGTTTTGGCGGCCCTGTACTACATTCGGTTCCCCCCCGGCCCACTAGCCCCACACAGGCACTACGCTGGCCCTATGCCGCCCTAGAAATATGAGTCCTGCGCTTCTCGGTTTACAGCCACAAACCGCAGTATACGCACCTGCTCCGTCACATGCAGAAGAAGCTTGTTGTAATGACCTGAAGAAAGATCAGCAAGCAGACGTGCTGAATGGCAGGGTACGCCGATTGGATTCTGCTGCGCTGCTTCAAGACATAATGTGCGACCACAGATGCACATCTTCAGGCGCGACAAAGCGTCTTGTACCACCGTCGGCAAGGCTGGCTCGACAAAGTCGGGGCCCATTTTTTTCAGCACACCTCTCACTGAAGTGAGAGCTGAGGAGTAGGCAAGAAAACAAAAGAAAACTACTGGGCACCACAGTCTCACACAGAATCTCACAGCCGTGCACCGTATCTCGAGCTTATCATGCTGTGGCATTATGTTCGGAGAGGCGCCCAACGATGCTGTAAGCACTGCCCATCTGGCATGGCAACGAAGTCCACTTCGGCAGTGCACCACAACGCACGATGGATCCTCCGAGAGGGGACTGACTCAGTGTGCATGACGATTGGCGACTGGAGCACAAGAAGCCTCCCGAATGAAAACCACCTCCTCACCCAAGTGCACCTTGCTGGCACACTGGGCACATCTGGCACATACGCGGGCAGTGGCCAGCAGCTTTTGGCAACAAGCACAACCGTGGTTCAACAGAATCTCAAACATCTCTCTCTTCATGATTCTCTCGGGCACGTTGCTGCCAAAGGACGTGGACGCCACGGCGCTCCGCATCCGAGGATAGGCGTGTTGCAATCGACTCTGCCCCGCCTGTCAATGCACTGGTACAGCATCGCAATGGTGGTGCTCCATGGTGCTCCATGGTGCTCCGTGGTGCTCCATGGTGCTCCATGGTGCTCCTGCTGCAGGCGCCTTTCAAAACAGCGTGCGGTCCAGGGTAATCACCCATGGATCCATGCTCCGAGTCCCACTCCAGCATGCCAATCTCCTCCTCAGTTGCAGCTGTGCTGCAGGCTTTTAGGCTTCTGTGTGACACGTGGGTTTCCCGCATTTCCGATGAGCGTCAGCAGAAGTCCCAAACCACAGCTGCAGCAGGCGTAGTCGTCTGGCTTCGGCTCCGCTGAGTGGTCCCAGTGAAGCTTCGGTGTCTCGGAGCCCGTCCTGGCACCACATGGCACCACATGGCACCGCATATGAACGCCTGCAAAACTTGTTGCTCGCTCAGCTCCCAAACGGGGCCTGGAATGATGTCCCCGGCGCAGTCCCTGTGGCCGCAGCGCGGCCAAGCTGCTCGAGTCGCTGCTCCCAGTGGTCATCGCCCTGCGGACGAGGTCTTTAGGCTGCGGAAGGTCCCACGACACTCCGGCAACAATGAACATCGGCAACGAAAACTCGCGGGCCCGAGAGCGGACGAAGCTGCAGCTGTCGCCCTCGGCAACGCCGTGCAGCCAAATGTTGTGTCCACTGCTCGGCAAAAGGTCCTCGCAGCTATGAGATGTGGCAAACGTTCTGACGCTCAACATTGGCAGAGCTGCTTCGGCTGCCTTACTGTGGCACTTTGCCACCTGCCATCGGCAGCTGCCATTTGCTTAACCCGCCGATCGGCATTCTATGGCTTACCATGGTTAAGTTCTTTTCTTCTGCGCGCTTTGCTCTTTCTCTCTTCGTCGTCGCAAGCATTCCCCGCTACAGATAATATACATCCGTCCATCCGTCCGTCCGTCCCTCCCTCCGTCCGTCCATCCATCTCCCCACTCAAAGTGGACCCAGTTTCAGTCTCACCTCATGAGCCCTGTGAGGCCCCCAGCAGCGGCTCTCAGCCGAGTGCAGAGCCTTTCGCGCTGATTGTGGCCGTCTTGACAACAGAACCTGAAACGCCTTCAGAGATACTAAGACTAAGAATTCTGGCCTCGACTGCAGACTGTCTTCCTCTGCTTCGACAGCCCGCAATTACATTCATTCGCTGCACAGCCACGCAAGTCCCCACCAGATCACAGCTGCGAAACAAGCACAGCAAAGCCATCCTCCTGCTGAACTATGCCATCCCGCAGCAGAGGGTTTCCATCAGTACCTTGTACCGTCGTACCCGTTGCTAGCAATGGTCCAAAAAACCAATTCTCAAAGCACTCCGCCCCAGACCTTCTCTTCGTTGCACAGCTCATTGCTCCAGTTGTGTTCTCATTCTGCACATTCTGCTCAGCACGCAGCACTAGTGAACCTAATCAAGTTTAGCTTCATTCTTGGCTTTGCAGAGGGAGCTGCCATGTACCCACGCCGCACCAGCGTCGGCTGCAACATCACCAACCTCAAAGAATCAAAGGTTTTGCAACAAGAATGTTTTCATCGGCTCCCGGCCAGCTTTGAACTTCAAACACCCAGCTCGCTGCTTGCAAGCTGGACAGACGTCCCCCAAGACGATGTTGCCACTCGAGGAGCACAACCTGGCCGTGATCGCCGCGATCATTCGTGATCCAACAAGTTGCGTGTCCTCAACATGTCAAATCTGCCCACTTCACATTCCCCTCGCAGCCTCTCAACCAAAAAAACAATTGTTGAACCATTTGCGCCTGGAGCTCCGGCTGAGAGCGAAGCAGTCTTTCCGAACAAGTCAAGCCTGCTATGCCACCTGGCACAAGCCATGCGCATAGTGCACATACCCCCTCATTTAGCATAAACAGCTCCTAACAGCCTAAGTCAGGCTCTGGCCAATGATGGCCAATGGATGTTCCAATTTCCTAATTGCCCAGACTGGTCGTGGCTCAGTAGCTAAAACTGGCTTCCCTGCCGGCACGCTCTCAGATTCCATCTCTATCTTGGAAAGCATGAGAATGCGTAGTATTTCCCTCCCCCTCCTGACGCCTGCCTCCTATGACCACAACGTCAGCAGACAGTTCCACCATGCCTGCAAATCTCCAAAGAAAGATGCAAGCTACATTCTCAGCCAAAGGAGCACCTTTCTTACATACTTAAATCTCGGAGCCCCATCACCTACCCTGTCCACGCCGATCCCTGCTTGAAGCTCCCTGCTTGAAGCTGCTACACTGAAGCAGCCTGGCTGCCTGAGCCATCCAACACTCCAGGCTGTCGGATCCCGCGTCCAAGCAGTCATGCTTGAGAAGAGCAAACTAGCGCAGTATTGCCTCAGTCTTCCTGGGCGAGTTGGTTGCCATGCTGAAACCCTTGGCAAGTTTTGCTACATGACCTCAAGGCGACGTATGACTGCGACCCCCAGCAACACCAGGAACGATCGCCGAAAACAACCTCACCCCAACATCCATGTAAAAGCAGCTCGCAGCTATGGTGTGCGGGCGTGTCAGGGCATGTGGATATTGAAACTTCCTGCAAACTGAAACTGCGTTTTGGATGGAAAGCCTACATGTACCCTTCAGACTCCTTAAAAGTCGTACGCGCAGCTGCACGCATGGCCTTTTGCACGCAGCAGTCACCCTGCATAGAAGGGCCCTGGAAGCGGCAGCAGAAACCTCACACATGCTGCGCGCAACGTATGATCACGCAGGCCTGAAGACATTTTGGCAACATGTTGCAAGTGCGTTTCTTGCCGGATGTCCGAGCAATGCGCTGTTCATCGGCTAGATTGCTGTGCTAAGGTTGCCACGGCTCGACCGGAACCTGTTACGGCGTGCTGACACGGCCCCAAGTTTGTCCCTAGCTTGGCACTGCCCGAACAAGAATCACTGCCGGCCATATCGAACATCCTCACGGCACCGTCAGAAACCACCGAGGCTCCAACCATTCGGGAGAAGAGAAGTGGGACTGCCTCCGACAGGATGTGCCAGTCCAAACGACTGAGGCTCCACTCGTGCTTGTTTAATGCTGCCTCCCAAGGAAGCTGGTAGCCGAGACGTTCTAGTCGATGAAGTAGAGAAAGCCTCGAACGCTATTGCAGGAAGGTTACCCATCACCAAGCGATGTGCTACCAACGCAACGTCAAGGGTTCATGTTCACTGCACTCAGGGTGGTCGATGGACTGGACTTGGACAAATTGGCTGCAAACCCTTGACGAAACTTCCGCAAGTACAGCAGGGCCGCTTGGGGTGGGATTTGCAGACTAGGGGTCCGTGTGGTTCCAGCCGCATGGCTGTCAACAAATTCACAAGCGCATGCGCCAAAAAGCCAAAAATGGAAAACTAGTTCCACGATGAATAGTGGATTGTGTGCCCACAAAAAGAACGGTAATAACAGAGGTGGGTCGCCACATACATCAGCACATCGCCCCACAGCAATTTCACGAGGGGCGAGGTGGTGGTTGGGGAGCTCGGGCAGGTTGTCTGGTTCCCCCCGCCCCCAACCTGCGCCGACTACTCTTCTTCTTCTTCTTCTTCTTCTTATTCTTCTTCTTCTTCTACTTCTTCTTCGGGGCTTGAAGGGTGCAGGCACCGGCTCTGCTTCTTCTTCTCCCTCCATCTCTCGATTGATCCTCTTGCGAATTGCCGTGCAGGGTCCAGCTGCGAAAACAAAGCCAAGCAGTGTTATCAATAAGCAAGCAAAGCATTGGCAATACCTTGGGTGCCACTTTTTGTGGGACTCGCATTGCTTCATCCAATGCCATCCCCATGCCCATTCGGCATCGCACGGTCCGAAAGGTGCGCCTTCTTCCTGGGATTCATATGTCTACACTATGTTGGCACATCAAGACCTTCAGCAAGCAGATTCAAGCGTCAAGAAGCAAAACCTTTTTTCGAAGATGCCTGAGTTCGATGATGCTGCACATCCCAACAAATAGTCATGAAAAGCTGGGATAATCCAGGAACGTATGTCAAAGCGATGCCGAGTTCAACTCCAGCGTCGCGCTCCGCAACCGAGGAGCAACAATGGGTTGCATGTCTGAAATGCTCTGCGATCTTGCGGCACTAGACCGAAGCTGGTTCAGAAGCACGGCTACAACGAGTTGCAGATTTGTGCAACCTCGGCGGCTGCCTGGCCCGCCGCCCTCTCCAAAATCTCTTTCCGGTTGCGCCCCGACGCTGTGGACCGTGTATGACCGCATTGAACTCCTTGTAGGCCAGACTTCATCTGATTTAGGGTGCCCGTCCTGGGCGAGGGATGAATACGTCTCCTCTCATCAGGTACCTGCTTCATTCACGGGCAGCACAAAAACCGAGGACAAGGAAATAGCGCGACTCGGCCCCTACGTCGTCTGGATTTCATGTAACTGGAAATAGGGCTGCCTTGCCTGGAGGTCCTCTCAAACCCTGCGCCGACAGCTTGCCATCCACGATCAGAAGTGTGGCGAACATCAGCTTTTACTTCCATGACCTTCACGCTTGCAGGACACACTTGTCGTTTCTGCACGCAAATGATGTAAATGCTTAAACCAAGATAGTCTGTGCTGAGATAGATCTCCCTGAACCGCTACTGGTATCAATCTCCACATGTGGGCGGAATCTGAAAGTTCTCTCAATCAGCTGATGCTGTCAAGCGACGCCACCCGGATGCCCCACGCGTAGCAAAGCCTTTCGTCGACTTTCGGGGATGCAGCGCCATGGAACACTTCGCTCCACCTTAGAACACGTCGAAGCAACAGGCTTGAGGAATGTCGTTAAATCATCATTGGAAATGCATGCTCTCGAGCCCTGTTTGCGTTTCCTGGCCTGCGCCGCACATGCGATTGCGATGGAGCCAGTGCCAGTGAAGGCATGGTGGATGCCTGTACGTTGTTGCCCAGAGAGGCTTTGAATGGCTGCTGACCAGGATATTGTTGAATTATCTGCTGTAGATTGCAACATCATTTGCTGCTGACCTACGATCTAACCGGCATATCCTGGTCTGCGAAAACCATCGTGCAAAGCTTTGGTACTCCAAGCTGCGGCCAGGTGTGCTAATTCGAGCTAGCAGATCCATAGCCTCAGATCTGGCACAACCGGGCGCAACTTCTGAGTTCATCTCCAAGCGCTGGTTTTTGTTACCGTCCTTATCATTTTTACCTGCCTGTTTGCCAAATTCTGCAAGCACGTCATTGGCCCAGTCGCAGTTTCATCGACCGCCTCCCCAGAGGTA